GCAATCACTTGCCATGTGATAACCAGAATCGTTCATTGATTTAGAAATCAAAGAGACGCAGCTCTGATACCAAATGATGGAGCGGAAGCTTCTAGGGATAGGACTAGAGATCCGTTGATTCTCAGAATACCCGGAAATCTAGGGTTTGAGAGTCCTCCTCTCAGGGCTTTCGCAAAAGCTCTTGGATTTGTGAATACTCTTCACAGTGGTTTATTAAAACCTCTTTAAATCTTTCGATTAATCAATATATCAAATAACTGAATACAATAGGAGGCTTAAGAAGCCTATTTATAATAAAGCATAAAACCCTAAAACTAAGAATATTCTAGAATAATTATAATAAATAAATTAAGAGATAATAATAAGAGATATTTGGAATATCTCGCTGCATCAGGTCTCGCCGGCCAAGAAAAGATTCGTCCTCGAATCTTGTATCTGCGCTGCATCAAAAGAATATATAACTAAAACGATGAATCTTATTATATGTTGCACTGATTGACCACCACACAAAGTGCATACATATATACACACCACATGATGATTATGACTACTAGAGATTTTTGAACAAGACAATCTGATTAGAAGATATCTTATGATATATGGAATCTTAAATCAACCAATCATCAGAGATTAGAGAAGGGAAGGTTTTGCCGGGTTGAAACTGATTGAAACGCTGTTAACACAATGACGTTCATCGGTTGGAGTACCGTAACCTTCTCCTTTGAAAACATGGCCTAAGTGTCCATCACACGCTGCACAAGTTATCTCAGTTCTTCTCCCATCTGGATCAGGCTGGTTGTTGTACAATTAAATCAAGCCAAAAAAGAGATTTTAATTAGTTACTAGCTAGCTAGTATAGTCATCAATTTAGCCAAAAACATATAAAAGAGAAGAATGAATCTTTACGGATCGGTTTATTGCACCGGGAAGTCCTTCAAAGAAAGCTGGCCAGCCACATCCGGAATCGAACTTTGTGGTTGATTTATAAAGAGGAGTCTTGCATCCCACGCAGCTGAAGATCCCTTCTTCGAAAAACTTGTCATATTCTCCACTTCCTGGCTTTCTTAAACCGCAAGAACATTGTAACGATTAACTTTAATTCCCATTAATTCAACAACTTTATCATTAATTGAGATGATAACTCGTACTTTCTTATGTATCTTTTGATATAAGATATGTATTTCAGATACTCGAAAAGTATTAAACAATCTAGCTACACTTGGACAAGCCTAATGAAAACTAAGGGTTATAAAGTAAGTAACCTAGCTAGATAACCAACTAAACAAGGTAGTAGGTCTCGGCGTTTGTAGTTGTATATACGTAACATATCATGGAAGACCAAAATCAAGATTAACCAAAAGGGTTAATGAGAAATAATAAACATACTCGGTGCCTTTTTGACGAAGAATCCGAAACTGCTCAGGAGAAAGAACCGTACGCCACTCCTCTTCTGTTTTCTGGACAGCCAAGCCAGGAACCGCCATGATGACCACCACGGAGAAGCTGAAACTGTCACTGATCAGGTCAGGAGATAGGTAGGTTATCGTCTCGAGTCATTGCAGTGTATATTTATACCTAAATTTACATAGATGTATGATTCTAGTTCTGCGTCTAGATTCATATGTGGTGAATGAGTTTTAAGTTAAATGAACTATTATGCACGTGACGTGATATGTCATAGAGAGTTGCACATTTGTCACCTAACCCCCTCCCGGTTCTGTCTTCAAACTTTTGGCTTCATATAAAGAAAATAATCCCAATTGATCATATAAGCTTTAGTAGAATGGGACTATATATATATTATTCTATAATATTTTAAGATTTTGGATCTGTTCTGGATATGTGACTAGACATCAAGAGCCATACATGCATGGCTGATCTGGCTTTTTTTTGGGATTATTATCATGAATGTATGGTATATCTTCGTTTCGTTTAATAATTTTTGTTATATTCACGAACTCTTATCTTCTTGTCATAAAAAGAAGAATGTAATGGACATATGCAACATAGTGACAGAGCTGTGCTTCCACTCTTGGGGAAAAGACATGCAAAATATACTAAGCAACCCAACAACAAAAATGACATCAACTCTAATGGTTTTAATATTTTGATCCTAATGAGTTGATAAGTACCAAATGAAATAATGATTCAGTGGGTTGGTTGATGGGTCATATCATTGAATGACATCACTAGTCATATATGTCGGATTGTGTAACAGTTTCATATGTTTAATCCATTATCATACTTACATCATCAATATCATCATATATACCATCATATCATCATCAGCATCAACATCAAAATTAACGATCCAATATAGAAATTTATAGAATGTCGTTATAACCAGGATATACATAGATTCTTCTCTAAACAGACATGTTTTAAAAACACAAATAATCCTTAGATAAAATTATATCTGGCCAACAACTCATGATTCTTATTATTTCTTGCATCGATCCTTATTAAATCCACTACACAAAGTGCATATATATGCACAATGATGATAGTTTTACAAGAGAAATATAAAAACACAATCTGATAAACGAAGATATGGTACAATATTCAACTAGTCTCCTCAGGTGGTGTTTCAGAGGAAGATTTGGCCGGGTTAAATTTGATGGAAACGCTGTTAACGCAGTGGCGTTCATCAGTTGGAGTACCATAACCTTCTCCTTTGTGAACATGACCTAAATGTCCATCGCATGCGGCACAAGTTATCTCAGTTCCTTCCCCATCTGGATCAGGCTGGTGATTAAACGTAGAATTCAAAAACAAGCAAAACAAAGAGTTTTTAGTTACTCACTAGCTAAGCAGTAGTCATGAATTAAACCAAAAACATAACAAAAGAAAAGAATCTTTACGCGTCTGTTTATGGCACCAGGGAACCCTTCATAGAAAGCTGCCCAGCCGCATTCAACATTGAACTTAGCAGAGGACTTGTAAAGAGGAGTGTTGCATCCGACGCAGCAGAATATTCCTTCCTCGAAGAACTTGTTGTATTCTCCTGTTCCTGGCGTTCTGATATCATCATTTTTTTATGACAGAACCGTAAGAACATTAAGAAAGAAGGAGCAATCAAAAGTCAACACAAAGAACAAAAGCAAGAACCAATAACACACTTGTTCTATGTAGTAAATCTCAAACCCTGTTCCTTAAAATTTGTTTAGTTTCTTCAAGATTCAAGAAATCTATTCAAAGAATCAAGAAATCTTTAAAACGAAGACTTACTCAGTGCCTCTCTCACGGAGAATCTTAAACTGCTCAGGAGAAAGAACCGCACGCCACTCCTCCTCTGTTTTCTTGACCAAAGAACCAGGAGTCGTCGTCGTCGTCGTCGTCATGATCACCTCGGATGCTACAGCAGGCACAAAAATAACCACAAGCTTGATGATAAGGTAAACGTTGTTGTGATCTATTTAGTACCAAACTTCAGTGATGTATGGTCCTACTTTTGCGTCATGATTCATTAAGAAACGTTCTAGATCTATAGACTGGTGTATTATGCACGTGTCAATACAGTTCTCGAGATGTCCGCAACATAGCAGATTTTGTATTATTACAAGAGTACGTTTTATTCAAGTTACAAATCATAGAGACTACACTTGTCAAAATGCTCGAGGTGATAGAAATTAATTATAATGAATACCAGTATAGACAAGAGACTATAAAATTATTGTATTCTGCTCACTCATTCAGAGTAAACCTTAATCTTGTTCTGCCAGGATTCACAAGGAAGACTTTTCGGGTGTGAACTTAAGCGAAACGCTGTTTACGCAATGGCGTTCATCGGTAGGAGTACCGAAACCTTCTCCTTTGAAGACATGACCAAGATGTCCTCCACATGCTGCACAGTTGATCTCTGTTCGTCTCCCATCTGCATCTACCTGATAAAACAAATGCAAATGGAGATTGTAGGCAGAGCAAAACAAAGAGTTCATTTTATGTTATCAGTTTGATGAGACACTGTATGTGTTTATTACTGTTCGGGTAATGGCACCGGGGATTGCGTCAAAGAATGCTGGCCAGCCACAACCAGCGTTGAACTTTGTGGTGGATTTGTAAAGAGGAGCTTTGCATCCCGCACAACCGTAAATTCCTTCTTTGTCGAAATTAACGTATTCTCCAGTGCCTGGATATCTGAAATCAACAAAACACAAACCCACAAGAACAAAGGGATTATATATAACCATCCATTCTCTATTCAATATGATGCTCAAAGACGAAGCAAACATTTTCATGATCATTTACAGAGCAATACATTATCAGACAGGACCAAATATTAAAGGCTCTAAAGGAACTGACAAAGTTTTCTAAATTCGGGCTCTCATTTGTAATATATATTCAGGGTAAAAGAGACTCAAATCATATCTGTTTTCATAAGCTCTCATCTGGAGTTTTAAGAGTAATAGAAGATGGTATCCCTGAAGAACTATATAACCTCTCACTGAAGCTGCTAATTCCAATCACTCAAAAGAACTGAGTAAGAACCTAACTGTTCTGACATCTATAGCAGAAGATTTCTATGAATGCTATGTTCCAGCCATCCAAGCACACCAAAGATATAATTTTCAACATCTTACTCATCAAGATTACAATCCAAAATCCTAAATCAATATATATTTGTAATTTTGTATATACCCAATGTTTAAAACTTGATTCATTCAAACATATCAGGAAGTATAGACTTGAATTCAGAAGTATCAATGTTCAACAATCACAAAAAAAAAAAAAAAGTTGAGATTTTTAACTCTGAGAATCACAAATGATGCGAATCAATGATGTAAGAACAATAAGTGTCAAATTCCAGATGCCTAATCGAATGTACTAATTCCCAAATTTGCTAACTTTTCAAGCGAAATTGAACCATAAAAATCTTTATAAAAGGTTAAAAAGCCTTACTCAGTGCCCTTTTGACGAAGGATCCTAAACTGCTCAGGAGAAAGAACCGCACGCCACTCTTCATCTCCTTTCTGAACCGATCCCGGAGCCGCCATAGCCACCGTAGAAGCTAACACGGAAGAGAGACAAATCGAATCTAAACCAAAGATTGATGAAAGAAGTAGCGTAAATAAGAAAAAGAGAATCTTTGAATTGCTTATGATCATATAAATTTACAATCTTTGAACTGAATCAAATACAACAATACCAAAAAATATCAAATTTTGACAATTCTTTTCTTATCTTCTTCTTCTTCGTCCTCCATCTTAACTATTCTGATTAATTTACTTGATTACCCCTGATTTATAGAGTTAATTAAATTATCACCCCTAATGTTGGAAATTGAAGTTGAAAAACCCAAAAGGGGTTTTGTTCCGGGGTTTATATAAAACCTTCCTCTTCTTCTGCTTCTTCTCGACCTCACTTACGAGATTCAGACATGGTTGTCTCAAAAGCTAACAAAAGCTTATTAAGCTCAGTCTTCAAATCTCGTATTAGAAAAACCGGGGAATCTTCAATTGCTTCCAGCAACAAAGACATCGCCGGAACGTCTCAAGCTGTCAAAGAGCTTCTCAGTTCCAAAAACTCTTCGTCTGGTGATTTGGATTTTATTTTGAGATCGAACCCTTATTTCAATTTCCCCTTCTCGATTGGAAAATAATCAAAAGTTGTGATCTTGAGAATGAATAAACACAAACAAGTAATATTTAGAATTCGATTGATTTTTGTGCAAATGATGTAGATATTGAGGAAGCACCATTACAGGATCGAGTATCAAATTTGTTACATGGTAAGTGTTACCAAATTTGTCTCTTTGAGTAAGTTCTTCTTCAACGAATTCTCATTCATTCATAGTTCAATGATATTTCAGTAACCACTATGGAGAAAAGCTCTTCGGAGAAGAACTTATTATTGAAGATTCCAAGTTTTACCACTAAGATCCCTTATGATATTTCGTTGAGATCGAAAGAGTTGTCCCGTGAAAGGAAGGAGAAGCGTGTTTACAAGAATAACGGTTTGTCACGGCGTTTTGCAAAGATATTTAGAGACTCTGCTCAGAAATTAGGCACCGAGGCTATGTTTGGTGCTTTCAATAGAGTGGCGAAAGAGATGAGTGCAACGGAGTACAATGCGATGATTGGAGTTTACTTGGAGCACGCGGAGAAAAGCAATGATCTGGATTATGCTCTTGACCACATTGAGAAGGCTTTTGAGCTGTTGAAATCCATGAAAGATCGCGGTTTCTCTATTGAAGAAAGAGCTTATGTTCCTCTTCTTAGTTACTTAATTGATATGGATATGGTAGATGAATTCCATAGTTTTAAGGATGTGATTAGGGATGCCAGTCCCGGTTCGGTTGAGAGACTTGGTTACTATGAAATGCTTCTTTGGATCCAAATTGGCGATGGGGAGAAGATTGAGGAGCTTTGCAGTACAATTGATGGTAAAAGTGAGGAAGGCTTATCGATCTTACAAGGTAAGCAATATTCAGTTTTGAGAACTCTGGTGTTTTGTGGCTCTCTCGCACCCAAAATAATTTAACCTTTTGATCCTTAAAACAACAGAAAATTATTTGCTTGCACTATGCAAGAAAGACCAAAGGTACCACCTTCAGAGCCTGTTAGAGATTGTTGACATAACAAAAGTTCATTCATCGGACCTATTGGCAAACATATTTGAATACCTTGGGAGGTTTTCTTTGGATTCTGTTGCGGGGAACTTCCTTTGGGAGCTAAGAGGAAGTGGTAAGGGTGCATTTGACATAAACCAAGGAATTCTCTTTATGTTTGCCCATTGTATAATGACATATTTATTCCTCTAGAAAATAATTGGTAGAGCATGTGTAATATGTTTTTCATTAACATGCGCAGATGAAGGAAGGAAAAATGTTTCAGATCTCATCTCTATCTATTCTACTAGCACTCCAAATCTGACAGTAAGGACTTCTCATGAATATTACTGGCAAATTATCTTTGTTTAGATAACCGTTGCCTCCTAATTGTCAATGTTTTCACTGATTTTATACCATTAAAGGTTGAGGATACCATCTTAAAGTTCAACAAGATGCATGAAGAACTTGATGCCATGCCTTCATCTACATCATACGAGAAGCTTGTTAAGTATAGCTGTGACTCAAATGAGGTGTTTGTTATGCTTATTTTATTATAATTTGGCTTTATCTCCGGGTGCTCTCTCTAATGATTATTCTCTCGTGCTGTAGGTAGTCACTGCTCTTAATGTTGTTGAAGAAATGAGTGAAGCAGGTCTGACAATATCCGCAGATATACTACATTCGTTGCTACATGCCATTGATGAAGTTCTCGAGTTTGATTTGGTACGCATTCTCATTTAGCTTGAATCTATTTCCAGCCAATATACAATTGAACTCGGCTTATATATGAAACAAAGTTTCCTTATACCTTGACTGTTTCAGGTGCGAAGAATCCATTCAATTATGTGCACAAAGAGTGTGAAACCGAATACTGAGAACTTCCGGAGCATTATACGTTTGTGCACAAGAATCAAAGATGTAACTTCCTTTCCACTAATTTTAGCTTCAGTGTATCCTTAAACCCTATATAACAAATGAGGATATGTCTGAACTGTTTCTTACAGTAGCTGCTTCGCTTGTTTCTCTAAACACAAAATTTTGCTCGAAATCTTTTGGTCTTATCTGCAGTTTGAAGGTGCATATATTATGCTTGGTAATTTAAAGAATTTCAATTTGGAACCAAACTCTAGCATGTTCAACTGTATATTGGCTGGATATTTTCGGGAGGTAATATCTTAAGCTCCCATTTCATGTTTGCAAATTCTGATCTGATAGATTGTCCATGTTTCTGTGAGCTCCAGATGGCTCCTAAACCGTTTTGAGCTGATCATTTTGTATGTTTTTGAAGAAAAATGTGGGTAGCGCGTTAATGGTCGTAAAGCAAATGAAGGAAGCTGGCGTTAAACCTGATTCCATAACTTTTGGTTATCTAATAAACAACTGTAACCGAGAAGATGCCATTACTAAGGTAAAATTCAGACTACTATGTTCTCCGATACCACTAAATCTTTATTTGATTAGTGTTGTGAGTGAGAAATATGTTTGTGCCTTGTATAAGTACTATGAGGAGATGAAGCAAGCAGGAGTTCAAGCTACTAAGCGAATTTACATGTCCCTGATAGATGCATATGCAGCATCTGGGCAGTTTGAGAAGGCAAAACAGGTAGGCATGCATACTCTTTATTTCTTTGTAAGATCTCGAAAGTGAAGTATATTTAGGAAATCAGAGTAAGAGGTCGAATTTTAATTCTACCACAGGTGCTCGTAGACCCAGATGTTCCAGCTATTAACCAAAATGAGCTGAAAAGTGTACTTATCTCGGCTCTTGCGTCTCGTGGAAAATGGGCAGATGCTTTCAGTATATATGAAGAAATGAGGAAAGCCGAATGCCACATAGACCCAAAATCGATTATATCTCTTATAGTAAGTATACACTTTCAATCAGACTATTTTCTTATTTCATATATTGGCTGACTGATAATCAGTGATATGATTATCTCTATAGGAATACTCAGATTCAAAGGTAGAGTTGAGTATGCTGGTTCAACTGGCTGATGACCTACAAGATGATAAAAGTTGGATAGATGGTTTCTTCAGAATGATATTGTCCGCTGTCCGCAATAGAAAGTCGAGGTACAACAAATCACCCATGATCTAGAATTAGTTCTTGTATACCCCATTTTTGAATGTTGCTATTTTGTTATACATCAATATTCGTGATTTACTTCGCTATTTTGTTGCATAGCAATATTCTTGACTTGCTGAAGCGGAACAAGGTCCGGCTGTCCAAGAAAGACATCCCTGTGGAAACTCATTTTGACGAGGTGTGATTCTGTTTCTCTCATTGGTTTCTGGAAACTTTGTTTATTTTTTCATCTAAGATAACCTCGAGATGTCTCAAGTTATGTGCAACGTTCAATTTCCATGTTCGTGGATCATCGTGGGATCTCTCAATGAAGAGATCTTCCTTCTAAGAATTTTATGGAAACATTTTTTGAGTTACCGATGAAGTTTGAAAGTGAAGCTCTAAGCGCAAACATCTAGTTAGAATAGCAATCAAGCTCAAGTCTTTGATTTTCTTTTACTGAATTAGTCTTCAATAATTTAAGCCTTTTAGTGATTTACTGTTTTGGATCAGGTATTTTGGGCAATAGCAGAGACGGAGCCAACCGAAATGAAGCTAGGGATGGATTTGCTAAGTTTTATGAAAGAAGAGCTTGAGTTTATTCCTTCAAGAAAATGTCTAGATTTTCTCTTACATGCTTGTGTTAATGCCAAGGACATGGTGAACGGTCTATTGGTGTGGAAAGAGTACCAATCTGCAGCACTTCCTTGCAACGTCCTAAGCTTTCTCAGGCAAGCCACTTTGCTTTTCTCCTTCGAAAATACACACATTTAAATTTGTATGTGATCTTTGTGCTCAGAAATAGGGGTACAATAGAAAATGAACGGTAAATGATCTGTATAGTAATTCAGAACGCAGGGCATTCATATACTTTCTACCCATTAGCACAAAAAGAGTTAGTTCCAAGTTGTTGTTGGGATTAAGAATTCTGTATACAAGGTTGCATTAGTTTTAAAAGAATCCAGTTGATCAGATCCCTGTGTTTTGAGAGATGGAGAGACTTTGCATGTCAAATGTTCATTTGTTATGGTTTATGGTTTATGGTTTGGCAGGATGTATCAGGTTCTATTAGCTACAGGGGATTTGCAAGGTGCCAAGGAATTGGTATCAAAAATCCCAAAAGATGATATAGATGTACAACACATCATTGAAGAAAGCCTGATTGTATATTCTCAAGCACCCAAAAAGAAGAAACTGAAAAAGAAAATGATTGGTTTCCCAACAAAGTAGGGAAAGATGGGTAGGTTTGAACACCATTTACAGTGATTTGGTACAGAAGGTCTCAGATTTCATTTTAACATGACTGGCTAAAAGTTTCTTTTCATCCTAAAGCTCCTAGTAACATGCAGACAAAAGATTGTTGGACTCTGCAGAAGTCTTGACAGGTGAGAGGGAATGGATTAAAAGTTAGACCTAACCGGCTAAGTAACTTGCAGCAATGAGTTTAAACCTTGACCCTACTGGACTACTGGTCAGACTACTAAGATCTGAACTGTTGCTAAACCGTTGTTATGCGCACATGCTCGAGTCCCTTTAAGTTCCGGGTTTGGATCCTGACTGGGTCATATCTGTTTCAATAACTTGAATGTGATAGTTACAATTCCGAAGATCATAGTAATCTGACAAACCCTGAACAGAGGGTTCACAGGGTGGGTCAATCATTGCCCTATAATTGTTAGAATGATAAGGTGGATTCTTTGTGATTGTAACAGACAAGGCAAAAGAAGTGTAAGGTTATAATAATGGTTCCATTGTTGTGAGCTAATCAACATTCTTGTAATTGCTTCTGCAACAATTTTTTGGTGAAGCAAATCAGAGCTACTAATCCTTATGGCAGTAAAAGATAACTGTTGCTGGACCTAATCATATAGTTTTTGAATTTACTTGACACAAGCTAAAGCATTTCATTCCGGCTTCTTCATATTTAGGCAATTGTCTGCAGCTTGTCCAAATAGCTCTTGGACTTGCTTAAGCTCTTTCTCTGTAAACAAAATGTCACATCTTTTTAGACCAGTGCAATGACATAAGCATTTGCAAGAAAGTATACACATTATACAACATTTGCCAAGAAGAACAGAGTTGGCCAGGAAGATTTACCTGCAGCCTCTAGTTGCTTTTGGAGTTCTTGACCAATAAGATCGTTTTCCACCTGAAGAAAAACAGTAAGAAGAAGGTAAAGAGGCAAAGCCAATAGATGAATGAATTCAAGAAATTGTAATAATCAATGTGAGTTGTTTTACCTGAAGTTCAGCGATTCTTTTGAGCTGAGCTTCCTCACCTCCTTCTGACAAAGGAAGTGCTGCAACCAAAGCATCAAACTGTTTAGCAGCCTTAACTAAACCAGCACTGAGCTGCTTAGGTTGCTCAGGAAAAGGGGTAGCATCATCAGTAGCCGTAGTTGCAGCAGGTGGTTCAGGATAATTAGGTGAAAGCTGGACAGGAGGTGCATCCCTCTGGAGCGTCCCAAAAGCATTGAAAGTGATGGCAGCAATCGTATTCACTTGTTCTTGCAACTGTGAGATTATATCCATCTTCAAAAACCTTATAAGACAAGAGCACGAACAAATAAGGTATAACATATTCAAATTGACACAAACTTGGTAGTCAATTCCTGAATTTATCACCTAAGATTCAGAAACAAAATGCTACAGTCCAATCTCAATCCGAAAGTTCTAGTTTCTTTTCCACAAGATTAGCTCTTTTAGATCCTCACCACTATCCCTAGAAAGCTTAATACTTTACTTAAGTGTTGTTAAACCAATCTCAGTAGAACTTTACAGTGAATTCACCAAGACAACAAACAACTCAAAACCATTATAAGGTAGCGTTCGTACTAACCTTAAGAGAGGATGCGAGGACAAAACAACGGTGATCTCTCTCAGTAAAGAAACTTCCCCTTATCGATTTTTTCTCCTAAAAGAAAAACGATGATATTCGCATCACTGAAGACAATTACTTTTCCGATGAGAACGCCGGAGTGAAGGCTTTTAAAGAAGCGTCTTACCCTTTTTCCCGGCGACGCAGAGGTAAGTGTTGGACGACGACAGAGAAGAACCGCCGTGACTTGAGCGTTGTTATTTTTTTTCTCCGTTCCCAGTTTTAGATTTGGGCCGAGCCATTTAAACATGGGCTTTTAAGTCGGCACTTCCTATGTTTTTTTTCCTAGTTTCATTTAATAAACTTTTTTTTTTTTTTTTTGAAAACTCATTTCATAAACTTTTAAAACTAATATGGGTTTTTTTTTTGAGAAAAAGTAACAAAACCATTTATTTCATTCATTAATTGGAATATATTTGAAAAAAAAAAACACTATGAATCCTTTAAAATTTTTTGTTAACCACTTAACCTTAATCAAAAATATCCAGATATCCGAACCTAAAATATCTAGTCATACTCGAAAAAATCGAAAAATACCAAAAACCAGAAATATCTTAAAAAATTTAACCGTTAATCAAACTAAAAATTTCACTAATCCTACCCAAAAAAAGAACTAAAAATTTCACTAACGTAAATTAGAGTATAAAATATCTAAAAGAGATTGTAGAAGAGATCGACTAGTATTTTATTTAAATTTTAAATTACTCAGTGGAAACAGATGTGGTTTATAATAATTGAGCTAAAAAGTAACAAACAAACTCCAATAAAAAGAAAAAAAAAAACTCCCGTGGTTGACACGAGACTATCATCAATCTACGGCCACAATAATTATTCATCTAAATAACAAAACCAAATTTCAATAAATATTAACATTTCATCTCTCATTTTTTCCTATCCTGCTTTTTTTTCCGACACACGACTCAAAAAAAAAAAACAATCGTGTTCTTCTTCTCTTTAGAGCCACATCAACAACCATCATCAATGGCGTCTCTGCTCGCAAACGGTATCTCCGGGTTTTCTCCACAACCCACTTCCGATTCCTCAAAATCACCAAAAGGGTTCCACCCAAAACCCGAATCTTTCAAGTTCCCATCTTCCAAAACCCTAAATCCGACGAGACCGCTTTTCAAAATCAGAGCCGATGTTGGAATCGACTCTCGTCCCATCGGAGCTGAGTCCGGTGCGGCTTCTTCAGCAACCGTTAGCTCAACGGATAAGCTTCAGCAGTATTTTCAGAATCTCGATTACGACAAGAAGTATGGATTCGTCGAAGATATCGATTCGTTCACGATCCCTAAAGGTTTGTCTGAAGAGACGATTCGATTGATTTCGAAATTGAAAGAGGAACCTGATTGGATGCTTGAGTTTAGGTTCAAAGCTTATGAGAAGTTTCTGAAGCTGGAAGAACCCAAATGGTCAGATAATAGGTATCCTTCGATTAATTTCCAGGATATGTGTTATTACTCTGCTCCTAAAAAGAAACCAACTTTGAATAGTTTAGATGAAGCTGATCCTCAGCTTCTTGAGTATTTCGATAAGTTAGGTGTTCCTTTGACTGAGCAGAAACGTTTGGCTAATGTTGCTGTTGATGCGGTTCTCGATAGTGTTTCTATAGCTACTACTCATAGGAAGACTCTTGAGAAGTCTGGTGTTATCTTCTGTTCCATCTCTGAAGCTATTAGGGAGTATCCGGATTTGATTAAGAAGTATTTGGGAAGAGTTGTGCCTAGTGATGATAATTACTACGCCGCTTTGAATTCTGCGGTTTTCAGCGATGGGTCTTTCTGTTATATACCCAAGAACACCAGATGCCCTATGCCTATTTCGACTTATTTCCGGATTAACGCCATGGAGACTGGTCAGTTCGAGAGGACTTTGATTGTTGCAGAGGAAGGGAGTTTTGTTGAGTATTTAGAAGGATGCACTGCTCCTTCTTATGACACGAATCAGCTTCACGCTGCTGTGGTTGAGCTTTATTGTGGGGAAGGAGCTGAGATTAAGTACTCTACTGTGCAGAATTGGTATGCTGGGGATGAACAAGGTAAAGGTGGGATTTACAATTTTGTCACAAAGCGTGGTCTTTGCGCTGGGGATCGTGCCAAGATCTCATGGACTCAGGTTGAGACTGGGTCGGCGATAACTTGGAAGTACCCGAGTGTCATTTTAGAAGGTGATGATTCGGTTGGCGAGTTTTACTCTGTCGCGTTGACTAACAACTATCAGCAAGCTGATACAGGGACCAAGATGATTCACAAAGGCAAAAACACAAAAAGTAGAATCATTTCAAAGGGAATTTCAGCTGGGCATTCAAGAAACTGCTACCGTGGACTTGTTCAGGTTCAGTCCAGAGCTGAGAATGCTAAAAACACTTCGACTTGTGACTCAATGCTTATCGGTGACAAAGCAGCTGCTAATACCTATCCTTACATCCAGGTAAATATGCCTATGATCTAATCTTTATTATAAGCTATAACAAAGCTGTAAACTTTTTTTCTGCCAGTTCTTGTTTGATTGCCAATAAGTGCAGCACATATAGTTATGATCTTAAAGCTGTAAACTTTATAATTGATGGTGTGTCTGAAACAATAACAGGTAAAGAATCCATCGGCGAAAGTAGAGCACGAAGCGAGTACCTCAAAGATTGGAGAAGACCAGCTTTTCTATTTCCAGCAGCGAGGAATCGATCATGAGAGAGCCTTAGCGGCGATGATCTCTGGATTCTGCAGAGATGTTTTCAACAAGCTTCCTGATGAATTTGGAGCCGAAGTTAACCAACTTATGAGCATCAAGCTTGAAGGATCAGTGGGTTAAAAAGACAAATCTCACATTTACAGAACAGTAAAGAAAAGAAAAACAGAGTCTTTGTGCTTCTCAATAAAAGCTTTATTTTCTAGTTTCAGTCTGTAAAACTTTGTATTATGTTAATGTTTTGATAGTTTCATGTGAATCGTGTGAAAGGTGTTGTTAATATTGTTGTTAATACTAAAACTCTTGCAAAAAACATGAAAACAGTAGTACTGTATTTACAGAACTGATATTTGTAATAAACTTTTTTTTGTTTACATACTTCTTTCTTCTAATACGGTTTCAGTGAATTTTAGAATATTGTGGAATCTTCAGGAGGATCTGTGAAAAGAGATTGAATCTCTTCTAGTGATTTGCCTTTGGTCTCTGGAACAAGCTTGGCTATGAACACAAACCCAAGACCAGTCACTGTGGCAAACATCAGAAATGTTCCTGCAATAAAACTTTCTAAGTTAGTTAACAACAACTTTGATTTCAAAAATTCAGAAATTGTCAAAAGATCATGTTTATGTCACAACTTGAAGTAAAACTAAATATATATAGACCTGTGGAACTCCATTGGAGCAAGAAACTGAAGGAATAAGCAACGAGCCATGAGCTTATAGAGCTAACCAAGTTACACATTGTTCCAGCTGCTCCCTTCACATCTACTGGATAAATCTAGTGAAGAAAAATTAAAACATTAATAATATAATGTATTTAACAGTTTTCTTAGATATCCATGATTCAACTTCATATCTAGATTTTTATTATTATTATTGTATTTACCTCTGATGCTATGATCCATGGTATTGTTCCCATACCTGATCCGTATGATGCAAAATACACCTAATAAAATAAACACCCAAATATACATTTGTAATTACTGGAGATTACGAATATTCTTTAAAATTTTATATCAAATCAGAGAATTGCTCTAGGTTTTTATAACTAGATTTTTTTTAAATGCAATCTATAACTCTAAACCTTAAACAGTAACCTAGTTTTTTTTAACTTCTTTTAAAATTCATCTAATTTTAGATTTATTTCTCAACTTTTTAATTACCATAACACTAGTGAGAGCCAAGACAGGTGTTCCTGTCTCCCAGCAATGATTCTCCTGCAGAAGGAAATAACCGGACATATTTTACGGTCCGGTTTTAAACCAAGTTCCAATTTTAGTAGAGAAGATGGAATAGTATAAGCATTGCCTTCAAGAAGAATGAAATGGCTGTGGCAAGACAACCCAAGAACATTCCAGCTTGAGAAACCTACACAATAATCATGCACTCCTTAATTAGTGTACGTCTATCGATTTCGGGGTACGAGTTATAGAATTTTGTTTCACCAATAGGAGTGTACGTCTTCCTGATACATCAACAAGCACTGTACCTAAAATACCTCCAAACATCTACAAGGATGTGCTTTAAAACTATTAGTAAAAAAGTGAATGAAATCTTTTATCAAAAATGATATGTAATCCATATCTTAGTATAACCTGAACAACTGATGTCGATATGAATCCAAAATGACTCGAGACACCTAGATCATCATCGGATGATAATTAAGGACCATTTGATGAAGCTATCCACCCTTATGGTAAATAAAAGCAAGATGATCCATTGAAGAAGAAGAAGGGTCATTCATTACCAGTAGAGGTGAATATGGAGTCAGTGTAAAAAGAATAACCATTAAGACCACCAAGCTGAGGCAAAGCTATAAGAACAACTCCAATCTGTATAAAACCAAGAAATTAAAATGTAAAAAAAAACAAAAATGCTTTTGAATTGTTTTAACCTTATGGAGAGTTACTTACAGTAAGTGAGAAAGCATATTTACGCTGAAATAGCTTGAAGAAACCACCATCATCCACGTCTTGTTGTTGTTTAACATGTTCTGTATATTCCTGATCATCATCAAATTGTTAGGAAATTTATGTAATAAAAACAAATATATTATTATATGTAGATCATATTAATATGGATTTAGATCCTTATACTAATATTTCTGCTGCTTCATCTGATACATCAGATGTTGCTCCTCGAAGGCTTAACAAAACCGCCTTAACCTCCCATTCCCTTCCAACTTTAGCCTAAAAATCGAATTAGTTTTATTTGATCTAAGATTTAATTAGGTTTAATTAATACACAAACATATAGTAACCAAATGCTTACTAGCCATCTAGGAGACTCGGGGATGAAGAAAAGAAGAGGCAGAACCATTAGAGAAGGTATAGATCCTATATCCAAACACACAACACAAAAGTAAGATTAGTACATTTTCTTTGTTCTTTGGATAAAATGAGGATGCTACGTTTTGTGCATTTTCAATAAGTATGATCATCTTTCTTTTTGCACACCTAGAATAGCTAGATCGCGCCAAGCAACTACTGTTCCGAGTACGTAAAAGACCGATATACCAACTCCCGCGAATAACTGTAGAAACATCCAAAGACTTGTATCGTAAAAACATATATATTACATTTTCATACAGTTTTCAAGATGACCAACATTATTAGTGGGATCTTAACATATAAGATAGGAACTTAACAAATCTTAGCTTAAGATACTTGTTAAGATCCCACCAATAATGTTGCCCTTAGTCTTCTTAATTAACCTGAGCCAAGGAAGAAACAGCTCCTCGCAAGTTTCTTGGTGCTATTTCGGTGATGTAAACCGGTCCCTGTAATTTGTTACAACAAAAAAAAAAACACTCAATTCTCAATACCAAAATATTTAATCACGTTTTCAAAAACTCTCAAAGTTGATAAAACATTTTGAATCGAAATGCTCAATCAAAAACTGATTAGTACCAAATATGCGCTAATTCCGATCGAGATCCCTTGCAATAACCTTCCAAGATCGAGCAACCAAACACCCTTTGGTTCAAACAATTAAAGAACAAATAAAAACAATAAGATACAAATATGGATATTTAATTAGTTTCCAATATGGATCACTAATTAAGGAGTTAGAGAGTACAAATTTATCGACTTAGACGACGACATTCCAATATAGAAAGAAGTTGGAAAATTTGCAAACCTTGGCCATTGCAATAGCAAACCAGCCGATTATGAAGAGGATGTTAGTGATCAATATTGTCTGATTTCAAATAGAATCACTCAAAAGATTTATTAATATAACCATATTACTTTTAACTTAATATTAATTGAGAACTAATCATTTTTCACTAGAAACTAAACTTACGTAGACACGACCAACCAAATCTGTTAACTTCCCACAGATTAATGCTCCAAGGATTAACCCTACCGTCAGTATCGATCCAAATAGTGAATACTGAGGAATTACAAATGATAATTGATATATAATTAGCTGAAACAGGATCGAACCAGCCACACAGAACCGGAATAAACCAAATTAGAACTAACTTACATCAGCTATGGATAGATTCAAGTCTTTCATGATACTTGACTGTGTAGGAGCCGAGTATCCGATCTTTTTGATAAACAAAGTTGGTTAACTCACACTAAACATGCATGCATGAATCCTTTGAATGATAAAAACATGGAATTAAGAAACTCACAGTGCATCCAAAGGCAAAGGCGCCGCAAGAACCGACAATGAAAGCAAGAACAAAAGGTTTTGTGGAGGCATTTGATATTTCAGACAGAAGTGAAGAAGATAATGATGATCTATTAGGAGATGAAGCTAATAATAAACCTTCTTCTTCTGCCATTTTCTTCGAGATCAAGATTTTGCTTTAGTTACATTATTTTCTTGATTTTTTTTTTTTGTATTCCTTGAGAATTTTGTAATTGAATATTAAACCTTTTTTTGTTTTTGTTTTTGTTTATGAGTTTGTAAAACTAGTAGGATCGTTAGTCTCGTGGAGCAAGAAATGCGGAACTGAAAACGAAAAACACAAATTGTGTTTTGGTTTTGTTTCTTTCCATGCGCATAGAATTTTTAAAAACAAAATTATAAAAATATTAGCATGGGTAATTACAACACCATAAAATAATTAGCCAACAACATTGAAAATTCACTTTAGATCGCTCAAGTTTGTTACCAACTTCTTCTGAAAATGCGCTTAGGTATACATGTGTATTAGACATGTGTAGCCAACCTCTCAATTAAAAAATTTCATACTATTTAAGTTGCGGTTTGATATATAGTTGATTGGAAACAAAGCATTAAAATTTATATACCTATTTATTAAAATAGGTATTTATGAAAATATAATTTCTGAGGTTTGCTTATTTTATTTCTTCAGGAGGAGGATCAGTGAAAAGAGATTGAATCTCTTCTAGAGATTTGCCTTTGGTCTCCGGAACAAATTTGGCAGTGAACACAAATCCAATGCACATCGCTGTGGCAAACATCAGAAATGTTCCTGCAATGTATAATTTTATATTATTCCCAGTTCATCATCAAGAAGATCGATTATTTTAGATAGTGATAACAATATTTTTCGTGTGTATAATATAAATATTAAAGACTAGCTTATTTACCAGTGGAACTCCACAGAATCAAGAAGTTGAAGGAGTAAGAAACGAGCCATGAGCTTATGGAGCAGACCAAGTTACAAACTGTCCCTGCTGCTCCCTTCACGTCTACTGGATAAATCTAAAGAAAATCATGCAAATAAAAATATATCATATGAAATTATAAATTTACAATGAATTAGACATTTCTATTTCTATGGTTTATTTTTGCTTAATTTACCTCTGATGCTATGATCCATGGTATCGGTCCCATGCCTAATCCGTATGATCCAAAATACACCTAATGTAATAAAATTAAATACCATTTTTAGTTTGGCATTGTTGATAATTTTTTTTTTTTTTTGGTTAATTACCATAACACTAATGAGAGACAATGTTGGTGTTCCTGTTTCCCAGAAATTGTTTTTCTGTAGAACACGAAAACAAAAAAAAATATTACAATCCGGCTTTTTCACAATTGAGACCGAACCAATAGTTTAATATAAGTAGATAGATTAGTGTAGGCATGCCTGCAAGAAGAATGAAATGGCTGTTGCAAGGCAACCAAAGAACATTCCAGCTTGAGAAACCTAGAATCACTCCAAAACAAAACAAAAAATCCTATCGATTTGGTTACTTAAACATTAGGCTTTTGAGTTTTAAACTTTGTGTTACCAGTACGAGAGAACGTCTTCCAGATATATCTACAAGCACAACACCTAAAACCCCTCCAGACATCTACACGAATGATCGGTAAACAAATGTATCCGGGTGTTACGCGAAAAGAGAAAACGTATGACACTTATATATATATAGTCATGCTTATAGTAGTAAAACCTGAACAATAGATGTCAATATGAATCCAACGTCACTTGATACACCTGTTAGTCAGATAATATTTATTGACCATTCGATGAATTAGCAAGATGGATCGGAAGAAGAAGAAGGAGAATTGAATAACGAGGTTTCATTATTTACCGGTTGAGGTGAAAATGGTATCAGTGTAAAAAGAATAACCATTAAGACCTCCAAACTGAGGTACAGATATAAGAACAGCTCCAATCTGTGCAGCACAAATGGGTTCAATCATCTAATCAAGGCAATAATAATTTCAGTCCTTTTTGAAGGGTTACTTACAGTAAGTGGCAACACGTATTTTCGCTGGAACAACTTGAAGAAACCATGGCCATCGACGCCTTCTTGTTCCTCAACATGTTGTGTATATTCCTGATTATATATCATCCAAAATGTTGGGAGATCATCAATGCAATATATATGGAAAAAAAAAGATAGCCACCTACACAAACTATAACAGAATACATGACTAAACATCTGAATTATAGAATTGTATCTAAACGAACTATATGTATTGCATGCCCACATATATCAACTATATGCCGACATGTGGTCAACATCACAATCATTTTGTTCCGGTACACCGTTCGGCGGAATCTGGCGTTGACCACCGTAGACCGGTAAATATATAATCTTTAGAAAAAGAGAAATTATTTTATTTTATTTACAAAACTGATTTTATAATATTAAATAATAATTTCTAAATTATAAAAACTAAACCTTTCTCCTAAAAACTATACCCTAAATATAAATAGTCAACCCAAACTTAAATAAAATTTCTATACTTTCAAAAATAAATTTTTTATGTGGTATTTTGGGAAAACAAATTTTGTGGTATTTTTGAAATTAAAAAAAAAAAAAAATTTGGCATTTTTAGAAATTAACTATAAATGTGGGTATAATGTATTTTCTCTAAAAAATTTCGGTTTAGGTAAAAATTTTAATATCTTCCTAAAATATAATTTATTGATTATTTTTAAAAAAAAAATTAACTAATTATTAGAACAAAATGCATTAGAATGTGTTTTGTTATTATATAATACTAAAGAAATTAAATAGAATATTTTTCTTTTATATTTTGAAAATTTAAAAATTAAACAAATTTTTTTTTTGAATATAGTTTTGGTATTGCCGGTCTACGGTGGTCAATGTCGGATTCTGATGAACAGTATACCGGAATTAAATGATCATGATGTTGACTACATGTCGAGATATAGTTGATATATGTAGGGATTCAATACATATAATTCGTGTAGTTAGCTATACATTTCTATAGTTCAGATGTGTAATCATGTATTCTGTTATATATTTAGTGTAGGTCACTATCTTTTTTCTATATATAACTATTCAATGCATATATATATATATATATTCTTACTAATATATGTGCTGTTTCATCCGATACATCAGTTTTTGCTCCTCTCAGGGATAACAAGACTGCCTCAACCTCCTTTCCCCTTCCGACTTTAGCCTACAAACAGATTTTATCAATGAAACTTAAACATGTGTTGGAGACGAAACCTATGGTATTTTTTTAAATCATATTTAATGTGGTGGAGACGAAAGGAAGAAATCATTAATGCTAAATAAATAGGATCTAATTTTGAAAGGCAATATATATTATGATTACGAAGTTATATAATAAGGGACAATGAAATCACATTCCCATGAAACGTAAGCGTAAAAGCATTATATATGTATTTTGACGAAACAAGTAAAATGCAAACAAGTGATGCTTACTAGCCATCTAGGAGATTCCGGGACGAAGAAAAGAAGAGGCAGAACCACTAGAGAAGGTATAAATCCTGTCAAAACGGGCAAAACACAAAATCATTAGTACAATAAATTTTCCTTTCGAATAAAACAAGAACGTTCGATATGTATTATGAACCAATCTCCTAATTTAATTTACATACCCAAAATGGCTAAACTGCGCCACTCAACGAATGTTCCAAGTGCATAAAAGACCGATATACCAACACCGATGAATAACTGTAGGACATTAGAAACTTGTATATATATTAGAAAATGTACATTTTTCATAATATAGGGGTTTTAAGGATTTTGGTTATCTTGATTTTACTTGCACAAAAGAAGATGCAGCTCCTCGCAAGTTTTTAGGTGCTATCTCGCTAACGTATATAGGCCCCTGTGATTAATCATTATTCAAGATTATATGCTCTTTACAATACAAAACAAAATCATGTCAAAAATATTACCCAAATTATCCAATTTGAAATCTCATTTTTCAATAAATCCAAATATCAACGTTAAAACATTTTGAGGTTACCAAATGTAATCACATCTATAGTTAAAAACGAACATTTACAAGCAAAACGTGTTGAAAATATTCCTCAATTTACATTTTGTGGTACGTAACGCAACGTACGCATACGTTTAGCTAGATAGATTCTCTTGAAACTAATTAAACTTGTTTCTTAAATAGAGTAATTTCTCTTGATTGAATTAAACACCTCTAGGGGTTTTAAATCATTCATATATCATGATTCATGGGTACGTACCAAATATGAGTTGATTCCTCCCGCAAACCCTTGCAATAACCTTCCAACATCGAGCAGCCAAACATCCTAAATTTGTAACCAATAACAAATAAACATTGTAACAAAACAGCGTACTAAATTACTAACTGAAACATGACATAAACTAAGGAAACTCTCAGAAAATCGCAAACCTCGGCAAATGCAATAGCGAGCCAGCCGATTATGAAGAGGATGTTAGTGATCCATATTGTCTGGTTCAACAAAAGAATCACACACAATATTTATTGTAACCATAACTTTTTTGACATTAGTCATTGTTTTTTTACTAGAAACTTACGTAGACACGACCAACCAAATCTGTCAACTTCCCACAAACTAATGCTCCAAGGATTAACCCCACCGTCAATATCGATCCAAAAAATGAAAACTGAGGGAAAGCGAGAAAAAAAAAAAAAGCAATTAATTGTATCAAAAACAAATCCGATCGAACCGGAATAAACCGAAAGAAAGAGAAGAAGAAGAAAAAAACACTAATAGTAGAACTTGCGTCAGCTATGGATAGATTCAAGTCTTTTACGATACTTGACTGTGTAGGAGCCGTATATCCAACCTGAAGAAAAATATTTATATATATTTGGTTGGTGAGAAATTAAAATTGAAAGAAAAAAAAAAACAAAAGTTTAGAAACTCACAGCGCAACCATTGTTGAAGGCACCACAAGAAGCAGCAGTGAAAGCAAGAACAAAAGGTAGAGTGGAAGCATTTGATATTTCAGACAGAAGTGAAGAGAATTTATTAGGACAACCATTTGATAAGTCTTCTGTACGAGATTGTAATAAAGATTCTTCCGCCATTTTTAGAATCTGAGGTTGTAAATATCAAAGTGTTACACACAAAAAAAAAAGAAAAAGAAGCAATTTCATATACTTGTTTTCTGGCAATTATTATTATACGGTAGATAAGATATATTTTTTTTTTAACATTATTTTCAAAAAAAAAGAAAGAAGAGATAAATAATCTTGGAAAAATGCTCAAACTTTTTTTTTTTTGAGTTTTGGTCTCCTGAAGTAATATTAGCAGAACTGAAAAGATTGTGTTTCTCCTTATTACTATACTTTGGTAGTGTTTGGTTACTAGTTTTGTAGGCTCAGTACGAAATGATGACATCTTGTAACCAAAGTGGAGAGACTGGGGCACACAAGACACAGCAAAACAAAAAATAATGAATGGCCAACAATTTTCATCCTCACGTTCCAACTACCACCATCTCCTCAAATCTTCTACAAATAATGTTACAGCGACTACGATTTTAAAAAACGTGGAATATTGTTCGTTTAGTAGTCGCGAAACTGAAACGGAGGCGCAAGAACCGACAATGAAACCAAGAACAAAATGTCTTTTCGAGGCATTTGATATTTTGATATTTCATACAAAAGTGATGAAGATAAATAGATAATGATATACTAGAAGCTGAAGCTGATAACTATATAACTATATAACTCTTAATTTTAATATATTATCGTTTTATTCTTAAACAAAACTTTATAATTAAATTTTATACTGGCATAAATTTATGATAAAAGTTTAAAATATAACAAGAACATATATTAATGATGATGTTTAAACAGACCTGTACGTACATAAAGCCTTAAATTTTATGGACCTATTTAGAAAATAGGTATTTATGTGCACATGGACCAATGGTAAAATATAAAATGAAAATATAACTCTGATCGGTTTATGTGTATGTTTATTGTTTATTTCTTAGAAAACATTAGAATCTTCAGGAGGAGGATCAGTGAAAAGGGATTGAATCTCTTCTAAAGATTTGCCTTTGGTCTCTGGAACAAGCTTGGCTGTGAACACCAATCCAATGCACATCACTATGGCAAATATCACAAATGTTCCTGCAATAGTTTTATATTTTCCCCAGTTCATCAAGAAGATTAATTATTCTAGATAGTGATAACATTTTTTGTGTGTATAATATAGATATTAAAGAAGAAAAAAATATTTAAAGATTAATTTATTTACCAGTGGAACTCCACAGAAGCAAGAAGTTGAAGGAGTAAGAAACGAGCCATGAGCTTATAGAGCTAACCAAGTTACAAATTGTCCCCGCTGCTCCCTTCACATCTACCGGATAAATCTAAAATAATTCATGAAAACAAAACAGATAAATTATATAAGTTTATGATGAAATTAAACATTTTTGTATCTATGATTTACTTTGCTTAATTACCTCTGATGCTATGATCCATGGTATCGGTCCCATGCCTAATCCGTATGATCCAAAATACACCTAATTTAATAAAATTAAATACTCAAAAAGATCAATTTTAGTTTGATAATTTTTCTAAATAAATTTATTTATTTTGTTGTTAATTACCATAACACTAATAAGAGCCAATATTGGTGTTCCAGTTCCCCAGCAATTGTTTTTCTGTAGAGTAAGGAAAAAAAATATATATATATATATAACAATCCTGTTTTTTAAAATTGAAATCGAACCACCGGTTTAGTATAGTAGATATAGATTAGTGTAGCCATGCCTGCAAGAAGAATGAAATGGCTGTTGCAAGACAACCCAAGAACATTCCAGCTTGAGAAACCTACAAGAACTCAAATAATTTCTTCTTAACACCTTTCGGTTTTCACTTGATTTCAGATTTTGAGATTTAAAGTTTATTTACTAGTAGGAGAGAACGTCTTCCGGATATATCCACAAGCAGAACACCTAAAACGCCTCCAGACATCTACAAAAAAATGTGTGTTAAAATGAAACGTTAAAAAAGAATGATAATTCGAGTGTTAGACGTAAAAGAACACCTTATGAACTATAGTCATTATTATAGTTTCAAATCTTAAGTCAGTAAAACCTGAACAATAGACGTCAATATGAATCCAACGTCACTTGATACACCTGTTCATATTAGATAGTTCTTTGACCTTTTGATCTAGGCATGTAGCAAGATCGAAAAAGAAGAACTGAGGTTTTATTTACCGGTAGAGGTGAAAATGGAGTCAGTGAAAAAGGTATAACCATTAAGACCTCCAAGCTGAGGTAGAGATATAAGACCAACTCCAATCTATGTAAAATTTAAACCAATATTGGTCATATATATAATTAAGAAAATGCAAAAAAAAAAACTATAACATTTCAGTAAAATTTTTGTTTTCTTTCTTTGAAGAGTTACTTACCGTAAGTGGTAACGCGTATTTTCGATGAAACAGCTTGAAGAGACCATGGCCATGGACGTCTTGTTGTTGTTTCACATGTTGTGTATATTCCTAATGATCATCAAAATGTTAGGAAATCAATGTAAAAAGAAAAAAATTAACTTTATAGATCATATATACACTATATGGTTATTTCAATGCATATAAATTCAAATATTCTTACTAATATCTCTGCTGCTTCATCTGATACATCAGATTTTGCTCCTCGCAAGGTTAGCAAAACCGCCTCAACCTCCTTTTCCCTCCCTACTTTAGCCTACCAAAAAAACAAACATCTTAGTTCATTTGATAGGTTTAAGTACATATGTTTGGATTTATCATTTCCAAAAACAAATTTGATAGAAACATAAACGCTAACATATATTATAACTAAAATGCTTACTAGCCATCTAGGAGATTCGGGGATGAAGAAAAGAAGAGGCAGAACCATTAATGAAGGTATAGATCCTATCCAAAGACAGAACACAAAAAAACCATTAGTAACAACATCTTTTCTTTTGGACAAAAGTGAGGATACTTCGTTTTGTGCATTCAGTAAGTGTATGATCATCTTTTTGGCATACCTAAAATAGCTAAATTGCGCCAAGCAACTACTGTTCCGAGTACATAAACGACCGATATACCAACTCCCGCGAATAACTGTAGAAACATTCAAGACTGATATTACATTTTCATATATTTTTTCAAGATTTTGGTTCTCTTAATTTCACCTGCACTAAGGAAGAAGCAGCTCCTCGCAAGTTTCTTGGTGCTATCTCGCTGATGTAAATTGGTCCCTGTGATTTGATGATATTATCAGATATTTTGTTTTCTTTATTAACCTACATCTCTAATTTTGTATACATTCATACCAAATATGAGCTAATTCCGACCGAGATCCCTTGCAATAACCTTCCAAGATCGAGTAGCCAAACATCCTTGTAACAAAAACAGTTACTGATAAAAAAATGATCGCAAAGCATATTTTGAGGGAACTAAAACCATTCATCGAGTTGAACAACAACATTTCATTACTAAAACATAAAATATTTTAAAGAAAACTAAGAAAATCGCAAACCTTGGCAAATGCAATAGCTAACCAGCCGATCATAACGAGGATGTTTGTTATCCATATTGTCTAGTTCCACAAGTAAAAAAAAAGATAAATTTAAAATAACTAAATTTGTGAACTGAGAACTATTTTGTTCTTTAGTAAGAAGTTAGAAAACTTACGTAGACACGACCAACCAAATCTGTTAATTTGCCACAGATCAATGCTCCAAGGATTAGTCCAACGTTCAATATCGATCCAAAGAGTGAAAACTGAGAAGAAGAAGAAAAAGATTGAATACATTAGCTGAACCAAAACCAAATCCAACCTAACCAGAAGCAAATAAACCGAGATAAACCGAAAGAGAAAGACTTTAATCGAAACACTTGCATCAGCTATGGATAGATTCAAGTCTTTCATGATACTTGACTGTGTAGGAGCTGTATATCCAACCTGTTGGAAATTAAAATTTATTTGGTTGATTACAATAATGCATGAACCCAATTTATGACATCAATCTGAAAAATTATAATAAAACTAAGTATTTAAAAAACTAAAAGAAAAAAATGGAGTATTTAGGAACTCACAATGCAACCAAAGGTGAAAGCGCCACAAGAACCAACAGTGAAGGCAAGAAGAAAAGGTCTCGTAGAGGCATTTGATATCTCAGAGAGAAGTGAAGAAGATTTACTTGGAGAAGCTAATAAACTTTCTTCAGCCATTTTTAGTATCTGAAATTTAGACCAATGCTTTAGGTTGGAGAACCAACCATAAAAGAAAGAAATGGGTAACGAACGTTCTTGCTCTTCTTGTAACCAAAACGGGGACAATAAAACAAAATACATAAATAGTCGTTGTTTTGTCTTTTTCTTTTTCTAAAATCCACCAACCAACCACCACAATGCAGAGGCCAGCCAACCCCCACATTTATATTTTCTTTGGGCTCACCGCATTCAACATTTGTTTTATGGGCCTTATGATCCAATCAATAAACTTGCGAATTCAAAATATCATAATAACAAATTGGGAAGGATGATGTGTTGTTGCTAGTGAGACTTGCTTCTCAAGTTTCACATGTACGTATGCTCTCGACAAATTTGATGATTCACATGTCTTTCTAGTACTTCTACTTTCTTGCTATATCCTTCATTGCACTTCCATTTGCATCCTCGATCATCACCATCCATAGTTACTATTTGTATATTTGAATGAATATAGTTAGGATTTGGTATTGAAACTTTGAAAGCACATATATACTCGTTCATAATGCGACCAACGATCAGCAAGACTAGTCGAGAGTACAACATTTCGTCGAGAAGATCCCAACATGGAAGCTGCATGCATGATGTTAATTAAAATGTATTCATGGCGCAATCACATATTGATCTATTATTTGCTAGTATTATTCTCGGTCCACATATACACTCTTAATTAGAGGGCTGATGAATTATATAGGGACTATAGTTTTCTGGAACACACTTAGCTATTTACTAAGAATCATTCTCTTAATTTTTGTTTTTTATATAATTATTTTTGAAACCTTTCTAATTCATCTATTTTATTTTATTTACTTTTTGTTGTTTGTTTTGGTTGGAAAAATAATAAAAGGTGATAATAGATAAAAGAAAAGGATATGTAAGTTTTTTTGACAAAATTTCATAAAATGTGATTTATGGTAACTACAGAAAGATTAGAAAAATAAGGTTTCCCTATTTTTTTATATAATCATGAATGTCTATCTAACTGGATTTTTATCAAAACCAAAAACTTGCACAATAATCTACACCCAATCAAGGCCCATGATAGACAAAAAAGGGTTTTCTACTAAATCATAACCAAATCATATTATTTATCTCGGTTTGGTTTAGATTGGTTTATTAGGTTATGTTTTTTTTGCCCTACATAGGAGACCATATATATTCTCTAAATTCAACTCTTCTTCGTCCTCTATCGCCGACAAGCTTACTCCAACACTCCTTCAAGCCTTGAACTCCTTTTGCTAGGGGAATTCTCATCACTACTACATATGCAAAACTCCATGGTAGACTTCGTGTCTCAATCTTAATCTTTATATAAACATCTCCTTTATGGATTCTCTTTTCTTATTTTCCATATTTAATTTGTTTCTCGCTTTTATTCAGTTTTTGCTTCTCTGTTACAGCGACAATTTCACTGGGGTTTTGCTTCTGTATGAATTCTTCTTGATCAAGCCAAGTCTTCTTCACAATCTTTTCACAATTTATGGGTTAGATTGATTTCTCCCTCGTATTATTTTCATGTAAAATCTCAATATTTTCTTCATTAATTCTCTGTTTTGTCTTCAATGATGATTTCCTTGATGAGCTTACTCTGTATAATTGTATGTATACTTGTGGTTTTTTTCTTAGATTTCAAATCTGATTTTTGTTGATCATCTTGAATTATTTATTCAGAGCAAATCTATAATCGTTGTATTTGACAATTTCTTTGAAACGGAACTATTCAAATTGTTTTTTTTCCTTTTCTATGAAAACTTCTCCGTGGCGGCATTTAACCATCTTCTGTTCTCATTTTTTTTATTTTTATGAAAATTTAGTACCAACATGCATTATGCTTCTTTGTTTCTTGCTCTTACTTAGGGTTTTTGTGAATTATTGATTAAATTTGCTGATGATGTATATTGAGATTCTCCTAGAAAAATATAAAAATGATATCTTTAAGCTGGTTCAGATAAACTATTTTTCTTTATATGCTTAGTCTTTTTATTTATTTATTACTTATTAGTGATTATATATATAAAGAGAATCACTAATGAAAATCTAAATTGTGATTAGAACTTTATAATCACTCAATCCATTAGCTCTAAATCCATTTCTTTATTTTATAGTACATCTTATTTATATACAAAGTAAACACTCAATTTCAATTTACTATTAGTCTATATCTTAAAAAAATTATGTAAATGAATTATTTACTTAACAAAAAATATTTACTTATTTATCAAATAGAAAATGAAAGCTCAACTTACCTTTACCATCATCCATTTTCTGATGATCATTATGTCGAATCTAAGACGTTCTTAGGAGGTGTCTCCTCCAAAGACTTCTAAGAGGGCATATGTATTAACCTGTACAAAAAACTAAAGTCTTGGTAAAATTGGAATTTAGGAAAATAGTTTTTGGCTGGTTGAAAAACTCAATAGAAGGGAATAAGATCATGCTAAGAGCTTGTAATACCCCGATTTCAAAAATCAAGTATCGGTAAACAAGTTTTTAAAGCCTCTCGGATGTATCATACCGGCAGTCGTTTAAGGATGGATCCACAAGCAGAAAGATGAAGTGGAGTCCATTAAGGGAGGTGGTGGTCTGGGCATTACAAGTGGTATCATAACCTAACAAAGGTGAGTGTGGAGTCAAGAGGGCTCACATCGTTAAGATTGATACAGAGCTGGTGGACCTTACCGTGACAGGATTTACCAATGAATAGGGAGAATTTCCATGCATCAGAATATGAATTCAATGAGAAACTAAACTATGAAAGCAGTGGAGTGTGACAAAGTTCCACTTTAGCTGAAGCAATAGAATCGATCTCGACGGTAGGCAAGTTTGCTCTTCTTATAAAACAATCTTACATAATTAGGGAAGTCTTTAGTAACCCACTTAGTTTTCCAGGATGGCAAATGCTAGAAGTAATAAAATCTTCTTGCACCTTTCCGCTACCACAAAACCAGTTATCTAATGTAGAAGGACACGAGAAGACAAGGTTATGCGCTCCTGAGAAGACTGACTGAAGAAGAACAAGTCATCCAAACTAGGTTTATCCATGAGTAACCATTTGTGTCTTGAGTAACACACAATGGAAAATGTTACCTCTGGCAAACTCAAAAGTGTACAACTTCGGATGCAATGGATCGTAGAGTTCAATTAAGTTGCCACGTCAAAGAAAGCATATAGGCCAAGGATGCTTTTCGCCTACCCGAACATATACAGCAGCTTCACACCATGATTTAAAAGTAACCGATCCACGAATGTTATAACCTGCTAAGTCATAAATAACATACCCCAATCTCGTTACCACTTTCTAGATATAGTAGTAGTCATCACTAGATGATGAGTCGTAATCAAAATTGACAAAAGTGATATCATATGGGTACTCTGCGGTTGAGTCGTTCTCGCGTTTGAACTCTTTAATCCTTTCCAAACATTGCTTCTCAAGATTTTCGTCAAGGTTAATGTTGAAATACTTGCGTAAATCAAGGTGTTCCAAGTGAGGATAACCGTCAAGAATGGCTTTCAAGCTAGCGTTAGTCCAAGGAAATTTCGATTCTTCTTGTTGTTTCCTTCATGGACATTGGCTAGTGTTGTTTTGAAGGCCATTCTTGGTGGTTTCCTTCATTTGGAAAACCTTGCTTTACGCAAGTGTTTCAACATTAACCTTGAGAAGCAATGTTTGGAGAGGATAAAAGAGTTCAAACTCCCGAACGACTTAACCGTAGAGTACCCATATGATAGCACTTTTGTCAATTTTGATTACGGCTCATCGTCTGATGATGATGATGTCTACTACTATACTAGATAGTAGTAACGACATTGAGGTTTACTATATGACTTAGCAGGTAATTATATTTTAAGTCAAGATGAGACAATTTTTATCTTTACGGGTGCTGAAAGAGGGTTAATGAAACTTGGATTTGAGAAATCAAGATTCAGAATCTTCTTTTCTAGAGATTTTAATTTACAAAACAATTAATCAACTTCAAATTAGACACGGTCTTGACTTTTAAATTCTTCTCAAAGTGAAAGTTCTTTTATTTCAAGAATTTTTCTAATTTGAAGATGATATTTGTTTTGTAGATCAAAATATTTGCAGGATAAGGCCCTTAATCACGTGAGCTCAAATACAAGTTTTATTGACCTTCCTTCAGAACTCCTAAAGAAATTAATGTCTAATTTAGATTTAAAATATAACAGTCAACTAAATTATCGGTTTAATTAACGACATCGTTAAATTTGTAGGTTTTGGCCATATTTATATAGTTTTATGTTGTAAATTGAAAATATAAATTAGTTCATATAGTTATAAACACACTCAAAAATTACATGTACGAATACGATAAAAACAACTAAGTTTGTTGGGAATTGGGAATTGGCCGTTTTTCTTATATATAAATTTGTAATTTATTAGTTTTTATATGTAAGAATTCAGTTTATACTACTAATGTTTGACTACGGGTCACTATAAATATAATATGGGTCATATTCACTAGTATGTATGCCTTTTATAAAGACATGCTAGACACATATTGATTGAATCGTTTTTTGATAAACTACTAAAAGATTTATAGGATGCTTTTTATTAGTGTGAGAAATGAAGCATTTATCTAATAAGTAATAATCATCAACGTCCTATATATAAAGATATGATAAATTTGACTAATCCGGATTAGTTATTAACAAAAGAATAACTAAAATGACCCATATATATGTACCTTTCTGAATCTGTATTGTTTAACATAATCTAACTCTACTCTTATGTCTTTATATTTTGACACTTTCTTTCTTGTTTCAAATCCATATCGTAAACTTGTTGTAAACTTCTTCTTTTAAGCAAGTAGTCGCATTAGTTTGTAATACAAAAGCAAATAGAAAAGTCGTAACATATTCCAACTACACAAGAGGTATTTGTTTTCGTATGATTTCTTGATTTAAAAAGGGTTAGCGATAGAGAGAGCTGGCAAAAATGCCGAGTTCCTTTAGCCGGTGAGTTGACTTTTCAAGTAATCACTCACACACACAGATCTGAACTCACCTTGTCCCATCATTATGACACCGTCTCTTTTTTGTTTTTTCATTATTATCATCATCTTCATCATTACATAATTTATAGATTTTTGTTTTATATTATTATGAATGACACGAAAATAATTTTCAAAGCCTTATTGCCGGTGGAAAATTTTGTCTTTATAATTTTAATTTAATTTATGTTGACGTTTTTGCCGGCATGCCCCGTATGATATAAATGCGTCAGCTACGATATAGGATTATGCATTTTTCTCTAATTATTTTAGTTTTTTTTTCACATAATTGCGTCTGACGAATGATTAGTGGTGAAAGTTGTGTTTGACTGTATCCAGATCTTAATCCTTAGCGTAGTAATCCAATGCTGAAATTTAGATGTAACTTTTGAGTTTTGTCTTTTAATTTATCAAAAATTGCTTACAAACTATAACAACCAAGTGGTATCGATAATCGAATTGGATTTGTGATCTAAGTTACACACCGTTTCCAAAATAAATGTGATAAATTAAAGAAACTAGAATAATATTGCTTGGTATATATAGCTGTACATATATAATTCATTCGTTTTATTTCGTCTGATAATATTCATTTCGAATAATACATTATTTAATAGATTATGAATGGGGGAGATTCCTTATCATGTTGCTTCCATCATCGGATACCTTAGAAAATAAGAGAGTTACATGCATGCAAGTCGTGCCATATAAATGACACCAAAAGGCAAAAACCAACACAAAGCAAACGTAACATATGATTAACTAATATACCGAAGGTCAAATAAAGATGATTTTATAATCATCATGAGGTCAATGCTAAATTTATAAAATGTTAATGCTACGGCCGCCATTAACGTTTAATCTTGATATAAACCTATATCAAACTAACCGGCCGAGACTAAAATGTTGATAAAATGGCTTTCTTAAGTTTAATTGAGGTCTTGTACAATATGCAAATTATTGCAGGTAGTCAATATGACAATATATGATAATTTTTACTTTTATAATCCAAGAAAAGACTTTATTTTTAAATCATAAATTTCGTTGCAAGTTGAATTCTTCATCGTGCATGGATATATATGTTGAGAACTGAATATTCCAAATTTAATATGTAAAAAAATTATAATGAATGAAGAATATTAATCATAGAAATAAAATAATTACGCTGTGTTTTATATTTATATGCGTGTGTGTAAGTGAATAATAGCTAGTATTGGCAAGGCAAACTAAAAAAAAAACAATATAGAATTAAATACACATTAATATGACTCATATACCTAATTAATAATCCTCACATGGTGTCTCTCCCTCTCTCACTATAAATGTTTGTGTACTTCATGTTATTAGCTTTACTCAATCTTTCTCAATACTTTCAAGCCAACAAGAACTCAAAAAAGAAAAATAAACCAATCAATGGCATTAATGGTGAAGAATCGTCCGTACGAGTACACAAAGATGGAGAAAGAAGACCCACAAGAGCTAATTCACAGAAGAGCTCAGTTCCTAATCCAGAAGGTTTTAGAACGAGCAGAGAACAAGACCAGACAGCAGCAACAGCAGCAGCAGAGGAGGAGATCATCATCTGGACCGTTGGTTATGATCCGTGTGGTTGGGATAAGGATGAGGATTGGTAAGAAGCTAAGGAAGCTGAGGAAGAACAACAGTTGTGTCTGCAATAACTTTATCTCTCGTGTCCTCAAATCATTTAAACGTCTATTGTGTTCTTCTTCTTCATCATCTTCTTCTTCTCGAACTATCTCTGATCTTCCTCCTCTCTTCTCTCTACAAGTTTGATGATCTTTTGATCTTTTTTGCTTCAATATTATATTATATGTTATAATATGCTTCATTTTGTAAAAAAGTTATAATGATATATGATATCGAGCTGAAGTCTGTTTTTGGAATCTTTGATATGTTCTATGGTTGAAATATCATACAGCTTATTCGATTATAATCGAAACCAATAATATGATTTATGACGAGGTTTCCAATTACTAGACTTACAATTTTTTTAAGTTCATGTTTTAGATATATATTGAGGATTTAATTGACTTAGTGAAAAGGTCGCACATGTACATGCATATGACTTGTTAGACTAGAAGTAGGTTAGAGCCGATGAGAAAGTTAGGAAAATACATTTTATGAACTACCAATCAAAGAGTCAATTTTATGACTTGTATATCATATACATGTGATGTTTGAATCTTTGAACTACCAATCAAAGAGTCAGTATCTAAGTAAAGTTTAGTTGGAAAACAAAGTGGACAATTAGAGAGATAGTGAACAATTAAAGTGAACATTTTTTTTGTTATTTAAACAATGCCAAACTTTTATCATAAACTTAGAAATTTGACAAGATATCAATTCTAGTTCGTGGAAAGCCAAAGAACATAAAAGCGTAAAACATGCATGTCATCGTTTCAATACTGAGATTTTCTAAAAAATACCAAACCCCCAAAAAGTATACATTAATTAACTAAGAAATACAAGCAAGTTTTTTTCAAACATATCGGCCCTTACTCATACATGCAAGTTTCAAGACGACGAAACGTTACGACTCATGAGTACGAAAGAGACCACTAATGTATTGTTTTTTTTGTTGCACTTATTTGCAAAGAAAACGTTTTTTCTATATACATATGCACTATGTCGACATTAACATTAATTTATTATGCATCATGAATTAAAAAGTCGTTGTAACTGAGAGTGAACAAATGCTCTAAATTAAGATATCATCATTGAAAAGTAACAATGGTTTTGTACATGACATAGTCTAAAGACTCTTTAAGTGTAGAAGTCGCAGTCTGTTTGAAATTATTTACATATATTTATTGGAAGTTCTCTATAGCTTTGCTATGGACGTAATGGTAGAAGAAATTAAAAGACAACTATGTTTTACCTAAATTTTGTTTTCTTCCAAAGCAAAAAAAAAACTCATAAGAATGATGAGGGGAACATATTGTAGTGCCTTACGACTTTTATTAGTATACTTTTTGATTCAATATTAATATGTATAAGTTATATATAGTAATAAATGGGAAGATGGTTGTGTGAGAGTGTGAGAAAAACTGGAGAAAGCTGTAAGACCGAACATGGCCACATATAAACTCATTCATCCATCACGATCTTGTCGGTTCCTTTTTTGATCAAACCTTTCATAAGTCATTAGCTCTCTTTTTTTCGTTGACTTTACGATTTTATTTCGGTAGAACGTTGACCTATTCTTTGTTTTTATTTCATATCCATGATGTATAATCATTTTCATATCATAGATTAGTATTCAGTTGATAAAAAAAATGGATTGGAAATTAGAAAATTTTATACTCCCTGTGTTCCTTACTAATCCATTTTTTAGGAATTTTTTTTTTGTTTCAAGGTATATATGTATATATTTTAAAGCTATCTATGTATTTTTAATAATTATTGATGAAGAATTGTAAATTTCCAAAAAATTAACGAAATATTATCGGTTTAGAGTTATAGAAAATTGTAATAATTACAAAAAATAATGCATTTATAATCAACTTTTACACTTGAGTTTGGTTTTGTGGCACATTACTCCTTTTTAGGTAGACACATTATACCTGCTGATAGGCATGTCAATCGGGCTAGCCCGGCCCGGCCCGGCCCGAAACCCGTAAAGCCCTCATATATGTGAGCCCTGCCCGGTCCGGCCTGAAAAATTTCCAAGCCTATATTTCAAAGCCCGGCCCGGCCCTAACAGGGTTACAGGGCTTTTCGGGCTTTTTTGGGATTTACTTACCGATAAAAAAATCAATTTCTAAGTTCATAATAGTTTTTCAAAAACTATATTTATAGGTATAAAATACTTTAAAGTATATGATAGAGTCAAAATTTAATATATTTTTGATGATTTCAAAATCATGATACTTATATATATTTAGTTTTAGCTTTGTTCAGTTCTGGCATATATAAATAAGAGAAAATATTATAGATAAAGATTTTAAAAGTAATAATTAAGGCTAGTAAGTAAATATACTATAACATTAATCAAATCTTTTAATCAAACTAAAATATTAAAAAAATTCAAAATATATTTGTTTAAGGGCTTTTCGGGCCGGTACGAGCCCGACCGGGCTAAGCCCAAAAAACCCTTTAGCCCGAATGGGCTTAGTCCAAAAGGTCCGTTTTTTTCTGAATATATATATTTAAGCCCGAACCCGATTTTTTTGAAGGCCAGGCCAAACTAGCCCGCGGGCTTTAGCCCTAATTGACATGCCTACCTGCTGAATCAATCTGAATCATTTTATTTCAAACGTTTAACAAATATATTTGTTTTCGCTGAAAATCCGAATGCAGCTAAAAATTTGAGTTGTTTTGAATATTTAATTAATTTTTTATATATATTTTAACAGAAAACATTTTTGGAAGATTTTAACCAAATTATTTGAAGAGGTCTCTATGTCCAAAAATAAACTCATCAGCCATCGTAGAGGAAGATTCAATAATTGTAAGGCCCAATTAAGGTATTAAAATCGGCCCAATAAAGGTATTGAAAGCGGCCCAATTTCAGACTTGTTTTTTCCAAGCTAAACGATTCGGTGTATGGAAAAAAAAAAGGTAAAAAAATTCGCAGTTCGAACTTCTACAGTTCACTTCTATCAGACGATTACACTCACAAGTTGACGCGACTGAATAATTCCAATTACAGTCAAACATTCAGAAATCACAACTCAAGAGTATGTTTGTTCCTCCTCAACCCCACATCTTCGATCTGGGTTTCTCTCTTTCAATCCTCCAAGCTCATCTTCTTCAAACCCACTAGAAAAAGTCTCCACCTTTACTAATAATGGGTTGCTTCAGCAGTAAACACCGGGAAACTCAAAACGACGGCGGAGAAAGATCATTTCCGATCAGTCCGGCACAAACCCATGTCGTTAATCAAGTTCCTGAGCAATCTAAACCTCAAACCCCAACACGCAAACCCACAAATCAACAGATTCCAACACCGTCAGCGAACCCAATCTCAGCTCGAGGTCTAGATACCATATTAGGTAAACCATTCGAAGACATCAGGAAAGTTTACAGCTTGGGAAAAGAACTGGGTCAAGGTTATTTTGCGACTACGTATATGTGCACAGAGATTTCGACTGGGAACACTTACGCTTGCAAATCGATTCTTAAGAGTAACCTAATCAGTCAGATATACGAAGAGGATGTGAAGAGAGAGATTCAGATAATGCAGCATTTGTCTGGACAACCAAATATAGTTGAGATCAAAGGTGCTTATGAGGATAGACAATGTGTACATTTGGTTATGGAGCTGTGTGCTGGTGGTGAGTTGTTTGATAGGATTATAGCTAAGGGTCATTACTCTGAGAGAGCTGCTGCTGGTATCATGAAGTCAATTATGAATGTTGTTCAGATTTGTCATTCTATGGGTGTGGTTCATCGAGATCTCAAGCCTGAGAATTTCTTGCTCTCGAGTAAAGAGGAGAATGCCGTGCTTAAAGTTACTGATTTTGGGTTGTCCGAGTTCATTGAAGAAGGTGAGCTTGAGATTGACCAGATTCTTAGTGTTTCAATTGATAGAATCACTTGTAGGAGTTTTGATAGTTCTGAATTTGGTATGCCAATAATTTGGTATCTATAAGATTGTCTTGCACAAGTTTCTCTAGTATAAACAATGTTATTCTCACCAATAGATTGTGGGGTTTTGTGTTCATTGAAGATTGATCATATTTTATTTCATTGCATTGTGATCTCAAGCTCGGGAACTAGAGTGACAAAGACAATGTTATGCTCCCATCAAGAGATTGTGCGGTTTTGTTTTCATTGAAGATTGATCATATTTTTTTAGCCTTTTGATATATTAGTGTGTTTGATAGGGTTTGGATCAGAATATATTCAGTAATGTTTGGTTTTTGTAAGACTTTCTTGAACAAATCTTTAAGTATCGGAAATCTGCATTTTTTTACTTTAATCTTGAGCTAAATTGGTGACTTAAGTATGTTCTCATGCATAATGGGGCTCTACTCTTTAGTACGAGAATCGGATTTATGTTGTCTTATTGAACAGATTGTGTGATCTTATGATAATTGTCAACTATGTCAATTTCGTTTATTTTTATTCTTATGTTAATAATATGCTTGATGCTACATTTGTGTAACCAATAAATACAGGAAAAGTTTACCGGGATATAGTTGGGAGTCCTTTCTACATTGCTCCTGAAGTATTAAGGCGGAGTTACGGGAAAGAAGTGGACATTTGGAGTGCTGGTGTTATTTTATACATCCTACTCAGTGGTGTACCTCCTTTTTGGGCCGGTAAAAACCTTTAAACTAGCCAAATTCCTTTATTGTTTCCGTCTTGGGGTTTAATCTATAATCACATGTTATATATTGTAGAAAATGATAAAGGAATATCCATTGAGATTATGAAAGGTGAGACAAATTTTAAACGCCAACCATGGCCTTCAATATCTGAGAGCGCGAAAGATCTTGTTAGAAAGATGCTAACCAACGACCCAAAGAGACGGATCACTGCTGCACAGGTTCTTGGTAAGAGTCTATGAATACCAGTAAATTTTTACCCCAATTTGTATGTGATTTAAACAACTCAAATTAAAGATTCCATATTAGCAGGCTTGATTATATAATCTATAGGCTCGACACCAGAACAAAATTTTGAAGTCTTAGATGGTCCTTGTCTTTGAGTTTATGGTCGTCTAACTAGTGATGGTTTACTAATATGTCCTTATTGTTTATAGAACATCCTTGGATCAAAGGGGAAGAAGCATCGGACAAGCCTATTGATAGCACTGTTTTATCTCGTATGAAGCAATTCCGAGCAATGAATAAACTTAAGAAGCTAGCTCTAAAGGTAAAGAAGTAGCTCAAATAATTATGAAATTATCTTTCTATATTCCTAATTGTGCATCTTGCTTATCTTCTTACAATCTTGTTGTGTTCTCTAATCAAATTAAACGTCTCATATCTACCAGTTCCTCGCACGTTGTTTTGTGATTTGTGTGTTTGATTTGCAGGTTATTGCAGAGAGTCTATCAGAAGAGGAGATCAAATGTCTTAAAACCGTGCTTGCCAATATGGATACCGACAGAAGTGGGACAATCACTTATGAAGAACTCAAAACTGGGCTAACTAGACTTGGGTCTAGAATCTCTGAAACTGATCTAAAGCAACTCATGGAAGCAGTAGGTTATCTTCAGCATCTTAATTTCTCTTTTGCGCAATTAAGATCTTAAAAAAAAAACAGCTTGACACGCATGGATTACTCACCGCTTGAATTTAGCTAGTTCTATTTGCACTAATCCGAATCTGATAACAACTTTTCAGGCTGATGTCGATGGTAATGGAACAATCGATTACTACGAGTTTATCTCTGCTACAATGCAAAGATACAAATTAGATCGAGATGAGCAAGTGTACAAAGCATTCCAACACTTTGATAAAGACAACAATGGGTAATTTTTTTTAAAACGTTTTCATATAAATCTCCATCGATTATTTCTTGTGTCAAGAGAATCAAGATTCGAATATGTGCAACTATTATGAGACACCAATGTTAACAGTTTGGGTAATAATACAACAGGTACATAACTAGGGATGAGTTGGAATGTGCCATGACGGAATATGGAATGGGAGATGAAGCTAGCGGCAAAGAAATTATATCCGGAGTTGATACAGACAATGTAAGTCGCACACTCTAACATATAAGGCAACACCTCAAACATCGAACCGATTCTTGAAACCTTATAATGATGTAACAGGATGGAAGAATAAACTTTGAGGAGTTTCGTGCGATAATGAGAAGTGGCACCACACAACCACAAAGGTAAACTGTTTCCATCCCACTGATCAAGAGTTCAAGACTACATTATTCCCAACAACTTATCAAGGGAAACACAGAGGTGCGAGTAGTTGATAAACTGTGTCAAGATGGTTGTTGTTTCCTCTGTGTGATACAGGAAAGAATACACAAAGTCACTTGTAGAGCTGTGATTAAAAGAAAAAAAATGTATAGGCGATATCATTCATTCTGGAAATTTCTAATGAAAAAAATCTTCTTCTCCTTCATCTCCTGTCTCTTTCGAAAGCTTGGTTCATTGTTTTGCTTGAGATTGATTCTCTGTTGGGTGAGCTAGGAATTTGTGTGTTTTGTGAACATTATTATGTCGTTCTTGAGAAATTGCAATTAAGGCCTCTTTGTCTCTTCATCCATATCGATAATGTATAAGGCCCAATTAAGGCCTTTAAATCAGCCCAATTTCAGACCTCAATTTTCAATTTTTATTTTTTCTAGCTGAAAATCAAAATATTTGACAGTTCATATTCAAAAGTTTTGTAATTATGAAGTACAGAATATTCTCTACACTATTGTCCAACCAAGAAAATAGAAATTTCCATTCTAAAAACAAAATAGAGTTCAAAACTTTTACACCTAAGAAAAATAATGAAAAGTCAAATATAATTATAGTTTACTTTTTATTTTTCAGCAAAATTGACAAAACACATTAACTTGTACAATTCCATCACACTCACAAATTGACGCGACTGAGAGAATAATTCCAAGTCCAGTCAAACAAACTCAAATCATCTTCATCTTCATCTTCATCTTCAATCTCACATCTTTCAATCTGGGTTTCTCTCTTTCAATCCTCCAAGCTCATCTTCTTCATACCCACTAGCAAAAGTCTCCACCTTTACTTAGAATGGGTTGCTTCAGCAGTAAACACCGGAAAACTCAAAACGACGGCGGAGATAGATCAATTCCGATCAATCCAGTACAACCCCGTGTCGTTAATCAAGTCCCTGAGCATCGTAAACCTCATATCCCAACACCCAAATCCACAAATCAACCAATCCATCAACAGATTTCGACACCTTCATCGAATCCAATCTCAGCTCGAGATCCAGATACCATATTAGGTAAACCATTCGAAGACATTAGGAAATTTTACAGCTTGGGGAAAGAACTAGGCCGAGGTCAGTTTGGGATTACGTATATGTGCAGAGAGATTTCAACTGGGAACACTTATGCTTGCAAATCGATTCTTAAGAGGAAGCTGATTAGTAAGCAAGACAAAGAGGATGTGAAGAGAGAGATTCAGATAATGCAGTATTTGTCTGGACAACCAAACATTGTTGAGATCAAAGGTGCTTATGAGGATAGACAATCTGTGCATTTGGTTATGGAGTTGTGTGCTGGTGGTGAGTTGTTTGATAGGATTATAGCTCAGGGTCATTACTCTGAGAGAGCTGCTGCTGGTATCATTAGGTCCATTGTGAATGTTGTTCAGATTTGTCATTTTATGGGTGTGGTTCATCGAGATCTAAAGCCTGAGAATTTCTTGCTTTCGAGTAAAGAGGAGAATGCTATGCTTAAAGCAACCGATTTCGGGTTGTCTGTCTTCATCGAAGAAGGTGAGCTTTAGGTTATAGTTTTGATGGAATTATCTTTGGAATTTATAACAACCTATAAGATTTTCTTGCACTAGGCTCTTTAGAATCGAGAATCGTCTTAGGAGTTTGGTAGTTCATTGAGTTGGATCGCAAGCTCGAGTAACAATGAGAATGTTATGCTCAAAGCAATCAGTTTCGGGGGTTCTCTGTTCGTTGAAGATTGTTCATATTCCTTAGCGTATTGATAGGTTATGGATCCGAGTATGTTTATTAATGTCTAGATTCTATAAGACTGTCTTGCACAAATCTCTCTAGTATTGAAAATCTTCATTTTTTTTTTTTTTTTTTTTTGCTTTAATGATGAACTAGATTGGTGACTTATGTTCCAATGCATAAGGATGAGACTAAGACTCTTTAGTAGAGATTTGTGTTGATGTTGTGTTATTGGACAGATTGTGATCCTTGTGATATTGTCAAGTATGTCATTTTCGTTTATTTTGATTTGTCTGTTAATAATATGCTTGATGCTACATTTGTGAAACAAACAAATACAGGAAAAGTTTACCGGGATATAGTTGGGAGTGCTTACTATGTTGCTCCTGAAGTATTAAGGCGAAGTTACGGGAAAGAAATCGACATTTGGAGTGCAGGTGTTATTTTGTACATCCTACTCAGCGGTGTACCTCCTTTTTGGGCCGGTAAAAACCTTTAAGTAACCAAATTGCTTGATTATTTTCTTTTTGGGTTTAGTCTCTAATCACATGTTATATTGTAGAAAATGAGAAAGGAATATTCGATGAGGTTATAAAAGGTGAAATTGATTTTGAAAGCCAACCGTGGCCTTCTATATCTGAGAGCGCGAAAGATCTTGTTAGGAAGATGCTAACCAAAGACCCGAGGAGACGAATCACGGCTGCACAGGTTCTTGGTAAGATAATGTGAATACCAGTATTTTTTTTCCAATATGTATGTGATCTAACGAAATCATATTAAAAAAAAAAATCCATATTAGAAGGCTTGATTATACATTCTATACCAGAATAACATAGGTAGTCCATTGTATAGGTCTTAAAAAGACACTGGTGAATCTTGAAATCTGAACTTGATCTTCAATTTGAGTTCATAGTCTTCTAACTAGTAATGCTTTACTAATATGTAGCAATCGTTATGGTTTATAGAACATCCTTGGATCAAAGGGGGAGAAGCACCAGACAAGCCTATTGATAGCGCTGTGTTATCTCGTATGAAGCAATTCCGAGCTATGAACAAACTTAAGAAGCTAGCTCTAAAGGTAAAGAAATAGCCCATATAATTATGAAATTATCTTTCTATATTCATAATTCTGCATCTTGCTTATCTTCTTGCAATCTCATTGTGTTATCTAGACAAATAAAACGGCATCGGGTTGTGATTTTTGTGTTTGTTTTGCAGGTTATCGCAGAGAGTCTATCAGAAGAGGAGATCAAAGGTCTTAAAACCATGTTTGCGAATATAGATACCGACAAAAGCGGGACAATCACTTATGAAGAACTCAAAACTGGGCTAACTAGACTTGGGTCTAGACTCTCTGAAACTGAAGTTAAGCAACTTATGGAAGCGGTAAGTTATCTTCAGCATTTAGATCTCACTTTGTCAATTAAGATCTTAAAAAAGACAGCTTGAAACACATGATGATAACTTTTCAGGCTGATGTGGATGGTAACGGAACAATTGATTACTACGAGTTTATATCTGCGACAATGCATAGATACAAATTAGATCGAGATGAGCATGTATACAAAGCATTCCAACACTTTGATAAAGACAACAGCGGGTGAGTTTCTTTTATTTTCAGCTAGGAATCTAACTCAATCAAATCATTTATTATTCTTTTATAAATGTTATGAGGCACCAATGTTAATGCTTTGGGTAATACAACAGGCACATAACTAGGGATGAGTTGGAAAGTGCCATGAAGGAATATGGAATGGGAGATGAAGCTAGCATCAAAGAAGTTATATCCGAAGTTGATACAGACAATGTAAGTCGCACTCTCTAACAAATAAAGCAACACCTCAAACATTGAACCGCTTCTTGAAACCTTGTAAATTAAACTCTGTTACAGGATGGAAGAATAAACTTTGAGGAATTTTGCGCAATGATGAGAAGCGGCACCACACAGCCACAAGGGAAACTGCTTCCATTCCATTGATCAACCGAAGCGATTCTTAAACCCGGGGAAGAAGAGGTAAACCGGGGGAAAACCGAGGTGGGAGTAGATTGATATACTGTCTCAAAAATTATTCATCCTTCTTCTCTGTGTTTGAACAGATTTATTTATCCCTTCTCCTTAGATAGTATGAAACTGAGTTTGAGATCTTAGCTCTTTGTAACAATAACAAATCCAGTTCTTTTATTGTTGTGTAACTTTCTTGAGAACCTTCTTACTCCATATTAAGAATTTTAAAAGAGTCAAATACCTTAATAAGTTAGAACCTCTTTAGTCTTTATTTCTCACTGTAAAAACTAAGTCAAGAGAATGCCCCAAATCTCTAATGCCCCACCAAATGCCCTAACCCTTACAGATCGGGGTGATGTGAACTTACAATACAAATTCTTATCAGTTAGATGCGTAATCGTATATTATTCTTCTATATCTATACAAAGTATACAACTGTCACACGCTTTGTGTTTGTAAGCTGGATGTTCAATATGCATACGTGGGATGCACGAAAGAAGTATTCTAAATATAGTCTACTATATTTTACACTAGCTGAGAATAATACATTACAGTAAGACCAGTTTATGAAATAAGCAAAAAAAAAAACGCACCAATTATATTAATCAAAAAATTTAACAAAAAAAGAAATTATATTTTATAAACCAATATTACCGTTGACAAAGCAAAAAAAACGTGACCAAATAATATATAAACATATATAAAATATATATTCTTTGTTTTGCGTACTAATGTGTATCGATTTATAATGATTTTATGTTAGAAAATTAGTTTGTAGCAATAGATCACCAAAACTCTAATGACCGTTCAGTATTTTAATATATTACAGTAAGACAAGTTTTATTATACTCGTTACTACTGAAACAAATTACTGAAACAAAAGAAAATAATATTTAAAAAACCAATATTACCGTTGACAAAGCAGAAAACAATGACCAAAAATCCAATATTTCATTTTAATATTAAAAGACCGTTCAGTAATTTTATAATACAACTCAATGATTATAATTAATCCAACATTAATATATACTTTCGGTATTCGCCACATTAGACCTCGAAGTTCATCATCTTTAAGATCAAAAACTAACTTTTTTACCATTGTGTTCAGTTTTTTATTTAAAGTTATATAATTAAAAATTTTAGCTTTAGGAAGTTAGGGTTTAATCTGTGGTAAATTTATAATAGTTCCATAATCTTGTTTTTTTCTTTTTATTTTCTAACACAAAAGTCGTTTAGTGAAAAAGTCTTCGAGGACTTATTGACTTTATAAAATTATGAATAGTTAAAGACCAATACGAATTCATATGATGCCATCCAAAGAGAGTTAGTTCATCACAATTCACAAGTTCAATACATCAACTCCTTAAATCTTACATGTTGACAATCTTGAGTCTTGAGTCTTGAGAATCATCTTCTAGAGCTAACTTCTTCAAATTAATCCCCAAGTCAGATTCATGGGTTGCTGTGGTAGTAAACCCCTAACAAAGTCTGACCTTGTCTCAAAGCCAGAGACGATTCTTGGGAAGCCATTGGAAGACATCAAGAAGCATTATAGCTTCGGAGACGAATTGGGCAGAGGTCAAGTTGGAACAATAACCTACTTGTGCAAAGAGAATTCAACCGGAAAGAGCTACGCTTGCAAATCCATATCCAAGAAGAAGCTAAGCAGCCAAGAAGAGAAAGAAGCTGTGAAGACAGAGATTCAAATCATGGATCACGTTTCAGGACAGCCTAACATCGTACAGATCAAAGCTTCTTACGAGGATAAGAACTCTATACACATCGTTATGGAGTTGTGTGGTGGTGGAGAGTTATTCGACAAGATCGATGCATTGGTCCAGTCTCATAGCTATTACTCGGAGAAAGATGCTGCTGGAATCTTTAGGTCGATTGTGAATGCTGTGAAGATTTGTCATTCTTTGGATGTGGTTCATTGTGATCTTAAGCCTGAGAACTTCTTGTTCTCTAGTGAGGATGATAATGCGAATGCTATGCTCAAAGCTATCGATTTCGGGTGTTCTGTTTACATCAAAAAAGGTGAGAGCCAAAAATATTTGATCTCTGATTACTGAATCAGTTAAAGTATTTTGATATATACTTTAGCTGCTTCAGTCATTAGGTTGATCAGAATTCAAGATTTGATCATAAAGTCAAGTATACTATTTTTAGTAAGTTTGTTCATCAATTCATCAAATTTGCAACAAAAATTGCAGGAGAAACTTTTGAGAAAATTGTTGGCAGTAAATACTACGTGGCTCCTGAAGTACTAGAGGGAAGATATGGGAAGGAAATTGACATTTGGAGTGCTGGTGTTATTTTGTACATCCTTCTCAGCGGTGTACCGCCTTTTCAGACTGGTAAAAGCTTAAGCTAAAACAGTACCTTGATATGAGTTTTTTCTTGGTGTTGAATCTGTAGTTGTGAGTACTTCGTATCGTAGATGCTGAGATTAAGGGAGGCAGACCTGATTTTGACAGCCAACCATGGCCTTTGATTTCTGAAACGGCGAAACACCTTATCAGGAAGATGCTCATCAAAAACCCCAAGGAACGGATCTCTGCTGCAGATGTTCTTGGTAAGCCCTTTGCTTTGTGATTTTGCGAAAACATATGAACTGAAAGCATGATTGTCAGTGTTTTGATGGATGGGAGACAGGGGATGTGAACTTCTTTTAAATTGTAATGAAATGAAAGTGACTGCCAAAAGAATCATCAACAAGGATCAAGAATCAGCTTTTGGTCTCTTGTTTAGGCGTTAGAGTGACACTATGTGAATAATGAAGTCTTTATTTTCTTCTGTCTGAAGTGTTGGCACGAGTTTATGGTTGTCTCTAATTAGCAATCCATGTGTGGTTTATATATAGAACATCCTTGGATGACAAGCGAAGCTCCAGATAAGCCTCTTGATTGTGTTGTCTTATCACGTATGAAAAAATTCCGAGCAATGAACAAGTTTAAGAAGCTAGCTCTTAAGGTACAAAACAAAAAAAAAAGAAAAAAAAATGTAGTTAGTGTTCTTTCACTAATCTACAACTGTCCTGAACTTGAGATTGTGATTCGTGTGTTTGGTTCTGCAGGTTATAGCAGAGCGTCTATCAGAAGAGGAAATCAAAGGTCTTAAAACAATGTTTGAGAATATGGATACTGACAACAGTGGTTCAATCACTTATGAAGAACTCAAAACTGGGCTAAATAGACATGGTTCTAGACTATCTGAAACTGAAGCTAAGCAACTCATTGAAGCCGTGAGTATATAGATAAAAACATCTTCTCTACTAACCAGCTCTTCAAAAGTGAGTATATATTTTTTTTCTTTTTCTTTGCAGGCTGATGTGGATGGTAATGGAACAATAGACTACATCGAGTTTATAGCAGCGACAATGCAAAGACACAAATTGGAACGAGATGAAATTTTGCACAGAGCATTCCAAGACTTGGATAAAGACAATAGTGGGTAAGTTTAATGAAACCAAATCATTTTATGTGTCAAGAGAAAATGTTCGTGACTTGTGAGATAGAGACATAGAGTGTAACAAATGGCTTGTATAGGTACATAACGAAGGAGGAGTTGGAGATAGCAATGAAGGAGCGTGGTATGGGAGATGAAGCTAATGCCAAAGAAATTATATCAGAAATCGATAAAAATTACGTAAATAAATGGCTTCGCTCTCTATAAACTTCTTTATTTATCTCGGTTTAACAAAGAACCGGTTCTGAATCTTGTAATGAATTTTTGCGCAGGATGGGAAAATAGACTATGAGGAGTTTTGTACAATGTTGAGAAACTAGCAACCACAAGGGATCAATTGATCATAAGCTCTTTGCTTTTGTTTCATCTGAAAGCGGTTTTGTTAAACCCGGAGAAGCATAGCTGAACCGGGGTCAGATTAGTTAATCTTGAAACTGTTTTACATGTCTGTCTTCTTGTAATTTTCTTCAAAATATACATTTCTTGTAATTTTCTTAATCCTTGTGAAGCTTTATTACAAAGTAGTCATCTTTATGTTTTCACTCTGAATTCTATAAAACTAAAACACATTGGTTTCAAACCTAAACCAACGGTTCAATTAACGCCTTCATTGCCAAACCCTCTAGCTGAATTAGAGTGCTTGGGTCTTCACTTTTTCTATATAACAAAAAGACTAAAAATATGAATATTTAAAGACTATTGACTTTCAAAGACCAAGCGTACAACTTCTGTGTTCAGATGATTCTCCTCTCCTTAAATCTTACATCTTTGAGTTCCTCGAAATTTTCATCTTCTTCAACCCAAAAAGAGAAGTCTCTGGAAAAGTCATAATCAGATTAAATGGGTTGCTTCATCAGTAAAGACCCAAAACCATCGAAGAAGACGATACTCGAGAAACCATTCGTGGACATCAGAAAGCTTTACACCATCGGGGAGAAATTGGGTGAAGGCCAATTCGGTATAACACGAAAATGCGTTGAGAAATCAACAGGTATGACTTACGCCTGCAAAACCATTCTCAAGACGAAGCTAAAGAGCGAAGAAGATGAACAAGCCGTGAAGAGAGAGATTCTGATTATGAAGCATTTGTCTGGAGAACCAAACATCGTCGAGTTCAAATGTGCGTACGAGGATAAAGATTCCGTACATATCGTCATGGAGTTTTGTGGTGGTGGAGAGTTATTCAAAAAGATCGAAGCTTTGTCCAATGCGGGCAAGTTTTACACGGAGAAAGATGCTGTTGAGATCATTAGGCCTATTGTGAATGTTGTCAAGGTTTGCCATTTAATGGGTGTGATGCATCGTGATCTAAAGCCTGAGAATTTCTTGTTCTCGAGTAATGATGAGGATGCTGTGCTCAAAGCTATTGACTTTGGGTGTTCTGTCTTTATCGAAGAAGGTGAGCTCCAAAGATTCCTTTCTTTGAGTGTGTGTTTGATAAGTTTTGGATCCGAGTATGTTTTTTTTCGTCTGTTTGCTTTAGTCATGAGCAAAAATTTGGTGACTTTTGTTTGTATGCATAGAGATTGGGACTAAAATCTGAGGTTTAGAGGTTGATCTGTAATAGAATCATCTTAGGAGTTTGATAGTTTTGGATTATGTAAATGTTTTGAATCTTTAGGATTGTTATTTCACAAGTCTCTTTAGTTTGCTTCAGTCATGAGAAAATTTGGTTAATTTTGTTGATTTGGTCACTCGTACATTTAAGTATCAAGAATAGTGTTTATATTGTCAGTTTGATTCTGATATTTGTACATAATTGACTTGATGCATTGTTTCTGAAACCAACAAAAACAGGAGAAGTCTACCGGGATTGTGTTGGGAGTGCTTACTACGTTGCTCCTGAAGTATTAAAGGGAAGTTACGGGAAAGAAGCAGACATTTGGAGTGCAGGCATTATTTTGTATATCCTGCTCTGTGGCAATCCTCCATATGTGGCCGGTAAAAACTTTACTACTGGATTTGTTTCTTTTTGGTGTTTGATCTGTAAGTTATAGGTTTATGTTGTGTATACATTGTAGAAACTGAGAAAGATCTGCTGAAAGAGATATTGAGAGACGAAATTGATTTTAAGAGCAAACCATGGCCTTCTATATCTGTGAACGCACAACATCTTGTCAAAAAGATGCTTACTAAAAACCCTAAGGAACGAATCTCTGCTGCAGATGTTCTTGGTATGTTCCTTTATTTTCTTTTCTAGATTGTTATAAAGCCAACAAAAAATGTATCTGTTTTTGATTCTAAAGAAATCAAATTAGATGAGGCCATGATTGTTAGTGTTTGGTGGGTGGAATTTAGGTGAGTTCCAAAAGAAGCTTCAAGAATCCAGAAGTGGGTTCACTATGTTTCCTCAAAAGATATGATATGTGAATCTTTGAAGTCTTAATCTTGTTCTGACTGTAATGTTAACTAGTCCTGTTGTGTATAGGACATCCATGGATGAAAGACGGAGAAGCTTCAGATAAGCCTATCGATGGTGTTGTTTTATCCCGTTTGAAAGAATTTCGAGATATGAACAAGTTTAAGAAGGTAGCTCTAAAGGTAAAGAGTGTCCAGTTCTTTCTCATTTAAGTTACACATCATATTCTTGCAAATGATCTTTCTTCCTATAACTGTATATGAAGCATTGGTTATGATGTGTGCGTCTGATTTGCAGGTTAGTGCATCAAATCTATCAGAAGAGGAAATCAAAGGTCTTAAGACACTGTTCAGCAACATTGATACCGACAAAAGTGGCACAATTACTCTTCAAGAACTCAAAGCAGGTCTAACCAGACTTGGATCTAAACTCTCTAAAACAGAAGTGGAACAACTCATGGAAGCCGTGAGTAATCATCAAGTCTTTTAACTCGCCATTTTGTATTATTACTTGTTGAATCCAAAATCTTGAATACAAGAGAAAAAACTTTTCAGGCTGATGTGGATGGTAATGGAACAATCGACATAGATGAGTTTATCTCTGCCACGATGCATAGATATAAATTGGATCGAGATGATCATCTGTACAAAGTATTCCAACACTTTGACAAAGACAACGATGGGTAGGTTTCTTCCACTTTTGCTTAATAGTTGTCAATAGAAACAAGAATATATGAATAATGTTCTTGTGAGAAGCAAAGAAGTAGAGTTTAAACTAAAATATGAAATGATTGTCCACACAAAAGGCACATAACGAAGGAAGAGTTGGAGATGGCGATGAAGGAGCATGGTGTAAGAAGAGATGAAGCTAGTATCAAAGAAATCATAACCGAAGTAGACACCGATAATGTAAGTTAGTCCAACTCCAAATCATGAAACATGAAAATTAGACTGGTTTATTTTGAAACCTAGTAAGTAATGAACACAACTCTGTTACAGGATGGAAAAATAAACTTTGATGAGTTCCGGACAATGATGAGAAGTGACAGCAGCTTGTTGCCACAAGGGGAACTTCTTCCTATCAATTGAATCAAATTTGTGTGCACATACAGCTCTTGAATAATTTCTTGTAAAATCCACTTTCTTTAAAAGAGTCATTCTTTTGGTATTTGTGTTTCTTACAAGGTGTCAAAGTGTGTTAACATATATTTTTCAATCATAAATTGATAACAACACAACATATATGAAATGAGACCCCCTCTATATTTAATTATAGCTTAAACATGTTTTGTGCAATTTTCTATAAAAATATTTTTAGTAAATTGTACTTCTACCTAGTTTTTGGTATAATTTAATGCTAATGGTATTGTTGGTTCGGTTTAGACGTAGCCAATTAGATTCGGTTGGTGACGATTTGCTTTCACATTTTGACGCTTAAAGACTTAAAAGTCTAACCTAAACCTAATTAACTAAACCTTACGACTCAAGTTTCGACTTTAAGGGTTTTTAACAGCGAGCGTCAATGGCTTCCTCGGAGCATTCGCCGCGGTCGTTGCCACTGGAGTTGATAGAAGAAATACTTAACAGGATTCCTGCTGAGTCTTTGAACCGATTCAAGTCGGCGTGCAAGGAATGGCACGATCTCATTACCGACAAGAGATTCATGTACAATCACTTGGATCACTCTCCGGAACGATTCATAAGATTCGATGATAAAAAGACAGTTCAAATCATGGATCCGGTGACCGGAATCCTCACATATTCACCTATCTTAAACGAGTTTTGCTATCCATATCTGATTGATTATATGGTTCACTGTGATGGACTAATGCTGTGTATGTTTAATGATTCGGGAGTCCAACAAGCAATACACGCCAATCTCGCAGTTTGGAATCCTTTAACTAGGAAAATGAAATGGATACAACCCTTGGTCTGTTACTATACAGCTGATTACTTTGGGATTGGATACAACAACACATGTCGCCATAACTACAAGATCTTGAGGTTTTCTGGTCCTCTGTCTTTTGAATTCAAGTACTGTGAGATATATGAATTCAAGTCTGATTCGTGGAGAATTCTTGATGCTACTAAGTTGTTTGATTGGGCTGTAGATACTCAGTGCAGAGGTGTGTCAGTGAAGGGTAACATGTATTGGATTGCTAAACGTAAAGACAAGGAAGCATTTATCCTAAGTTTTGATTTCTCCACGGAAAAGTTCACGGACATATGCTTTTGTCCTGGCTGTGAAACTCAACAGCAGTACTACCCATTCTTGTTTCCTCATTTGTGTACTACTCGACGAATAGGATGTTTCAATGGAGATAGACTATCTTTGTTACTACAACATGGTCAAGCATGGTCAATGGATATTGAGGTGTTGGTGACAAACAAGTTGAGTGACGAGGTTGTTTCGTTTAGCAGATATTTTAATGTCTCTAGCCCTCTTCTTCCGGCGTTACAGCCTTCTTATAATAAGGCTCATCCGGGATACTTCATTGGCAAGCACGGCAATATCATGGTCTGGTCTGAGGGATATGTCAACGAATATAATAAGTGCTATACTTGCATCATTCTTTACCAAATTGATAAAGGTGGAATAAGGAAACAAATTGAGACACGGGGACATCAAAAGTCACGGTACCATACCTCGTTTATTTCTAGCTACGTGTATGTTCCAAGTCTGATTCCGGTTCAAGTATAAGAGGATTTGTTTCTTCTTCTTAAAAGCTCTGTTCTTTTTGTTCTTGGTCTTTGTCTTTGTTTTTTTTCTTTCTTTCTTTTGAAGTACCTTGTCTCTTTGCAATGTAACTTTAGTAGTATAACTTCCATTTTAGATCCTTGTGGTTTTGGTGATTGTGAAACAAGGAGCAAGACAAATATATACACATTGGAAATGTATGTATCATAATCCAAGAAATCAAAGTATACAAAGGAAAAGGTAGGTTGGTGGGTAGTAGTACTCCCTCCACAACAAGGTGGAAACTTTTGAAAGCCATCAAACAAACATCAATCGCTGAATATGATTCAACAGCTCTAAATATGTATGGCGGCACCATAAGAAGTCACACATAGATTCGGCTGTTAGATACAAGAGTTAACTAACTTAGAATGCAAGTTTGAAAAGATGATTCATATAAAAACAGACTATAAACCATAACAAAATTTATTTAAATTCACTTGTTAGAGCTCACAAATATGAAAGGGGACAAACACAAAAAAACAAAGAGAACCAATGTAAGCTGATCATCCTCACGGATGTGTTGTCTGATAGCATATATATGTGACTGCAACTCTGCTGGATGATTCCTCAAAAGGTCTTTGATACCATGTAATGCAATCTACTCAGACAAAATCAAACCAAAAAACTGTGATCCAAGGAATAACAACGTAGCATTGTAAAGTAATGACCAATATTTTAATTCAATGGCTAAAAAAGTCGTCGAGGACAAAGTCAAATGATATAAAGAAATGACCACTTTGAATAGTTAAAACTTAAAACCAAGAAAAAATTAATTTAATGTTGGCACTTGCCTGGAAGTAAAATAAACAAATTTGAACTAAAAGAACAATAATACTATTTGTATATGCTTCAGACCTTCATTAAAGAAAAAGCTACAACTTCAAAACCCAATTCCAAAGTTTTAGACTTTTTGACAATCTTCTGAGGTTCTCTTCTCAACGATAATCTTCTACAAACTCAGAGTAATGGGTTGCTACAGCAGTAAGTACCTAAGACATTCGAAAAGGACCATACTTGAGAAACCATTCGTGGACATCACAAAGCTTTACATCCTCGAGGAGCAATTGGGTGAAGGCCAATTCGGCATAACCAAAAGATGCATAGATAAATCTACAGGTACGACTTACGCCTGCAAAACCATTCTCAAGACGAAGCTAAAGAGCGAAGAAGATGAACAAGCCGTGAAGAGAGAGATTCGGATTATGAAACATTTGTCTGGTCAACCAAACATCGTCGAGTTCAAATGCGCTTACGAGGATAAAGATTCTGTACATATCGTCATGGAGTTTTGTGGCGGTGGAGAGTTGTTCAAAAAGGTCGAAACTTTGTCCAATGCGGGCAAGTGTTACACGGAGAAAGATGCTGTTGAGATCCTTAGGCCTATTGTGAATGTTGTGAAGAATTGCCATTTCATGGGTGTGATGCATCGTGATCTAAAGCCTGAAAATTTCTTGTTCTCGAGTAAAGATGAGAATGCTGTGCTTAAAGCTATTGACTTTGGGTGTTCTGTCTTTATCGAAGAAGGTGAGCTTGAGATTTTTTTTTCAGAATTTGACCCTTCTTCTATAGGTTTTGAATTTGGGTGTTCTGTTTGATATGTTTTGGATCCAATTATGTTAGTTTTAGGGCTCATGTTGACTTATGTTCCAATGAATAGTAATGAGATGGGACTCAAATGTGAGGTTTGCACAAAGACTCTGTATTTTCGAGAATCGGGTTTATTTTCGCTTACTTTCGGACTCAAAACTGAGAGTAGAGGTTGATCTTTGATAGACATCTTAGGAGGTTGATAGTTTTGGATTTGGTATGTTAATGTTTTGAATCTATAAGATTTGTTTTGCACAAGTCTCTTTAGTTTGCTTTGGTCATGAGAAACTTTGTTACTTTTATTCTAATGCATAGAGATTTGGATTTGGTGACTCACACATTATGTATCAAGAATTGGGTTTATATAGTCTTTTGTTGTACAAATTGTTTTCAAGTATGCCATATTAGTTAGTGTTATTCTCATCATATGGTTAATTTGATGCAATTGTTATGAAACCAACAAATACAGGAGAAGTATACCGGGACTGTGTCGGGAGTTCTTACTACGTTGCTCCTGAAGTATTACAGGGAAATTACGGGAAAGAAGCCGACATTTGGAGTGCAGGCATTATATTGTACATCCTTCTCTGTGGCAAACCTCCCTTTGTGACAGGTTAAAACTTAGAAGCTAACTGGATTTGTTTCTTCTTTGATCTGTTATTTATATATGTATTTATTGATTATAGAACCTGAGGCACATATGTTCAATGAGATTAAGAGAGCCCAGATTGATTTTCAGAGCAAAACATGGCATTGTATAGATGTGAGGGCAAAACATCTTGTCCAGAAGATGCTTACTAAAAATCCAAAGGAACGATTGTCTGCTGCAGAGGTTCTTGGTAAGTCACTATTAATTCTCTTTCCTAGATTGTTTTAGAGCCAGCACAAATGTCCAAGAGAACCTTCAAGGATCCAGAATTGTGAAGGGCTTGTTCCTCAGAAGAAATTCCATTGTTTAGATGTTAAAAAAAAAAAGACACTGTGTACAATCTTGAAGTCTTGTTCTTGTTCTGTTCTGTAATGATTGACTACTATCCTTGTTGTATATAGGACATCCATGGATGAAAGATGGAGAAGCTTCAGATAAGCCTATTGATGGTGTTGTTTTATCCCGTTTGAAGGAATTTCGAGATATGAACAAGTTTAAGAAGGTAGCTCTAAAGGTAAAGAGTGTCCTGGTCCTTTTTTAATTTATGTTTACTAGTCACTTGAAACATATCATATCCTTGCAAATGATGTTTCTTCCTATATATAACTTTGTATGCAGCATCAGTTATGATGTGTGCGTCTGATTTGCAGGTTAGTGCAGCAAATCTATCAGAAGAGGAAATCAAAGGTCTTAAGACACTCTTCAGCAACATTGATACCGATCAAAGTGGCACAATTACTCTCCAAGAACTCAAAACAGGTCTGACCAGACTTGGATCTAAACTCACTAAAACCGAAGTGGAACAACTCATGGAAGCCGTGAGTTATCATCAAATCTCTGAACTCGCCATTTTTGTATTATTACCTGTTGAATCCAAAATCTTGAATACAAGAGAAAAAACTGTTCAGGCTGATGTGGATGGTAATGGAACAATCGACATAGATGAGTTTATCTCTGCCACGATGCATAGATATAAATTGGATCGAGATGATCATCTGTACAAAGTATTCCAACACTTTGACAAAGACAACGATGGGTAGGTTTCTTCCACTTTTGCTTATTAGTTGTCAAAAGAAACAAGAATATATGAATAATGTTCTTGTGAGAAGCAAAGAAGTAGAGTTTAAACTAAAATATGAAATGATCGTCCATACAAAAAGGCACATAACGAAGGAAGAGTTGGAGATGGCGATGAAGGAGCATGGTGTAAGAAGAGATGAAGCTAGTATCAAAGAAATCATAACCGAAGTAGACACCGATAATGTAAGTTAGTCCAACTCCAAAACATGAAACATGAAACATTAGACCGGTTTATTTTGAAACCTTGTAAAGTAATGAAGAAAACTCTGTTACAGGATGGAAAAATAAACTTTGATGAGTTCCGGACAATGATGAGAAGTGACAGCAGCTTGAAGTAACAAGGGGAGCTTCTTCCAATCAGTTGATATTTATCTGTATGCTCTTAGTTCTTGAATAACGGTTTAGGGAAGAAGAACTTAACCAAATAAACTGATGTGAGGGTTTTTTAATTTCTTGTAACTTATATATATATTGATTAACTTGATCTTGAACTACAATAGTCAGCATGGAATAAACTGGTTATTACATTTGGAACAAAGAAATGAAAAACAAAGCTTAGATAGTTGCAGAGCAACTCTGTCCTGATTAATATTTCGGAACCGCTTAAATCTCAATGTTTTTGGTTTACTTTAATTGGTAATTTCGGTCCGGTTTAACAAAACCGTTTTTGGTTCAGTTAATCACGATTCCTTTTACAACTCGGCGCTTAAAGTCGTAACCCTAACCCTCAAAGGAAACAAGGAACCTTATAATTCAAGAAACCATCTCTCTCGGACTCTCTGATTCTCTCTCTGATTCGATTCAATCTTTAAACAGAGAACATCAATGTCTTCCTCGAAGCGTCTGTCACGGTGGTTGCCACATGAGTTGATAGAAGAAATACTAATCAGGACTCATGTTAAGTCTTTGCACCGATTCAAGTCGACGTGCAAGCAATGGTACGATCTCATCAGCGACAAGAGATTCATGTACGACCACTTGGATCGCTCTCCGCAACGTTTGATAAGAATCGACAATCATCAGACGGTTCAAATCATAGATCCGGTGACCGGAATAATCTCAGATTCACCAGTCCCAGACATGTTTCGCTCTCCATATTCGATTGCGTTTATGGTTCACTGTGATGGACTAATGCTGTGTATGTGTTATCAAACGGGTATCCATCTTGGAGTTTGGAATCCAGTAACGAGGAAAATCAAATGGGTCGAACCGTTGGATTCTTACACTGACACTGATTACTTTGGGATTGGATATGGAAATACGTGTCGTGATAACTACAAGATCTTGAGGTTATCTGGTCCTTTGTCTTTTGAAGATCCAGCACAGTATGAGATATATGAATTCAAGTCTGATTCGTGGAGAACTCTTGATGCTTCTAAGTTCATCTATTTTGTTGTAGATACTCAGGGCAGAGGTATGTCAGTGAAGGGTAATATGTATTGGATTGCTGAAAATGAAAACAGGCAATACTGTATTCTAAGTTTTGATTTCTCCATGGAAACGTTCAAGAACGTATGTGTTTGTCCTCCTTTGCGGGGTAACAGACCATTAGGTTGTTTCAGTGGAGATAGACTCTCTTTATTACTACAACATGTACAACCTGATGATTTTGAAGTACCAACTGATATTGAGGTGTGGGTGACAAACAAGCTGAGTGATGGAGTTGTTTCGTTTACTAAATATTTTAATGTCACTAGCCCTCATCTTCCCTTGTTACTGTCACATACTGACATGGCTCGTCCGGGATACGCCATTGGAAATCACAAAAATATCATGGCATGGTGCGATATATATCTAGAAGAAGATGGTGAGTGGTATACTTGCATCACTCTTTACCATATTGATCAAGGTGGGATCAGAAAACAAATTGAGACAGGACGATACGCCGATGTGTCGACACGGTACTATGACCAGTTTATTTGTAGCTATGTGTATGTTCCAAGTTCCGTTAGTGTTCCAGAATAAGAAGGTTTTTTGGTGTTCTTAAAACTCTGTTTTCTTCTTCTTTGTGTTTGTTTATTATTGGCCACCAAGGATCATTCCTTCGACCATGTATTTTGACATCAACAACTATGTTACTATACTGCAGATGTTTATTGACATAGACTATTTGGATTCTGTAATGATCTTGTCAAGTTTTACGTTTTGGTCTGTGTTTCAGAATCATTCAAAATATACTTTTTACTTGATTTGGAAACCAAAAGTATAAAACTTATCTTAATTACTTTGGGATTGGTACAGACTACAAAGTATAAAACCTAAGACTACTGAGGCAGCAACTAAGAACAATAGCATTCGCTTCAGGAGAGACTGTGCAATCAAAAAACTAGGCTAAACAAGACAATTTGAGATCAGTAAGCTTCAGGACAGACAGTGTAATTAATTTATGCGATATCAAATCACTTTGTAAAAAATCTTGCACAAACAGAGCCGAAAAGGGAACATGAACTGATTTAACGAGTTATGATCTTGTCATTAAAAAATGATATTGGTAATTGGTAAAACAGTGAAAGTTAATATTAGAAGACTGTGAAATGAGAGTCAAACTAACCTCAATCAAGATCTCGCGAATGAGAAAACCTTGAAGCATTCCGCATGTTATGTAGATATACCTACAAAGAGAAACATAACAATAATGAAGTGGACCAAGTTGTAATCATGAAAACAATAATCATTAGTGATTGTAGTTAGGAACATACCGATATTAGTTTGGTCATTACAGCCATGGAAGACCTGCAATCATATCGTACTTTAGAGCAAAGAAAGATGATAACAAATTTAAAAATAAAGTGGTAGAGTAAAAAGTATTAAGAGGAACTGACCTGATTGAGGAATAGTATAACAATTACATATATATATATATATATATATGAGACATCGTGACTGAGGTATCAAAGAGGATTATAAATGGCCCATTTATGACTTACCAGTTACTATCGCTCTACATAGCAAAAATAAGCTCATTGACCACTGCATTCTGCTATAGATACTTATGCACAAGAATGATTTTTTGAAAAGAAGATGAACTTAAAACCCCCACTTGCGGGACAAGAAAGTAGAAGCTGGATTGTTAGTTTTGTTTACTAGTTTTCATGATAGCAGATTGGATCATAGAAGGAGACCATTCAGGATGAAAAGTCTTGACGTATGCAGCCACGCCTGTAACATGTGGACAAGCCATAGAAGTTCCGGACAAAACAGAGTACTTCACATGTCTTTTGTCGATCCCTACGGAAGATGGTGAAGCCAAAGGTGAATATGCAGCAAGAATCTCCACTCCTGGAGCCCGTTACATCTGGCTGCAATCCATCAACGATTTTCTCTCAGACCAGGAAAGCAAAAAAAAAAAGAATCAAGAGAAAATAACTGTTGTACCTTTAGAAGATCAGCTGCAATAGTGTTTGGACCGCGAGCAGAAAAGGAAGAAATTGTAGGAGCTGTTTGATTAAAGATTGCCTCAGTTTTTAGAACAGAACCTAGCGGGGACCTGAGAAACCAAAACACAGAGGTATCAGGACAAAGAAGGAGAATCTAGAGAATATTTAGAGAGAAGATTGCACGTTACAAAAGTATTGTGCTTTAGAACAAAGAAAGATTACAACAAACTCCAAAATAAAGTGCTAGAGCAAAAAATAAAAGGCACTTACATTGTTAGAGCAACCCATGTCTAGATGTAACAATGAGCAATAAAAGGCACTTACATTGTTAGATGTAACAATGAGTGATATGTATAAATTTTGAGGTGCCTAGTAATACACAAGAGGCTAAATATCTAAATTCCAAATTGGTGAAAAATAACATTCATTTCTGGACAGACTGGTAAATGAAACAGTTGACCAAACATGACAATATGTGATCAATTACTCCACCTGTATATCACAGTTCCTCACTCACTCACACTTTCTCTTTTTTCTTTTCTAGTATCTACTTATTTATGTGTATGTTTCCAACTAACCTCAGCACCAATTCCAAATCGAAAACCATCTGAAAATCTGGTAGTTTTGGAAACTGTAACTGTTCAAGAAGACACATCTCACAGTTTAGTTACAAATAAAAATATTAAGCAAGTTCAAGATCCGGTAATTTACCTGTCCACTTGGCAAAGGAATAGCTCTGCAACTTCGAGATCCTCTATCACAATGCAATCTGTGTGTGATATGAACATGAACAAGTTAAGGTCTAATCACTACAAACGATATTGTGCAATTAGATCAATACTAATAAGATTGTGCAAATAGAATTAACCTAACCACAATTAAGATTTAGCGATTAAGACCTTGAATCATTCCCCATGTTAAAGTAGATACACCTGCAAATAGAAGCAAACCAAAGTAAAAATTTAAGGGGAAGAAATTGAAATATTTGCTAATTGGTATCAGAAACTCTTCCTACCACTGTAACCTAAGAGTTCGATTTGATCAACGTTTTCCACCATAAGACTGCAGCATCTCTGAATATAACAACTTGGAATAAACAAAACATATTGCAGCAAATATGTAGAGCTCAAGAGTAGTGAATTAAGAGACGTAATAGCAAAGGAAAACAGGAACAGAGAGATACAATCAGAGCTACCTTAGTAATAATGGCAATATGCACCAACAAGCTTCAGCATTTTGGGATGTGCCTTAACCTCCCTCAGCAAAAATCCATTACAACTTCAAGGTCTTGTTTCAGTAACTAGCTACATATGGATGCACCTAAAAATATGTAAACAAAACAGAAAAGCTCATTCATAACTAAGAATGTGTTGCACAATCATGTTATAAAACTAGAGCATGATGCTACAACAACAATTAGAGTTACCATTGTTAATGGTAGAGCCTAGAGGGTAATGAGCTCCAACAAGCTTTAGCTCTTTGGGATGTGTCTTCACCTCCCTCATCCATAAGCCATTATACCTTTAACCATTTATTAGCATGTTACCGTTACGTCTATACACCTGTGAATATAGAAACAGACAAAAGTAAGAACGAAAGAGGGATAAACTTGAAATATTTGCTAATGGAAAGGGACCAAGTTGTAATCATGAAACCAACTACTGTTTAATCCTATATTAAAATAATCGTAAGTGATGAGCATACCGACATTGTTTTGGTCATTGCAGCCATGGAAGACCTGCAAAAAGTATCGTGCTTTAGAAGGCAAGTAATAAAATTCGATGAACAATAAAATTGCTTCAGGACTAACGTGTTAGATACCAATTTATCGAATGGTCAGAACTCCGAAGAAACATAAAAGAAGAACTTACCGTAGAAGAGACCATAACTAACTCTGTGCGTCTTTGTTGTGCTATGTGTTACCACAAGTCCCGTTGGACACAAAACAGTAGATTCCTTCATAAATAGAGCCGAACAGTTGATGAAGGTTACCTACAACGCCCAAAAACCAGATGAACCCTAGAAGACTCAAACCAACATATATCAGAATCTTTAATGACAGAGTGTGAGAGAGAGATATATATAAAATTGAAACACAAAGAGAACAAGTATAAAGAGAGAGTAGAAGACGAACAAGTGTAAGCAGAGAGATTTGTGTTGATGTAATTTTGCAGACAATTTTAGTTTGGGAGAGGAGAACTCCTATATATAGAGTATGCGACACTAGTAAGCAAAAGAAAAACAAAAAAAAAGGAAATTAAGCAAGCATTAATAAGAAAAAAGGAAATTACTCAAGCTTAATTAAAAAGGAAATTACTAAAGCTTATATAAAAAAAGGAAATTACTAAAGCTTTAAAAAAAAGGAAATTACTAAATCATTAAGAAAAAAGGAAATTACTCAACCACTACAAAAAAAAGAAATTACTCAAGCGTTAGAATGAAAAAGGAAAATTACTCAAACCTTAATTAAAAAGGAAATTACTAAAGTGTTATTAAAAAAAGGAAATTACTGAAGCTTTAAAAAAAAAAAAACGTAATTAATTGGGGTTAAAACTAACCGACTTTACTAATACAGTAATACTAATTATAATCTGGTTTATCTTTCCCTTTTTCTCATTATCATTCAGTTTATGCTAGTAACCCAATAAAATATTATAGGGCTTTTAGCCTAATGAGAAGCCCATTTAGAAGTTGTGAAAGATAAAGCTCCTTTTTAAGAACACATTTAGTTACTGTCGTCAATGTCGAAGCTGGTTTTTCCGAAGCCAATTCATCGATTTCAGTTGTTTGCGTATGGGTCTTCTTTGTCCACCATTGTTAGCCACGGATTGAGCTTTATATTGTCGATTTTGAAATCGCTACAATCACGGAACAAAATCTGGGCTCGTTTGTATGTGTTTCCCTCTGATTGATATCTCGTGTAAAGCTTCTATTTGAATTGTGCGATTGTAACTTTCAAAAGCAATGCGTGTATCAATTTGCTTTGAGTTGGTTTAGATTGTGAATCTAGCTTGGTTTTGTCTTGCCTTATGGATTTGTAGGACGCCCAAGTCGTCGTGAAGTATCTGTGGTCTTCGAATATAATGTGGTGTCTTAGTCCAACGGTCCAAGTCTTGAATTGACCAAGTTTTCACAACTGTATCTGGGGATGTTATATGTTTAGTTTTGATTCCGTGGAACCAATATTTCTCAAACTTACTATGTTCTAGTTAATATTGTTCTTAATTTTGCTAATGTCTCTTGTTGTAAACTCTTGTGGAGAAGGTGATATATTGTATCCGTCTATGACACTGAGATTTTCTTTGATGTCGTCAACATGTAGACTTGTCGTCGATGTCAAGATGTAGAATTTGTGTGTTTTGTTCTGTAGTACTAGTTGAGGTTTCTTTGTGTTCTTGCACTTGGTACCAAACTATAATTTTTAGTTGCATAAGTTTTATTCTTAAACCATTCTTCTAAATTATAATCTTTAGTTGCGCTCGTAAATTGTGGAAGCATGTGTCTTGTTCTTTTCTGAATTTGTGAGTTTTTTCTTTATTGTTGTTACGATTTCTCAGCATGTGGAAGCACTCGTAAATCTGGTTTCTTTGTCTTACTGTACATGGTAACAGATTAAAAATTCTAGTTGCATAAGTTTTGATCTGAAACCATTCTTCTAAATTTGGTTAACTGAAACAAATTCTACATGATGTGATCTCACTTGGTGTTGGTCTGTTGAGTAAATAACTGAAAAAAGTTTTGATTCAAAACAGAGAGTTTTGTTATATTTTCTGCTAGTTCTCTCCGTCTTCGTTTTCTCCCAGGTTTGTCTCTTCATGGCATTTCAAAACTTGGCTATATCTGTTTGTTGAAAGGATTTAGGAATCGGAAACCAAAAAGTGTATAGTGGTGATTTAGGTAATCGGATTGAGTTGATCTATAAACCCCTTATTCGTTGTTCGTTGGCTATATATGTTCAAATTATATCTAATTGGCTTGCTTGATGAGAATATAATTTATGTGATATATGATGATATATGAACTCCCCATTCGACTATCTTTTTCCTCTTTATCCTCCTCACCAAGACCAAAGGAGATGGTTTTAAGAAGATGCGGTGTGTTTGAAACTGATGAGGTTTGGACTCCCAAAACTCTACCATCAGGCTCCATTTTCACTATTGTCTGCTAGGACAAAAGGCTAGTGTTGTCCAACATCTGGACAACCAAACATTGTTGAGATCAAAGGTGCTTATGAAGATAGACAATCTGTGCATTTGGTTATGAAGATAGACAATATGTGCTGGTGGTGAGTTGTTTGATAGGATTATAGCTCAGGGTCATTACTCTGACAGAGCTGCTGCTGGTATCATTAGGTCCATTGTGAATGTTGTTAAGATTTGTCATTTTATGGGTGTGGTTCATCGAGATCTCAAGCCTGAGAATTTCTTGCTTTCGAGTAAAGAAGAGAATGCTATGCTTAAAGCAACTGATTTCGGGTTGTCCGTCTTTATTGAAGAAGGTGAGCTATAGGTTTTAGTTTTGATGGAATCATCTTTGGATTTGGTAGTCCAGCTGTTTGGAATCTATAACAATCTATAAGATTTTCTTGCACTAGGCTCTTTAGAATCGAGAATCGTCTTAGGAGTTTGGTAGTTCATTGAATTGTGATCTCAAGCTCGAGTAACAATGAGAATGTTATGCTCAAAGCAATCAGTTTTGGGGGTTCTCTGTTCGTTGAAGATTGTTCATATTCCTTAGCGTATTGATAGGTTATGGATCCAAGTATGTTTATTAATGTCTAGATTCTATAAGACTGTCTTGCACAAATCTCTCTAGTATTGAAACTCTGCATTTTTTGTTTTTCTTTGCTTTAATGATGAACTGGATCGGTGAGTTATGTTCCAATGCATAAGGATGAGACTAAGACTCTTTAGTAGAGAATTGGGTTAATGTTGTGTTATTGGACAGATTGTGATCCTTGTGATATTGTCATGTATGTCATTTTCGTTTATTTTGATTTGTCTGTTAATAATATGCTTGATGCTACATTTGTGAAACAAACAAATACAGGAAAAGTTTACCGGGATATAGTTGGGAGTGCTTACTATGTTGCTCCTGAAGTATTAAGGCGGAGTTACGGGAAAGAAATCGACATTTGGAGTGCAGGTGTTATTTTGTATATCCTTCTCAGCGGTCATTACTCTGACAGAGCTGCTGCTGGTATCATTAGGTCCATTGTGAATGTTGTTCAGATTTGTCATTTTATGGGTGTGGTTCATCGAGATCTCAAGCCTGAGAATTTCTTGCTTTCGAGTAAAGAAGAGAATGCTATGCTTAAAGCAACCGATTTCGGGCTGTCTGTCTTCATCGAAGAAGGTGAGCTCTAGGTTCTAGTTTTGATGGAATCATCTTTGGATTTGGTATGCCAACTGTTTGGAATTTACAACAATCTATAATTTTTTCTTGCGTTAGGCTCCTTAGTATAGAAAATTGGCTTAGGAGTTTGGTAGTTCAGTGCATTGTGATCTCAAGCTCGAGTAACAATGAGAATGTTATGCTCAAAGCAATCATTTTTGGGGGTTCTCTGTTCGTTGAAAACTGATCATATTCCTTAGCGTATTGATATATGATTGTGTTTGATAGGTTATGGATCCAAGTATGTTTAGATTCTATGAGACTGTCTTTCACAAATCTCTCTAGTATTAAAAAAACTCATTTTTTCCTTTAATCATGAACAAGATAAGTGACTTATGTTCCAATGCATAAGGATGTGGCTAAGACTATTTAGTAGAGAATTGTGTTGATGTTGTGTTATTGGAGAGATTGTGATCCTTGTGATATTGTCATGTATGTCATTTTTTCGTTTATTTTGATTATTATGTTAATATGCTTGATGCTACATTTGTGAAACCAACAAATACAGGAAAAGTTTATCGGGATATAGTTGGGAGTGCTTACTATGTTGCTCCTGAAGTATTAAGGGGAAGTTACGTTAAAGAAATCGACATTTGGAGTGCAGGTGTTATTTTGTACATCCTACTCAGCGGTCTACCTCCTTTTTGGGCCGGTAAAATCCTTTAAGCTAACCATATTCCTTGATTATATTTTTCTTGGGGTTTAGTCTGTAATCACATGTTATATTGTAGAAAATGAGAAAGGAATATTCGATGAGGTTATAAAAGGTGAAATCGATTTTGAAAGCCAACCGTGGCCTTCTATATCTGAGAGCGCGAAAGATCTTTTTAGAAAGATGCTAACCAAAGACCCTAGGAGACGAATCACGGCTGCACAGGTTCTTGGTAAGATAATGTGAACACCAGTTTTTTCCCCAATATGTATGTGATCTAACTTAATCATTTAAAAAAAAAAAAAAGTCCATATTAGAAGGCTTGATTATACATGCTATAGGCTCCACACCAGAATAACATTGGTAGTCCATTGTATAGGTCTTAAAAAGACATGGTGAATCTTGAACTCTGAACTTGATCTTGTCTTTGAGTTCATAGTCGTCTAACTAGTAATGTTTTACTAATATGTAGCAATCCTTGTGGTTTATAGAACATCCGTGGATCAAAGGGGGAGAAGCACCGGACAAGCCTATTGATAGCGCTGTGTTATCTCGTATGAAGCAATTCCGGGCAATGAACAAACTTATAAAGTTAGCTCTAAAGGTAAGAAATTATCTTTCTATATTCATAATTGTGCATCTTGCTTATCCTCTTGCAATCTCGTTGTGTTCTCTAGAAAAATAAAACGTCGGGTTGTGATTTGTGTGTTTAGTTTGCAGGTTATCGCAGAGAGTCTATCAGAAGAAGAGATCAAAGGTCTTAAAACCATGTTTGCGAATATAGATACTGACAAAAGCGGGACAATCACTTATGAAGAACTCAAAACTGGGCTTACTAGACTTGGGTCTAGACTCTCTGAAACTGAAGTTAAGCAACTCATGGAAGCGGTAAGTTATCTTCAGCGTCTTGATCTCAGTTAAGATCTTGAAAAAGACAGCTTGAAACACATGATGATAACTTTTCAGGCAGTTTTTTTTTTTTTTTTTTTTTGTAACTTTGATGAGAATCTTCTTACTCCAAATCAAGAATATATATTTTAAAACCCAATATTACCGTTGACAACGCAGAAAACAATTATCAGAAATCCAATATTTCATTCTAATATTTAAAGACCGTTCAGACTCCTGAAACTCATCTTGAGTACAAATGTCATAAGCTTTCATCTAGAGTACAAATGTCACGAGTCAAAAGTTCAAAGTAATCACATAAGAAAGACAAACAAAAGAGTGTTTTCAATATCAATTATCATATAGTTGCCGCTCCAAACCTCACAATGCATCCATCTGACTTCTTGTACATTCGTTTCAAATCTCTGACCATGCGATTACGTTCTTTTCCTTCCTCAATCTCAGAAGTGATCTCCATAAGTCGCAAGCATGAACATTTCTTAAGGAAATGAGAGATTCCGGACAAGCAATTACGGTCATATATTTGTAGATAAACCTCTTCCAGGTTTGAGTTACGTAAGAAGCTGTAACCTTTCAGACATTGGCAGCCCGCTTGATGAAGGTACCCGGTGAGCGAGAAGATCTTGACCTTCGGAGACTTATCCATCAATGCCGGGAAGAAATCCCAACATTCTTGACCGTTGCCAGGGTTTACTTCCAATTCAGTCAGGTTTGGAAACATTGGTATTGCGTGTCTAAAGAGACTAAAGACCTGCAAAGGCAATGAGAATCATGAAGGTATCAGGTTGGGGAACGGAAATAGACAACAAAATATCTTACCGTGAGAGTGTCTGCAGACCACAGTTTCAAAGTTGTCACATTACTCAGCCCTTGAATAAGTCTGGTAGCATCAAATGCTTGGTTCATCCTCAGATGCAAAGAGAGCTGAGCTATAATCAGTGACTCCAAGTGTACAACACCATAGCTATGGGGAACATAATCACGGTAATACAAGAGTTCAAGCTTTGGAGTGTTGAAAACTAAGCGTGTATGGTCATCATTAGCAAGAGCAGTATCAGTGTTAACAATCCAAAGCACACTAAGGCTTGGACTAGCGATTTCTCCTCCCCACTTCCAGAGGCCCCATTTCACATCATGAATATCCAATGAGTCCAAAACAGGGCAAGCAGAGAAAAGCTTTTTGAAGACACAGGTCTGACCTGGAGGAGTGTCAAACTGAACAGAGTGAAGCTTGAGGCTGTCGAGCATGGGGAAAGAAGCATTCTGAGGGAGGCTCGTAACTCTCAAATTTTCGCCTATCTCCAAGTTTCTCATGGTCTTTGCGTTGAATATTTCACAAGGAAACGTATTGGAATCAGCCTTGATTCTGATTCTTAACTTTGTGATACCTCGGCGAGCAACTTCATCAAGAAAAGAACCCAACCTATTCAGATGATCTTGACAAACATCAGATGGAACATCATACTCGATGACAACTTCGTTGATACGAGTTGTGGCATCCAGAAGAGAGATTCTTGCCACGAACTCGACGAAGTCATCTCCTTCGGCATCTCCATGAATGTTCGTGAATTGGAGAGAAGGGATGATGTCAAAAAGATTACGGTACTCAAAAGCAAGAGTCTTGTGGAAGGCAGAAGCTTTTGCTGAACTAAAAGAAACGACTTTTCGAACAAGATCGCTAGGTAGATCCCTAAAGCCAGACCCAGACATGCTTCTCTAAACCCTAAATCAGAACATGGGTCGCTAGTGAGTAGTGAGTATTATTGTAAAGGAAACAAAGAATGCAAAAGGAGGGAAAGAAGAAGAACCTTGTTCACTTCTCTGTTTCAGTGTATCGATCTCGTAAGTCGCAAGCAAGGGGGGGAAGAAACAGAATGAAGACGAAGACGACGTAATATAGCCGAGTCTATTGGGCCTCTTAATTTTGGGCCTTACTGAACCAAAATTAAGGCCCATTGTTTACACAAAACCTCGCCGCTCTGGTTGGAGCGGCGTGGCGGAGGAAGGATCCGTCGGGACACGAGGTCTGCCGGGAATTGGTGCCATCAACGGATCGTATTGAACTTTCGAAGATATCCCGAGGACCAGATCTGCTGGAGCCGGACTGTTTTGCGCCATAGAGGTGTGCGTTGAAGAGGAGGAAGAAGAAGGAGGGAATCGCGTATGGTGACTGCTTACAAGTTATTAACTGAGACTTTTTGGTAATGGCTTACGGATTAGCTGAGCACATGTGCGAGCTTTGGGAATTTTTGTTGTTGTGGTCTCTGCGTTATTGTCATCTCTATACTTTGGATGTTCTGATTTTATCGAAGAAGGTGAGCTCAAAATTGTATCATATCCTTTATTTGAGTGTGTTTGATAGGCTTTAGATCAGAGTATCTTAGTTTTAGGACTCAGGTTGACTTATGCTCCAATGAATACGGATGAGATGAGACTCAAAATTTGAGATTTGCACAAGACTCTCTATTTTTGAGAATCGTGTTTATTTTCAAAACTTAGTCTAGAGGTTGACATAGAACTATTGTAGGAGTTTGTTGTAGTTTTGGATTTGGTATGTTATTGTTTTTGAATCTATAATATTTGTCTTGCACAAGTCTCATTAGTTTGTTTCAGTCATGAGAAACTTTGGTTACTTTTATTCCAATGGCATAGAGATTTGGATTTGGTGACTCACATATAAATCTATCGAGAATTGGGTTTATACTGTGTTTTGTTGTACAGATCGTTTTCAAGTATGCGATATTAGTAATTAGTTTTATTCTCGTCATGGTTGATTTGATGCATTTGCTATGAAACCAACAAATACAGGAGAAGTATACCGGTACTGTGTCGGGAGTTCTTACTACGTTGCTCCTGAAGTATTACAGGGAAATTACGGGAAAGAAGCCGACATTTGGAGTGCAGGGATTATATTGTACATCCTTCTCTGTGGCAAACCTCCCTTTGTGACAGGTTAAAACTTAGAAGCTAACTGGATTTGTTTCTTCTTTGATCTGTTATTTATATATGTATTTATTGATTGTAGAACCTGAGGCACATATGTTCAATGAGATTAAGAGAGCCCAGATTGATTTTCAGAGCAAAACATGGCATTGTATAGATGTGAGGGCAAAACATCTTGTCCAGAAGATGCCTACTAAAAACCCGAAGGAACGATTGTCTGCCGCAGAGGTTCTTGGTAAGTCCCTTTATTTCTCTTTCCTTAAATTTTATAGAGCCAGCACAAATGTTGTATCTCTCTGTTTGTTTTAGATGAGTTCCAAAAGAAGCTTCAAGAATCCAGAATTGTGATCACCATGTTTGTGGAGGGCTTGTTTCCTTAATAGAAATTTCATTGTTTAGATGTTACAAAGACACTATGTGAATCTTGAAGTCTTGTCTGTTCTGTAATGTTTGGCTACTATCCTTGTTGTATATAGGACATCCATGGATGAAAGATGGAGAAGCTTCAGATATGCCTATTGATGGTGCTGTTTTATCCCGTTTGAAGCAATTCCGAGATATGAATAAGTTGAAGAAGGTAGCTCTAAAGGTAAAGATTTCACTAAACTAAGTTGAAAAAATAAAGATGAAAATCCTCTTTAAAAAAACAAAAAAAAAAAACACTTAAAAAAAACTTAATTGACTTCTTCTCATATTGTTTTGGGCAATTTCCATCGATTATCACTAAATTAGTAATTAAAAAAAATATATAGTTTTATATTCCAAAAATATCACTAAAATTTACACAAAACTAAAACAAAACTTTTAACATTCAAAACTAGTCTCTAAATTCTAAAATTTAAATTCTACATTTATAAACTATTATCCTAAATATAAAATAGGAAATCCAAATCTAAAAAAGTAAATTTTACATTTGTAAAAGTCTTTTTTTTTTTTTTTTCTTTTCTTGGGTTAGGTAAGTACATAATGAATCCTTCTTCTGTTAGGACAAGAGAGAGTCTAAAGAGTTATATATAAGATAATTGACCAAAGGGTTTATGAAAATAATATTTTCTCTATCAAAACAGAGAGTTTTATTATATTTTCTGCTAGTTCTCTCCGTCTTCGTTTTCTCCCAGGTTTGTCTCTTCTTGGCATCCCAAAATTTGGCTATATCTGTTTGTTGAAAGGATTGAGGAATCGGAAACCAAAAAGTGTAATAGTGGTGATTTAGGTAATCTGATTGAGTTGATGTATAAACCCTAATTCGTTGGCTATATATATGTTCAAATTATATCTAATTGGCTTGCTTGATGAGAATATGCTTTACGTCTGTTTGATATATATAGTTGAAGAAGGTAGGAAACAAAATTCTTAACTTTTTGTTTTTGTTTTTGTTGTTGTTGTATATGTTAGGGTAAGCCGATGGCAGCAATAGGAGATCAAAATGACGGTTTTTTTAGATTGGCGCTCGATTTTCCAGAACCAAGGGATCCCCCGAGTCCTCTTGTTGAGTTGATCGATGTTAGCATCAACATGCCAGATATGCGGATCTCAAATGTTAATGTACGTATAGATATGGGGACACAAGTAGCGATACTTGGGCCTCACGGGGCGGCTGCAAAGTCTACTCTTTTGAATCTTCTCGCGGGAGATTTAGTTCCAACTGAGGGTGAAGTGAGAAGAAGCCACAACCTGAGGATCGGCAGGTACTCCCAGCACATGGTTGACCAGTTACCAATGATGGAATCCCCATTAAAATATCTTCTTCCTCTTTATCCTCCTCACCAAGACCAAAGGCGATGGTTTAAAGAAGATGCGGTGGGTTTGAAACTGATGAGGTTTGGGCTCCCAAAATTCTACCATCAGGCTCCATTTTCAATATTGTCTGCAGGACAAAAGGCTAGTGTTGTGTTAGCCTCCATCTCAATGTCCAACCCACACATTTTGCTTCTTGACGAGCCAACTAATCACTTGGACGAGACAACTATTGATGCCTTGGCGAGATCACTTGCTCGGTTCGCTGGAGGACTTGTGTTGGTCAGTCACGACGCGAGACTCCTATCACGTGTCTGTCGCCGAGAGGACAAGAGTGAAATTTGGGTTGTCGAAGACGGAACATTCACTTTCTTCCGAGGCACATTTAAAGACTACAATAGTCAGGCACATAGAGTTTGATGACTACTTAATTAGCTGGCTACAAAGGACAATGGTGACTTATTCTTGAGACCCTCAGGGGATGTATTGGATTAATCATTGATTTCATTAAACTTTGTTTTATTTTTTTTATTTTTTTCTCCTTTTATATAAATCAAATGATATGGAACAATAATTTATATAGAGAATTTCTATTTCCTCTTTCAGTCTCTAGATGATTTCCATTTCAATTTTGTTTGCTAATGCTTTTGTTTCTAATCCAAGTTTTTTTTAATTTTTTATTTTATCTATATTCTAATTAAGACTCTTGTTTGATTGAATTACATATATATATGTTTTCTCATGCAGCCATGAATACCAGCTAACTATGGGAGCGTTATGGAAAACATCTCAGTAACATAGGAAAAAAATTGTTGACATGTCCATAAGGTAAAAGAAATATAAATCCCGTTAGCTTGTTGTTGATGTGGTGGTGAGTGAGAAACTTTACTGGGTAACCTCTTGAAGCATTGAAAACATGGATCATAACGTGTCATATAAGAGAAAAGATTGTAATATTAGATTTTGGTAATGGCCGCACTAGTCATTTATTTTTAGATGGATACAATCTGTGTTATTTTGGATCTCATATGCAGGTTTCTTACTGATGGAGTTTATCCATTTCCCATGTGTCAGACAGTATAGTGATTCTTGATTCAATAGATTGTGGACGTTTGAGTTATGATCTCCACTTCTTACAGGTAAAGAAAGAGTTCAATGTACAGTATGTTACATTGTATATCTTGCGGACAGTGCTTTTGTGGTTTTGGATTACGTTGTATATCTTGAGAAGGGCAAAATTCCTTCAAAGCTACTTTAATAGCAGGCTCCCCCTTGTATTTCTTGTATTGATCTTTTGTGCATTCACAAGTGTCTTTGAATATTGCAGGAAGTACATATATGGTATTGTCAAAGCTAACAAAACTGTATCTACATGCTACGAATGAACAAGTCAGAACTTGTATCAGAAATACTCACTCTGTTAGTTTCATAGACTTGTTTATTTCAAGGTTTTACTTTGATTGGAGATTGTGAAGTCTTGTATAATCATTAGAATATGAGGAATCTTGCTGTTTAGGTAATAGTAACAAAGGTTGTTACTTTGGGAGTAGTGAGTGAGGAAGATATGAAAATTGACGTTTACTTTGGTTAAAATCAGTAGTTTAATCATAGGAATTTAGTTTGATTGGAGCTTGTGAAAGAGTCTTTGTGTTATTTTTTTCCTAATGTTTTCTTTGAAATAACTTGGCAATGTGTGTTTGGTATTATTGTAGAAGAGCCAGACGATGAGAAACCCTTTCCTGGATCCTACACTTCAAGAAATTCTTCAAGTGACTAAACCTATACAAGCAGATTTTGATACGAGGATCAGGGTGATTAATCAGTTGTGTAGTGTCCTACAACCCCTAGAGTGTTTCAGAGGTGATGAGTGATGACTGCACTTTTGTGCTTCTCCCATTTTTCTTACTACTGTCTATTAATGCCTTGAACCATTCCCCCCTGATGGATGTGATTATGATATTGGACATGAAAATGAGATAGTTAGAGCCTTACAGTAAGGTAATCTCTACTGAATATGTAGTTTCAGAACAATAAAAGTGGTTCAACTATTTTCGTTCTGTAAACAAATGATTTCATCTGATACTTAAAAAAAAGAAAGTTGCTTATAGCCCATTATCTGGTTCTGGTGTTGTTAGGTGCTACTGTTCAACCTTTTGGATCCTCAATGTCAATTCTCTTCACACAATGGGGAGACTTAGATATCTCTGTTGACTTATTCAACGGTTCTTCCGTCTTGTTCACTGGACATTTGCTTTGAGCCCTTAGAGCGAATGGTGATTCATGTAGCTTCTACTCTCTTTTTTTTGGTTTAAACTTTACTTCAATGGTTTCACCTTCTAGCTCAAGTATTCCTTTCATGTGGCAATTTGTCTCACCTCCATTATCATGAAAAAACGCAGGTTCTATGGTACAAACTGCAATTTCTTGTGACATTTCTATTGATAATCTGGAAGGGCTTTTGAAGAGCAGGTTCTTGTTATGGATCAGTGAAATATATGGGATTCCGCGACCTGGTTTTGCTTGAAAGTTAACAGGAAAATAAAACCAGATTGTTTGTTTCTAAAAGGTTTAACTGATCCTTTGACATATACATATCTTGTGTATTCTACCATTTATAGGTGAAGGAATAGGCCAAATTGACTTTCAACTCTTTTATTCTCTCAGTTTGTTAGTCATTTTCCATCTTCAGGTAAGATAGATGTCCTGTATTTCATGCCTTCAGCCTTCTGCCGTTACTCCATCATTATAAAACCTGAAGTCTTAAGATGTTTTTTTGTTGTTTGGTGCAGACTTGTGCGCCTGCAATCTAAGAGTGATATATCCAAAGAGTGCGGCTGATGATCTGACAGGTACCTTCTCTGAAAAGGTTTCAAGCCAAACCACGTAAAATTTATGAGTTCTTGGGATAAAGAAACAAAAGTTTTAGCGGCATGGTCTCTTGTAGGTCTACGAAAAAATGCAGAGGAAAGTAAATTAGACACAGCAAAATCACCCAACCCAAGCTCACTCTCGGAGCTTTTGGTCTCGTTTTCTGCAAAGGTGATTGATTTCTCATACGTTCTAGCTTTAAACTTTTTGTTTCCCCATACTATGTATTATCCATTAAAGTACTCTTGATAGAAATTAGTCTCTTGATTTTTGTATCTATCAGTTTTCAGACATAAACGTGAAGCACAAGAGCTCGATGTTTGCCCCAAGATGGGAAAACATAAGCAGCAACACTAGATGCCTACCAAAGACGTACTCACTCTTTGTAAGTCTCTTTATCTGTCTTTCTCTTACCCTCTTGCTGAGTTATATTCGTCACTATGACACCATGTGAGTCTCCCGGCTAAAGTGTGAATGCTCGGAATGAACAGAAATACTCACTCTACGGGATGGAGGTCAGTTGATACATGAAAGCTCTATGCTTTGTTCCACACTACAAAACAGAAAGATACATGTGTCATGCACGCAGTTAGGTGGTACTATAGAATCTCACCTGCATAATAACACAATTTTGAGAATCTCACCTCCTTGGTTGGTTTTTACTGTCGTTTCAGTTGGATGGTAAATTTCATGTGATATATGCTGAGGATTAAGTGGCAGGATCCTGTCTTTTCTTTGACATATGCGGAGGATTACTTTTTTTACAACATACAACATCAATGTTATACTTGATGCTAATACGACCTATGAAGAACTTGAAGTCATGAAGAAGTGCAAGCCACTTCTTTCACCTCATCAAAAGTTATCAATTCCAAACTTCTGATGGACAAGCCATGCAGGTGAAAAATCACTCCCTTGTAAATCATAATTGATTTCCTACAGTTTTTTAGAATTTATTAGCCCATCCATTACTTTCTTGACAGGCTGGTGAATCTGTAGTCAATCTTAATCTTGATGAATCCTTCCATTGAAGTTTCCAACGTCAATATATGGTAACATCAAATGCTACTCACATGACATGAATCAATAGCTCTACAGTTATAAACTTCAAAATCAAACAACTACAGTTTCTGCCGAGTATAATAAGTGACAGGTGACACAGCATGACTTTGTAATACAATTTAAGTGCTGTAGTATCTAACTAATATAGTGTCTACAACGTTTTCGGGTTGTACTTTAATTCGATTGGTAGGTAGCTCGATCCGGGTTAGCATAACCTATTCGCTTGCTATTTACAGGTTTTTTGGTTCGGTTTAAACGTAACCGTTTTTGGTTCGGTTGATCACGATTCCTTTTTTAGTTGGCGTTTAAAGTTTTTAAAACCTAACTAGGAAAGGAAACAAGAAACCTTATAAATCAAGAAACCACATCTCTTTAATTCTGATTTTCTCTAATCTTTTCAAAGCATCGATGGCTTCTTCGAAGCGTTTGTTGTGTTCGTTGCCACTTGAGTTGATAGAAGAGATACTTAACAGGACTCCAGCTGAATCTGTGTATCGATTCAAGTCGACGTGCAAGGAATGGCACGATCTCATCACCGACAAGAGGTTCATGTACAATCACTTGGATCACTCTCCGGAACGATTCATAAGATTCGATGATAAAAAGACAGTTCAAATCATGGATCCGGTGACCGGAATCCTCACATATTCACCTATCCCAGACGTGTTTTGCTATCCATATTCGATTGCTTCTGTGGTTCACTGTGATGGACTAATGCTGTGTATGTGTAATGATTCGAGTTTCCGACAAACAAAACACGCCAATCTCGCGGTTTGGAATCCGGTTACTAGGAAAATCAAATGGATAGAACCGTTGGTCTGTTTCTATGCAACTGACAACTTTGGGATTGGATACGACAACACATGTCGAGATAACTACAAGATCTTGAGGTTTTCTGCTCCTCTGTCTCTTCGTGATCTAGCAAAGTGTGAGATATATGAATTCAAGTCTGACTCGTGGAGAACTCTTGATGGTGTCAAGTTGTTCGATTGGGATGTAGATACTCAGTGCAGAGGTGTGTCATTGAAGGGTAATATGTATTGGATTGCTAAATGTGAAGACAAGGAAGACTTTATCCAAAGTTTTGATTTCTCCACGGAAATGTTCAAGTACATATGCGTTTGTCCTCCTTGGTCCGAAACTCAACAGCAGGACATATTGTTTTGTCATCCTTTTCGACGATTAGGCTGTTTTAATGGAGATAGACTCTCTTTGTTATTACAACATGGTCAAGTAGGGTCAATGCATATTGAGGTGTTGGTGACAAACAAGTTGAGTGACGAGGTTGTTTCGTTTACCAAATATTTTAATGTCACTAGCCCTTATCTTCCGGCGTTGCAGTTCCAGTGTAATATGGCTCCTCCGGGATACTCCATCGGCAAGCACAGCGATATCATGGCATGGTGCGAGGGAGATGTGGAAGAAGATGATGAGTGGTATACTTGCATCACTCTTTACCAGATTGATCAAGGTGCGATCAGAAAACAAATTGAGACAGGACGACATGAAGAGTCACGGTACAGTAACCCTTCTATTTGTAGCTATGTGTATGTTCCAATTTTGATTCCACTTCTAGAATAAGAGGGTTGTTACTTGTTCTGTTTTTTTTTTTTTGTTCGGTTGTTCGGTTATCTTTCTACCATGTATATTGAAATCAACTATGATATTATATATGTTACTGGTTTTGGACTCTGTAATGATCTTGGAAAGATTTACTTTTTGGTCTACAGTAGCATGTGTACTCCCTTGGCCGAGATTATGGGATGGAGACGGGCGTTATGTAAAAATCCCATGACAATGGTGTGAGCTTGTTAGGTTCAGGTTTTGGAGAAAAAAATACAAATCTGTAAAATTTGTAATGGAACTGATTACTTCGGACTGGCACATGGTAATCAATGTCTCAAAAAGTGAAAACCGAGGTATTGAAATTGAGATAGACAGATAATACAAGTTAAACAATACAATGGGAAGTCTCTGTGCTGCACTCTAGTCATTGCCATCATCATCATCTGCATCTCACATCAGCGACAAGATGGCGAATCCGAGGAGCATACCATTTCACCTTCTCTATATGTTCCACTGTAACTTCCCAGCTACGACCTAAACCATGAAAACCCAAAAATATAACAAAACCATGAAAACCCAAAAATATAAGTCCCATGTTATATTCAGGCATTACCTAAATCAAGATTAGAAGTCTTATCAACAAGTAAAATCCTAGTCTTGATTCAGAAACTCAGTTTTTGGCAATGGAGACAACTAGGTTATTCTTCTACTTGGTTACACGGGTTTAGGAGTACCAAAACAAATTTCGAAAAAAACCAATGCTCTTTCTTTGAGTTCAATTTTTTCCGGTTTAGTTCATAAACTTATTACCTTCAGCTCTAGCGATATCACTTAATGTTTTGGTGACATGCTCGCCCCAACTGCTCTCATCTGAGTCCTTGACATTCCCGTGCACATGGAGTACTCCTCCCTCAGGCCTGCAAGTTCCAATAACAAGTACAGAGATATGACTGAACCTTAAAACTTTGTTCCAGAATTTATACTGCTGGTGCTTGTTGTAAAGAACAAGTTTTAAGGAAAGTAAAATCACCTTAATGCCTGAATAGCTGTGACCCAGCTTCCTTCGCTACTTGGGATAAGACCAAGATTGACTCTGTCAGCAACTCCCTGAGAATTAAAAGATTGAAACGCAAAATCTATTACTTTAGTAATTTACTCGATCCAACAGTTATACCATGAACTAATTGCCTAAAATAAATAGATGGTAAGCAGTTTGGATATCATCAACCGTACTTTCGGTGCGGTGATCCGGTTATCCCCTTCAAGAATGATACAACGATCCAAAACAGAATTTGCTTCAACATTACGTCGAAGAGCTTCAATAGCATGGGGATTCCACTCACAAGCATAAACTAGTTTTGCTTTTGCCCTGCAAAGTAAACAAAGAATGCATTGTAGTTGCATGTTATAAAACCACGATTTCTTCTCTACTTTATTAGATAATGGCCAACCTCACAAGGAATGGGAGAACGAAATATCCAATTCCGGCAAACAAATCTACCACAACTTCACTTTCACAGGCCATGTTACCCATACGAAGCTTTTCTGAGAGATTACCCCATGAGAACATGCACTTCGTAGCATCAAAAGAGTACAAGATCCCATTTTCACGGTGATCAACCCATCCATCGTCTCCCACAAGAATTTCCAATGTACTATCCCTTGTACCATTAGGTTCAACTCGTCCCTGAAAAAGAAACAAAAATTGATGATATAAGTCTTACTGGTAAGGAAATGCAATTGGCTAAGACAATAGTTTGTATTGGTTCTCAGCATTATCATAACTTATAATAAATCAATAATGTAGATTTGAGAGGTGCATAAGATGAATAAGTAAGATATAAAGGTTTGCACTTTAAAAGGTCTAGGTGTTAGGTTCTAGAGTAACATACTTGGCGAGCAAGGCGGTTGGCACTAAGAGATTTAGAAACAGCACACCAAACTTCATCACTGATAGAGATCCAAGATGGATCTTTAAAAGATGTTGCAGGAAGCACAACAATATCCCCAAGCCGTTCCCATCTACCAGTAGGGAAAATACAGAAAACACAATTACTTATCAGATGGAAGCGAAAACAATATGCACGCAATCAGATTCTCTCCATTTTAATCTGATTCATGAACACTTACCTCTGTGGAAGCTCATCTAAAAGCTCTTCCGGTAGGCCTTTCTGTTTAAGTATAGATGTGATATCTTCTCTCATTTTCTGTAGTGGGGATTTTGCAACTTTTTTGGCTTCAAAAGCTACGTTAATGAGTTTTTTGGCACCACGTTCCTTCAATAGATTCAAAGCTGCTGAGCTGGATATATCCATTAACGATGGACCCTTTATTTGGTTATCATCATCTGACCCTTTTATGTCCTCGCCCAACTGCTTTTCATGGAATAGTTCACAAAACTTTTCAGTCACAGGAAACCATATACAAAGACCTTTTTCATTTGAGTAAACTTTCCTCTCAAGGTCTAACCATCCGAAACTTTTAAGTATGTCCTTGCCAAACTTTGCATATTTTCTTTCTAACTGTATCACCCATGGTTGAGACAGGGACGTTTCAGTCTTCAAATCTGCATTGGTTTGATTCGGTTCTACAGAAACATCTTCATGCTGAGGAGGGACATGGTTCTCACTCATAGTTACAGATTGCACCAAGTTGATTTTCACTGGTTCACTAAACTTTGTCCCAAAAGCATAGCAAGCAGCCCCACCCCCAATGATAATAAGATCATCACCAAGAACACTGGCTGTACTTCGAACAAACAACTCTTTGTTCATAAATTCCAATCTTACACTCCTCCACAATCGGTGCTTCAGATCTAGCAAAGTCAACTCTTGACAATTTTGTGAGACAGGACAACCTCCAATAATGCCAATAATATGCTTATAAACAAACATAGAGTGAGAAAACCTGGCGTTAGGCCATTTTCCAGAAATCACTTCAAGTTTCCAATAACAGCTTTGGACATCAAAGCTGTATAGGTCATTAAGTACATTTTCCCCATTGTACCCTCCAAACATGAATAACTGAGAGCCATATGCAACCATAGCATGAGAGTGGCGCGCACAGGGCCATTGACCTTGTTGTTCAACTTCTTTCCACTGAAGGTCCTTTGTATCCAAAATATGCAAAGAGGAAACCATTTTATCATTGTAAAGCCCACCGAATATGTATACTTTTGAGCCAACACTAGCTGCTGCATGCCGATGCCTGCTCAATTCAAAGAATTTGTCTTTAGAAGAAAATTTGAGATAACAATGATCTGAAGGGGATGTCAACGCAACAAGCAACAAAAACATAAAATAAATCAAAGAAATGAAGCAAGACAGGCATCAAACCAAGTGGAATAAATAGGATACTTAGTTAAATAGTTTTCTAAAATACAGTACATAGAAGTTTGACGTTCATTTAGCAAAATAAACAGTACATAGAAGTTTATCATTGGAAATAGGTCAAAGGTTTATTGAAGAAATGACACACAAAATGACATTTACCTTGGAGGAAATTCACTTCCAATACACCTCTGTGAGCTCCATTCACCCTTGGGTATATCAAGCCTCCACACATCATTCAAAATGTTCAAGGGATCAGCCCTTCCTCCAATCACAAACATGAAATCGCCAACCATTGAAGCTGTGTGTCCAAGTCGTGCTGATGGAGATTCATTGACTGCAATCAACTTTAAGGTACCACATGAAGGATCAAGCAACAAAGACTCGTTTCTTCGAGCATGCCTACCAAAACCTCCAAACCCACCAAACACGATAACCTCTTTTCGATCTGTTTTATCTATCGTACAAGCTGAGTGTCCCCAAAGGTGGAGCTTCTCAACAGTTTCCCCGACTATGGATAATTTTGAGAGCGGTATAAGATTTTGCTGAAGCCCTGCCAATGATTTAGATACGGAAACTGGCTATCACGTTTAAATTTTGAAAGTTATCCTGCAAACCAAGTAGACATAACTCAAACTCTCGACCATCGGATACACTACCACTACTATCAACTAAACAAGACTATAGTTAAACAATACCATTATAGACTGCAACATATCCAATCTCATTGCATTACTCAAGCTATCTACTAATACAACAAATCACATAGAGATCTACAAAAAATTACCAGGATGCAAGTCTCCATTGTTGATAGTTGAATCATGATTTCCAGCTAGATTCTCGTAATTATCATCTTCATCCACATCGTTTGCATCTGGATTCTTAAAACCATTACTAGCCAAAACTACACCAAACCCATCGGTTCGCTTCCTATTGGCATCCATCTTCTCATTAGCAATATCAACTAGAAACTTCACATACTCTGGTGAAACCATCAGCTTCTGCGTATCACCCAAAGGCACTTCCATTCGAATAGAACATCGTATAGCTATAATTACCCTTTTGCCATCGCCGCAAGATGTGATTCCCGACTCTCTAAACCCAGCCGAGATAGCTACCGCCACAAGAAACTGAGCCGAACCCAAATCCTTACATTCCACAGCAATGATCAACGGCTCGAATCGGAAGACTAATTCGCTGGGTTGGTCAATTGGGTCAATCTGATTTGACTTGGATGGAAAAAGCAGAGAAACCACCAACTCCGGATCAGCTGGATCGTGAGTGATGTAGAGCCATGACCCACCACGAGCTTTCTTCTTAGTTGAATCATTCAGTTTTGGTTTGGGCTGAGAAAGGATTGAGATTCGACCTGAGCATGAGCTGGTAGTGAAGTAAGATGGGTGATGATTGATGGTTTCGAGGAGAGGGATGATGGGTTCGTCGAGATAACCTTTGGGAGATTTATCAGTCACTGATGAACGAATTGAAGCTAGTGTCGCAGCTTTCCTCTTCTCGAAATCCATCTCCTTTTTGAGTTTCTGTGTTGAAAGTTAAAACCCTAACCTTTAAGGTTTCATAAACCCTTTTGAGTGTGGCGCTTTAGATTCAGTGACGAAGAAGATGACTCGTAGTCTCGTACGAAACGACACGACATCGTTTTATCTTAAATAGTAATACGACAGCGTTTTACTCTTGAGTTTTGTAGGTGTTGGTGTAATTTGGATTTCGGTTCGGTTATTTCCGGTTAAGATCATTAATAACACAAAATGCGTGGATGGTGCAGGTTTCGTGATCTAACTAGTAACTAACATCAAATTCTTTTGTAGGAGATGAAGGTCTCTGTGTCTTATATATATATTGCAAAGTTGCTTACACTTTGCATTAACTTTCTAGTTTCTACTTGGCACTTTTCATCTTATGAAAGTTTCATTTTTCAAAAAGAGAGATCAACGTACCAATACAATTCTAATTACATATAACGCTAAGGATCATTATCTTCATTGTACTTAGGGTGATGGTAGTCAACCCATGTGAGGTCGCAGCCCGTGTCAAAATGAACCCTTTGTTCTATTGGGGTTTTATCAGTTGAGCAACGGGTTCATGTCGATACGGGTGCTGATTTTACATGGATTGTCTCTATATCCTATATATATGACTCGACATGTACATGAGCATCCTTAAATTGTTGGAACGAATCATATAGCGCTTTACTTCAAGTACGTATTGAAGGTTGATTTGAATAGAAATGTCACTAGATTGTTGGTATAATTTACATGAGATAAATTGGGTTTGTCCAAATCCATGAGAAGTAGGAGTGGTAGGAGCATGTTTTTGTGATGGTCACAACTCATAAGACAAAACATATAGAACCAAAACTTGTTCATAGCAAAGGTTGAGAATTTTTGTTGTTTCTATGATTCGGTATGTTTTTTTTGTTACTATATATTAAGCATATTCCAAATAATATACTCAGCTCTGTAATTTATAGTTGGATATCCATTAAAATAATCAAGACATTTTGACTAGATATCCATTAATATCAAAATTTTAACCCAAAATAATATTCCTAATATTTTTTTTTAATTACAATACAATTTTCATGATATATATTTTTTTTTACCATATGCTAAAAATTTGTATATATATATACAATCTATGTATTTTATTATATGTTTATTTATATAGGCGCGGAATAAATATCATGTCTCTCCGGTTTTTAGCATATTGTATATGATATTATTAGTGTAATCAAATATTTTATCTTATTTTATTGTTTTGGTTGTTTTATATTTTTGGCTATATCTAATATGTTGTTTATTGGAATTATACAACATACACTTGTTAGGCAATTTGATTGGTATATAAGTTTTACTAATGAACCAAAACCATACCAAATCAAATTAAACCAAACCGAATCACACTAATTTCTTTCCTCTGTTAAATGAGATTTTTTCTCTAATTGGGAGAGAGCCAAAACTCGTAACAATTTGGTTGGCTCATAAACAAAGAAGTAAGATATACCACACACACACAAAAAAAAGATATCGAGCCACTAATACAACGCCATGTCAACAAAAGAGGATCCCACCATTGGGCAGACTCCAAAGACCAAAGGTGAAACCTTATCTCCAAACCCAATCTCATCACCTTCTCTTCCCTCCACTCAAATCTCCTCCTCCTCTCTTCTTTCTTCTCCTTTCATACAATCAGAAGAATCAGAGATAAGGTTAAGCCAATACAGCAAAACAGAAGAAGAAGAAAAACAAAACTTCTCTCAGAAAGAATCAAGAACAATGGCTTGCTCTAATCTAACAACAATGTGGGTTTCATCAAAACCATCTCTTTCTGATTCCTCTTCCTTGTCTTTCCGATCTGTTCTCAACCCACTTCACCTCCCTAATCACACTACCTCTCCTCCTTCGAGATCTTCCTCTGTTTCACCAATCCAATCCTCTCTTCGTGAGCTCAGAGACCGTATCGATTCTGTCAAGAACACTCAGAAGATCACCGAAGCTATGAAGCTTGTCGCTGCTGCTAAAGTCAGGAGAGCTCAAGAAGCTGTCGTCAACGGACGACCTTTCTCTGAAACCCTAGTTGAAGTTCTTTACAACATCAACGAACAGCTTCAGACCGATGATGTCGATGTGCCCTTGACCAAAGTCAGACCGGTTAAGAAAGTGGCGCTCGTTGTCGTAACCGGAGATCGTGGATTGTGTGGTGGATTCAACAACTTCATCATTAAGAAAGCAGAGGCGAGAATCAAAGAGCTTCAAGGTCTTGGTCTTGATTACATTGTCATTAGTGTTGGCAAGAAGGGAAATTCTTATTTCCTCCGTCGTCCTTACATTCCCGTCGACAAGTTCCTCGAAGCCGGAACTTTACCGACGGCCAAAGAAGCTCAAGCTGTGGCTGATGATGTCTTCTCTCTGTTTATCAGTGAAGAAGTCGATAAAGTCGAGCTCTTGTACACAAAGTTCGTGTCTTTGGTCAAATCAGAACCCGTGATCCACACGCTATTGCCTCTATCACCAAAAGGAGAGATCTGTGACATCAATGGGAACTGTGTTGATGCTGCGGAAGATGAATTGTTCAGGTTAACGACGAAAGAAGGGAAATTGACTGTTGAAAGAGAGACCTTTAGGACACCAACAGCTGATTTCTCTCCAATCTTGCAATTCGAGCAAGACCCTGTTCAGATTCTTGATGCTTTGTTGCCTCTGTATCTGAACAGTCAGATTCTTAGGGCTTTGCAGGAGTCATTGGCTAGTGAGCTTGCAGCTAGAATGAGTGCAATGAGCAGTGCTTCGGATAATGCATCAGATCTTAAGAAATCGCTTTCCATGGTGTATAATAGAAAGCGTCAAGCTAAGATTACTGGAGAGATTCTTGAGATTGTTGCTGGAGCTAATGCACAGGTTTGATTTGTTTTAAACTGTCGACAACTCTTTTTTATTTTCATTATCGTTTGTATAATGTATAATGGTAATCTCTAGAACAACTCCTTATAATCCTTTTTTCTCTCTATAATCATGCAATTACAAACAAAGTGCGGTTGTATCTATTTTGGCCTTTCATTGGATAAATTGATGGAAATCTTTGTTGAATATTTTGTTGGATGATCAGCTTTTTGTAGGATCCTTTTGAAGGAATAAGATTTGTTTTCTTGTTAGTTGAATCTTTTGTTATCTTAGTTAGGCAGAACAATGAATCATCCCATATGAGTATCTTATGAGCAAGAACTTGATATGAGAGAAGCTGACCAATTAGTTCAGACAAAGAGCAATGGTAAAAAGATATGGTTTATGTCAAATTCAATACATACTTGTATTGTATCATAAAGAGAGAAAAGAAGCAAATGATAAAAAAAGAAAAACTAAGAAAGATGCATAATCAAGAAATAAGCTGAGGGAGCGGGTTGAACCAGCGTGGGAGCACGAACTGCGAAAAGAAGAGATGGTGATTACTAGCATACATATTATTGACCAACTTTGGAGAGATGGAGTCCATATACTCCTTGCAATCACTAATTCTCATGATACAACCATCCATAGACTTGTACGTCCTCTTTACCTCCTTGTGAAGACTACACTTGCTTTCCCTCAAGTTAAACAAGAGCAGAGAGTTGGTGTTACAACTCCAACAGTACATGATATGAGAGTTGAGAGGATGCATCACCATTGGGAAATACTCAACACCATCCTTGTCGCTGGTCATGACTTGCCATAAGAGTTGCCATGAATTAGGATGCTCATGAGTAGAGACCAGCCTCCAAACCCTGACTGTACGTTCTACTACATTATTATTATCACCGAAAGCGTTGCAATACACCACAGATCCAGCAGAGGTTGTGATTGTTCTCTTGAAACGCCGAGTGCCTTGGTATTGTTGGATGTCAGGAAAAGGTATGATACTAGCTTCATCTCCTACATTGTAGAAATCATAGGATATAACATAATTTGCGTCCGCGTCGGAGTTATCAATTGTAGCAAGCCAGTGAAGAATCTCGTTTAGAGGAACCGAATGAGATAATCTAGACCAGATCAAGCTACGGAGAAAACGAACCTGTTTCGTCATCCACGATCCTGTTTCAGAGGAATATATCATAAAAGTTAGTTATTTAGCTACAATTTGAGAGACCAACGTCCAGACAACCTTGTAACCCACGGCAATACCCTTCTCCATCTTTGTGACCAGACCATTGTCGTGAAAACAGTTGCGATTCTCCTGTAACCTCACGACATCGTAACCCGTGAGATGTGGAGGAAAAGGGATCAGAACCCATTGTCGCAACAAGGGGTTTCCGACATGATACATAGGTGCTCCTTCCATGGTCTCGGTGTAAAGCAAAACCAATCCATCCGTGCAGCTCAAGACACAAGTTTTTCTCACTGCAGTAGTCTCGTTAGGGTTAGAACGCGTGATGAAAGAGCCTAAGAAACCGGTAAGTCCCCATCTCTCGCATCCATGGTGACCAACGATCTCTGTTTTGTTACTGTTGTTCATGATTGACCACGAAACAGAGGATGGGGAAGAGTGGAGAGACTCGTAGTGATCTCGGAAGAAGTCGGAATCTATTATGAGTTTCCATTCTTTGCAGACTGATCTGACTCTAGCTATGCTTCTCAGTGAAACTAATCTAGCCAAGATCTTTACCAATACTTCCTCTGGCGGCACCAAACTTTTTCGTTTCTTCTCCATTCTAGAGACTTAGTAGATTTAGGGTTGTTCTCTTTTTCTTTTGTCGTCCGCGATTATAAATAACAAATAAAAAGCATATTCTACTAAGAAAATATTATGGTCACACTGCGTAATATTATTATGTTGTTTATCGCTAGTCATATTGTACTAAAGCATTATCCTAAATCCCACTAAGGTATATCATCTAAAATAGAAAATCATCAAATTGTCTCCAGAAACGTTATAAACATCTACAACATATATAGTACGTACGTATTTATATTATTATATACATGTATTACAGTATTAGAGTAGTCAAATTACTCACAACCCAGAGAAATAATTTTTTGTGGTTCAGTGTTAAGAACTTAAGATAGACAAATATATTTTTGTATACAATTGCTAATATCGTCATATTCCTTCATACTTCTTTTAGGATGAAAATATTGGATAAAAGATAGAATCATCTACAGTTTTACTATTTGAGTTTAAAATCTAATAAAAGTTGATTATTAGATGAACAAAGAAGATAAAAATTAGAGAAAAATTACATCCATTTTTGGTAGAGATGAACAAGATAAAACCATTTTCACCAAAAAAAAAAAAAAACACAAGATGAACTCTGATTCTTTCATCAATTTGTTTTCAACTAAGTCAATGAATAATTCACATCCTTATTTTTTTTTTAAAATCACGTAATTTAGCTTAAGTCTTAACCATGTCAGTTTCACATTATGAACAGTTCGAACAGTTCTTTTTCTATACTCACAGCACAGCAGCTTCAGAGTTTATATCATACAAAAATGGGGGCGTCATGGTAGAAAATTATACCATACGCTGTAATGAATCGCCAAACCCACGAAAGCATTGAGACACAGCTGACAAATGGCTTCTCCAAATTAAATATGATTGTACGTACGCCCCAACAAATCCTTACAGCTAAATAAGTAATTTAATTTAGTTGTTACATCAAAGCTCTAGAATTGATAATCAAAACACACTTCGATCAACACTCAACAAATTAAGACTATTTAGTAGGTCTCGTTTAGTGTCTTAACAGTTGTAGATTATATGTAGAAGTAGATACATGAGTATGTGTGCCTTAATTTTTTTTGCTCGTTTATCGAAGTAAATTAAAGAGAAGCTTGTGATGTTGTGATGGTGTGACTCTGAGAGGAGTTTAAAGAAAAGCAAAATAATGGATAAAGGGTTTCTGAAAACTAAAGTGTGTATGTGTACTGTGTAAGGTGATGTGTCCACATCATTCTCCACTCCTCTTCATCTTATTTTTAATCTCTCCATTTCAATATCTTCTAACACAAAAATAACATCTACACTACACAAACACTTTGTTGTAGCATCTAAAGATTTAAATATACTATAGGTTCCATAACTTTTTTGGATTAACCAGAAAGTTCTGAATCGAAATCTGTAGTCTTCTTGGAATCGGGACCTGACTAAGAATTAAAATGGTTTCCTTCTAGGGTGCCTTTGAACCTAGAGGACAAAAGTTTCCTGTTCCTTTTGAGTTTTGATGGAATTTTTGTTTTGTGTTGATTAACTTGATTTATATAAGTTGTATAGCTTTTAAGTAAAAAATATATATATGCAAACAACGGTCCAATTAAATTATAAAACAAATTAGTTAAACTTAGATAAAAACCAATGTAAGTTTAATTTATCACTCAATATATAAGTTTGATATTACTACGTCAAGAGTATATATATTTTTTTCTGTCCTAACCAAATAAACAATATAAGGTTATAATATAGTATTTAGAGCATCATCATTATCAATGGCTTCTTAACCAAATTTTAAGGTAAGAGAAGTTAAAAAATGTATCTTATATAAGAGATATTTATTAACTTTTCTTAGTTTTTTCACTTTTTTAACTTTTTTACATTAAAATTTGTTTAAGAGACTTTTTCTTATAATTGTATTGTAATGCTCACGTCAAACAAATTATTTCAACCTTTGTTATAAATTTTTAATTAACAGAAGACCTAGCAAAGTAGCAAATATGATTAATTTTATTTTATATCATCATCTCCAAGTTTGTCAAACATAATTCATACATTTGTATTGTTCCCATATATTTTAATTCTCCAATCATCTACAAGACTAGAACCATATATACAATGTTTTTAAAGTGATCTGTTTGATATCTCTAAACTCTAATTTGTTGTTACATTTTTTCCTTCTTTTTTTTGGGCAAATGTAGTTACCTTATTTGTTTCTGGAATATGTTTTTTTTTTTACGTATCTGCTCTTATTTTGCTTACATGATTTTGTCTTGGTTGACAAAATATAGATAGAGACATTGTCTTGACATTTTTGTGATAGTTTAATGTATTATGTAATTTCATTACTTTTGTTCTTATAGTTATAGGAGTTAGGACAAGACATAACTTATTTAGATTCTTGTTCCAATGATGCTGCACTATCATATTCTATATCTCTATTAGTAAAGAAGATTGTATAACACGTATAAATCAACTGTATATTTCCCCATAAAATTCACAACTTATTCGAAACTAATGAGATCATTGGTATCTTTTGTGTATCACGTTCTTGTAATAGCTTACAATTTTTGACACAGTAAATAAAACGAAGAACCTAATTATTCAATCGTACGTAAATTGAATGCAAGAAGAGAGTGTGGTCTCTCTCTCTCTATCTATATCTTTCTTTATTTTTTCGTTTTGGATAAGAGATGGTAAGTAAAACTCTAATCAGGTAACGTCATTAAAGACACTTTTGAGTTAAATTTAATTTCGTCCTCTTATTTTTGGTGATAAGTGATAACATTTATATTTTTTGTTCGTAAAATTTATTAAAAATTACCGGAAAAAGAAATTTAAAAAGTAGTACTATATATAATTTTGACATAAAAGCAAAGTCTTTTCATATATAGTACGATATTTTTTTGTCGTATTGAAAATGAATCAGAGACTCTGTCAATGATTTGGCAGGTCTCAGTAGAAAATAGTACCAAAAGGCTACTCACTTAACTCTTGTAATAATAAGTTGTACCAAAAATTATTACACGTTTTGGAGTTTTGTGAAAGCCTCTGTCTCCTCGAGAGGCTCTTGTTATGTAAATCTATGAAGCTTTGTTCTATATATATATATGTTATGTTATATGACTTTTCTCTTTCATTTGTGATTATCTCTTCTTCTATCACATTTTATATATATATTCTCACTTAACTCATAAACAACAACAACAACAAGTCAACACTTTAAAAAGTAAGGATTTGTTTATTTAACTCTGGTGACTAGTGATCTCTTTCACTCAATGGATATAGGAGCAAGAAGAAGGACGCATAGTAGTAGTAGAAGGGTTCCTTCAACAATGGGAAGTGAAGTGGAAGAAGAGTTTCAAGAAGAAGATGTGTGGTCGGTTCTTAGAGAAGGTGAAACTTCAGGTCTTGAAATGAAGATACCCAAAAGTCATTTCTCCTCTTCCTCATCATCTTCTTCTTCTTCTTCTTCACCGTGGAAGATTCATAGAAGCAACAAGGAGGTCTCGGGGGTAAAACAGTCATCGGCACCTATGAATGTTCCTGATTGGTCCAAGGTTTATGGTGGTGACTCAAAGAGCACGAGCAGGAGGAGTAGCCATTTGCGTTTTCATCATGGCGACGACAAGGATGGTGGTGAAGATGACGATGGTTGCATGGTTCCTCCACATGAATGGGTTGCAAGAAAGCTAGCAAGAACACAGATCTCTTCATTCTCTATGTGCGAAGGAGTTGGAAGAACACTCAAAGGAAGAGATCTAAGCAAAGTGAGAAATGCTGTCTTGTCAAAAACTGGTTTCTTGGAGTAAGTAGGATTATAATAATATCTTATCGACTCATCATCATCATCATGAGTTCATCAATCATCATCCATGTGCATGAATCACATAACTCTTGTTTTAACATTATATCATCATGAAAAAACTCAACTTTTATGGTATCCACATCATCATCATTATCAATGTCATTGTCGTCATCATCATGTGGGGATCACTATACCAAGAGTCTTTTGTTAAGTTTTTATTATTATTATTTTTTCAATGTGTTATCTCTATATTTATAGAGTAGATAAGTATCATAGTGATGATGATGACTTATCTACCCCATGCATGGGTCCCTTTTTTTTATTTTTCTTCTGTTGTGTTTTCTCTTTGAAGTTTGTACTAGAGAGCCTAGAGAAGAGGAGGCATATCCTTTGGTACCTTTTTTAATTAGAGAGCTTATTTGAGTTCTTCTTCACCATGTTTGGTGAAAGTCTTTGTCCTTTGCTATCGATATCATGTAATATATAAACTATGCACCTTTTTGTTAGCATTATTAGCTATGTCTATCATATCACTAATCAATCGTAGGATATGAGATGTTTTTGGAGAAGTCTACTAGCAAGAAGTCATTAACAATGCCAAAACTAAACCGTTTAAATTGGACTACTTTTGATTTCCATAATGAAATGCTAAGTTTAGGATTCTTAAGATTATTCAACCACACCATTCGATCTACTAATATTATATATTCATATTATTCTTTCATGATATTATAAAGATTGAAACTTTGAAAGAATTCATGATATATTTTCATGATAATGGCAGAGAGTGATCTCTCTATAGAATAAAATGTGGTTAATAGAAGAAGATCAATGAATAGCAAGAAACTAGAAAACATCAAATAAATTGATGTGAAATTCTTATGGACAATGTAAATCACACTGTCACGATATAGAAAACCCTAAACATAAAAAATAGTAATACAAACAAATAATAAGAATATCGTTTTGGATGCTAATAATTTCTTTTTCAGTTTTTTTTTGATTAATTATTAAAATGGTATGTCGCTTACACAATTTTCTATATTTTTGTAGTAACTTTATTTTCTAATCTATTTCTTTTATACTGTTTTCTTTATAAAAAAAAAATAGAGTCATACTGTGTTAAAAAAAAAATAGAGTCATACATTAGGAAAAGAAAGCCCATAAGGAACTAAACCCATTAAGGCCCATACGATTCGACGTCGTATCTGCACTTGCTGACGTAAGACAAACGTCGAAATTATCTTGTAAATCAATTAAAAAGAAAAGTAAATAAATAATTAAACTAAACACTAATGTAAAAAGTTTGGGTGCCGTGCAGGTAACAATCACTAAACCCTAAATCCATCCTCTGATTCCTTTATATATATATTCTCTCCTTCTTTTGATCCTCTTCCTTATTTTTTGCAATCAAAACCCAATTTTGTTCTCCTGATCATCCGAACCCTAGTCTTTCTCACGGATCATCGATTCTTCTTCTTCTGGGTATGTTTGATTTTGCCTCTCCTCTCGTCAATTCCAAGTTTTTGTGTTCTGGATTTGGTCTAACAGAGTAAAGTTTTGATTTTTTTCTTTTCCTTTAATCATCGCAGATACTGAATCAAATTCGCCATGGCCAAGAACTCGTTCAAGCTTTCTAATCCTCTGGGTTAGTTTCCTTGTTTCTTCTCTTTACTGATATCAATATAAGGGTTTGATAGTATTGTTGCTGTTCATACTTGCTTTTCTAGTCTTTTCCTTCAGAATTGTGTGACGATTCTAATCTTGTTAGCCTGATTAAGAGTTTGTTGGTTCTGATTCGATCTTTTATATTGGGTTTCTCTGTTTTGCTTTTGATCTTCTCTTCGATGATTACATCAGCTCGATTAATAGACCTAATTCGTTGTTGAATCTTTGAATCATATCTCGTTGTTTATGGGCTTGTATGATCGATCTATTAGCTGTGATTGGAATCTTAATGGTTTTGTTTTTGATCTCAGAGATGAGAATGGCTGAATCTACTCGTATCAGGGCGAAATACCCAGAAAGAGTTCCTGTATGTTTTCTAAACTTTCCCTTTAATGAACAAAGTTTATAAATTTAGATTCTTGTTCTAATCAGAAATTGAATGCAGGTGATTGTTGAGAAAGCTGGACAGAGTGATGTTCCTGACATTGACAAGAAGAAGTGAGTATATGATACATCTCTCTTTATCTCTCTTGCTGGATATTATTGTTATCGCCGTCTTTTGTTCACATCCCTTTTTAAGCCAGTAGCTGATTCGTTTGTCATTGCAAGAGGATTGTTGTGTTGGGATCATAGGGTTTAAGAGTCTTGCTTAGATTCTAGACTTGAAAAACCTTTACTTTAAATTGATCAGATTCTCAAAGCTCGTTCCTTGGTCTTTTAGATTTGTAGTGGAGATGAATAACCCAGTGTCTAATGGCAGATCTGCATCAAATTATTAGCATACTTAATGTTTTCATCTAAGCTCATGTTTATCTGATCTTGTTTTCTTCCCTTTAGGTATCTTGTACCAGCTGATCTGACCGTTGGCCAGTTTGTATACGTTGTGAGGAAAAGAATCAAGCTTGGAGCTGAAAAAGCAATCTTTGTCTTTGTCAAGGACACATTACCACCAACCGGTAAAGTATTCTGAACCTCTATAAACCTTGTTGTGTGGATCTTCTTTGACTTCTATTGTTCATGTTTTAATTTGGTTTCTCTCTTCTCTGGTTCTTACAAATATAGCTGCATTGATGTCTGCAATCTATGAAGAACACAAAGACGAGGATGGGTTTCTCTACATGACATACAGTGGAGAGAACACGTTTGGATCTCTCTGTTGATCCTCTTGATGATTTGTACATTCCTCTAGCCAATCTCTCCCCTAGCCTTTGCTCTGGTTTCTCGACCCTAATAATGTCTTCTTTTTTTTTAGCTTTCTGGGTTTTATCTTCTGAGCTCTCTCTCTCACTCTCTTATGCTATTGAAGATGGATTTGAAACAAGTTTCGTTTTAGTTTGAATAGACAGTTGATATTGACTCCACTCTTTTTATATTGTTTTTGTTTCCTTCTTCTATTGTCATGACTATATATGACATGAAAACAAAATCTCCATTACTAGATAGTTTCAAGAAAGAGTATACGAAGATAACCAAAATGATCAAATCGTCGAGTCATGTGTACCAAATTATATTAAACCAATCTTGGTCTAAACCGAGAAAAAAATCGTGAAATTGACCAAACCGAAAGAAAACCAAAGCGGAGGAAGATAAATATCTTGTCATTTTCCCATACTCCTCGTTTTTAATCTCTTGCGACTGTCGCAGCCGCCGCCGCCGCAAATCAAGCCCCTGCAGTCGGCGACTTCACAGGCAAGGTATGATCGCCGAATTTTAGGGTTTTGTTAAGTGGGTTTCTCAATTAGATTAGAAAGATTCGTGCTTGATTTGTATTCAATCATTCTGACCACTTGATGCTCTCATCTCGTATCCATTGTTTTCTAATTGCTTGTCTTTCTGTGAATTGAAATCGTAGAAGAAAACTCAAAACCCAGAGAATCTTATATGCTGATGAGTGATGAGCAAGCTAAATTCTTAATTTTTTGCCTAATTTTGTGAATCCTCCCTCTTGTTGATGCTAGAAGTTTAACAAAATTCATTACTTTTTATTGATGCTAGAAGTTTAACAAATCTCATTACTTTTTGTTGATGCTAGAAGTTTAAACAAAGTTCTCTAGTCTTTTACTTTCTGAAATTTATGAGCTTTTGTGGTTATTGTAAATTGAGCTAAATGGAGGATTCAATTCTATGTCAGAGTTCTTATCATGAAGAAAGGTATGATGCGGTGGGATGATGATGATGATGATGAAGACGACCCATCAGAGGAATCATCGTCCTCTTCTGACTCAAACCCGGATAATTCAGAGACTGGGAAGAAGAAGAAGAGAAAGAGTAAGAAGCCAATAGGTATGGATAAGCTTCATTGTTCTTATTGTATTGACGTTTTTGAGATCTCTCTCATGTAACTTTGTCTTTTATGGTTGCAGCGAGGTTTGCGAAGAAAGACAAGAAAGCTTTCGACTATGAATCTCTGCAACAGCATGGTTACAAAGCTGTTGGTCTTCCAGATATTCGTGCTCCTGTGGAGAAACAGGATTGGTCGTGGGATACGGGAAAGGATAAACCAAGAGTAGAAGAAGTGAAAGAGAGTTACCGAGAACGTGAAGCTACCAGAGCTGCGGTTGCAGGTGGCCAAACAATTGAGAATGCGCAGTTGCGGAGTGATAGGAAGAATCTATCTTTCTCACAGAAGGAGAAGAAGAAGAGAGATTTAGGACAAGCGAGCAGAGGGAAGAATTATGTTGAAGAAGAGAAGAGGCAGTTGAGAGAGAGTGGTGTTTACTCTGGTTTTGATTCCTAAATATCTCTACTTTGAAGTGGGGAATCTTTGTATTTTGTATGAATAGGAAGAAACAAGAGCTTGATTACACTCATAGACACATATTTGTATGGAGAATCATCAGTTACTTAGCATTGTTTTGATTCCTGATAATCTCAGCTTTGAGGTAAATCTTTTAAGTATTTGATGATATATAAATTGATATGAATAAGAAGAAACAGGATCTCGGTTTGATTATTTACCAGAGTTACTTGAGTTTTATTTACTCTGGTTTTGAATCCTAAATTCAGTTTTAGAATATGTTTGATAAGAATGCAAAGAAGAACCAGGAGCTTGATTTTACTACTAAACACACATTTACATGGAAAAATCAACACTAATGCAACATTATACTCTTACAATAACTCAAGCTTAGTAGCAGAGCTGATCTATGTCTCTGATCAAAAGCTGTGAATTGATTCTCCAACACAACTTCATCTGTTCTAGCAATCTGGAACGAGATGGAAGTATTACTTATTACTGATGTATTGTCGACTGGTTTTGTGGTTTATTCATCGGACGAGATTCAAGAACGAAGTCAAAGAATCGACATCTCTCTTCTCAGACGGATACTTGATTGGTCTTGAAGAGTTCTTGGGGAACACGAGTATCGTTGGGAAGCTACCGAGCTGCAATTCCTGCTTTGCAAATTCCTTCTGGTCACCATCTGCTCTGAATTTCGCAACCTTAATCCCGCTTCCAGCCAATTTATCCGCTAGTTCATCATAAGATGCTTCCATGGCTTGACAAAAGGGGCACCACGGAGCATAAAGCACGACGATCCAAGGCTCTTTACGGTTCTCCAACTTCATCAAATTCTCAATGCCTTGCCTGCTCAAAGTCACAAGATTCTCACTCTTAAAGATATCTGCAACAGCAGATTTCGTTTCCCCGTTTACTTTAGCATCAGCTGCATTTTCCTTGACATTCCCTTTGTGAAGTCCACACTCCTTGGCTTTAGCATCTTCCCACCACCATCTCCCTTCTCTCTCGTGCTGACCCGGTAAAACCGCTTTCGTGCAAGGCTCACATCCAATCGAAATATACCCCGCCGCATGCAATGTGTTAACTGGAACATCCATAGTCCTCAAGAAATTCCAAACATCATTCCCTTCAACATTCGCAACAGGATTCCACTTTACCAAACTACCAACTCCACCATCCAAACCTTCAAAAACCGGATCAACCTGAACAACCGGGATCTCAGACCTCGTCCCGGGAGATTGATCTTTCCTCTGACCAGTAATCCAAGCCTTTAAACCCTTGAGAGCACGCCTCAATGGTCTCACCTTCCTCACACGGCAACACTCCTGATGACCATCCTCATAGAAAGAGAACAATCCCTTGCTCCTAACCAAACCTTGAACCTCAACAGAATCAGGAAACATATACTCAATTCTAATCCCATAATGTTTTTCCACCTCATCGAAAAACCGATACGTCTCGGGATTCAATCTCCCTGTATCCAAACTAAACACTCTAAATGGCCTCCCAGTCAAATGAGCATACTCTATTAAAGCAACATCTTCTGCACCACTACAAAACACACAACCAAAACAACAAAAAATCAGCCATCTTTTTCAAAATCTAACACAAACTGATCACATCTCATGATTGATTCATCTTCATACCTAAATGCAATAGCGATATCGGTCCCGTATTTCTCAAGAGCTTTATCCATAATCTCAAGAGGTGAAGCATTCTCAAGCCTCTTTGCAAGCTCTTCAAAATCCTCAATCTCTACTACTTCAACAGCTTCCTCAGCAATTTCTGCTACCATTGTCGTTGCTGCAAGAGGAATCAAAGAATCCTTTGTCTTTGGCTCTGCGTTTAAGGGCTTAACAGATAATGATCTCTTCCCAGATAGATTCAAAGACACCGGAGTTACATGAACACGATCCAACACCCTCAACGAACCAATCTGCGGCACTGTAAGGGAAAAAAAAATCGAAACTTTAGCAATTCATATCCAAAGTAATCAAAACCCACATTGACCCATCAAACAAATTTTGGAAATTTTCGAGATTTTCACAGAATTGAAAGTTAATTATATACCTTTTGGCTCAGATGAAACGCCGGAACGTGAAAAACCAGAGTTTATGATCCTTGAAGAAGAAGAAACATTTACAGCCATTGCCATTGTTTACAGAGAAATTTGGATTTTTTTTGGTTTCTCTTAATGATTTGTTTTTTTTATTTTCTTTCGTATTCAATATCTTTGGGGAGAAGCGTGGGCATTTAAATAACAAAATATAATGGTGAATCCAGATTCATTGAACCTAGACGCATTTGTTTTGTTTTTGGCAACTGAGAATAGTATGGTCTAATTGGATAACGTGGCATCTTTTAATTGGTTGAAGTTATTTTTGAAAAATCATCGTTCCTCACTTGGGCCTGCATGGTCTATTCATATCCGGTAGAGTCAATTTTGGCATTACCCACCAAAAATAATAATAAATTAGTTGTTTTATTTATTTATTATTTTTACACACGTCAAAAATAAAATAAAAAATAATAATAAACATGGACTGATTTCTAACTACTAAATACTAATATTTTAGTTCTACCAATAAAGAAAATATTAATATCTTTAAAAAATTATTATTAGTAAATTTATTTATATTATTGTTTGATAAAGATTTTAATATATGCATATATATGTTCTCCCTTTTATTTAAGTAAATATTTTAAAATATGTATATTGTTGTTACTTTTCTGATCTCATATCTTAAACTTATTGGTAGATGAGAAGTTAAACATATAAGCTTACCAAGTTATAAAAGTTGGTGATTCACCTACTTAGCTAAACTATTTATAATGCATGTGGAAAAATAAAGAGTAACACATGTTTGTTTTGTAATTTTTTCTTCTTGTAATATAGAAAACTAGTTGTTGACCCGCGCTGCGCGCGGGAGTTTTATAATTGTTTTTTATATTTTAAAATTTATATTTTGATTTTTCTTTGTTTTTTGTTTATTTTTTTGTTTTTACTGTTGTTTTGGTATTAATTTAGTATATGAAATGTTTATTTTTATTTGTTTAACTTTGATTTAGGTCAAATATTAGCTGTCAAAACCTTACATTTCAAAAGCCTTCAATTCTTGTAGACCAAATTATTCAGGTGAATCCACTTATTTATTTAATTTTTTTTTTTTTTGGTATCAATCCACTTATTTATTTATTTATTTATCCAAGTGTTTTCATTTTACTTTTTACTTTTTAGTTTTTTTTTCTACTTCTTATGCCTAAAATCGGTTGTGTTTTCGTTTGAAGTGGCTTCGGATGACATCAATTTAGTGGTATATCTATCTGTATAGTATAAATATCCTTGCTTTGTATTTTGTTTTTGTATTTAGCCCCATTAATCAAAAAATTGATCATTACTTTATAAATAGATACTTGTTTTATTTATTTTGGACATAAATGTTTTTTACTATATTATTTATTTTCTTAAAACCACTATTGAATATAAAAATAAAATAAAAGCTAAGTTATGAGGTAGAAAAGAAATTAAAAACTAAAGTGTTGTAATTCTAAATCAATGTAAAAAATTAAGATGAATGATGATGTGGGGTTTATATTATACATTATATTTGTTAGTATAATCGATAATTAGTAAGTTTTTTAACTCTTAATCAATTATCTTTTTTAGTTTTATAATATATAATATATAAAAAGACCTTTCATATTCATTTTGGAAAAACTTATTTACATAGGTTTAAATATTAAAATTAAATGATAAAATGGTATAATTAATTTTAAAAATTAAAAAATAAAATGAAGTGGATGATGATGTGGCTTAAGGAGAAAAGAGAAAAAGTTAACTTTATATATATAGATAACTAATGATGATGCATTGATGTGTATGCGAGACTAATTTTCTAGAAGAAGCTTTAAGAGAGTAGTCTTTTTAATTATAAATTTAGCTATGCCAAAGTTAGTGGAAGATTAAATTTAAACACTATCTAATAAGGATCATAAGCTGCTAAAAACCATTGGCATCACCAACAAGATATTTGATCATCCATAGCTCTTTCTAGTTTCTATCTATAGATCCTTCAAATAGAAATTTAAGTATCTGATTTGGGCTTTATACATTTCAAATTATTGATCCATCTATTAATTAGGTTTGCAGGCTAATGGGCCGCATGGGCTATTGTAACATAATCCTTTCATTTATGCACTTTCAGTAGAACACCATTTTATCAGAAAGAAACAAAAAAGGAAAAAAAAAATATAAATATAAGGAGAATTGAAATTTTAAAGGCTTACATCTTCTTATTCTACATGGCATAATCCGAGTGAAATCAAGAACACACAAAACTTTTAAAAAAAACTATAATCAACCTCAATACATTTTGTTGACCACTATGTCATTATGTATGATTCAACACTAATACATTAATTAATTAGTGAAGTAAGTCGTAAGACATATGGACCTAACTCAGTTTTAAAATCATCTCAATATATATAAGCAACAAAACATCTAATTTCAAGACTCATCACGAAGACACTTATATTAAATTTTATCCTTGTGACACAAAAAGACCAAATCACGTAGACTATATCCAAAACCTACAAATTGAAAAGACAACACCAATGAAACTAATTCGAATCCAGCCGAATGAAAAGCAAAAACAAAATTTGGGACTTTAATATAAAGTGCTAGTAATAGTATAATTCAATATTATGCGAGTATACAAAATGAAAATCCGAATTCAAGATTCATTACATAACAGTTACACACATCTTCAAACCAATCAAGAACGATAAATACAATAAAATTTAAAATAAAACTAATCTTGGCCTAATTAGACCTCATAGCACTCACCAACAGAGAGATAGAGATCAGAGAGAGAGAGAGAGACACGACTCTTTTTTCTATGTCAAACAATATGCAAGAATCAAGATTGCAATACTGTATATGGATGTTATATAGAATAGAATTAGGGTATGTAACGCAACTGTGATGCTAAAATCATAATCAGTCATCGCTGCATGCAATATGCACTAGTATTATAACACTTATACTAGCTAGCTAGCACTTTATATTAAAGTCATTCCTTATTTTCCTTTCGATAAACTGACAAAGGAAGAAAGCAAAATGTGCGTTACAAAGAATAAAAAATGCGACGATGTTGGAAAAAAAAAAGACGTGATGATGTAAGATTGGTATATATAATAACAAATGGTGCATTCTCTAGCCAAGCGGCAACGTCTCACTAAAAGAGTTCCAGATTCTTTTTTGTCTTCTCGTTAATGACACTAGCTAGCTAACTTCTCTTTGCAAGTCAAATATTATACTAAATATCAATTAAAAAAAAAAAATTAAATCTATGTCTTATACTATTTTAAATAAGTAGAGATATAATGATAAATTACATACATCGTTTTCTCCTATGATTTTGACATGATGGATACATCATACATGAGAAGAATGACTAACTACATTAAAAAACTCACAGAGTTATAATATTTGATTAAAAAATAGTCATATTGTTCAATTCTATAGGATATCAACATATTTATTTGCATGTATGTATATTTGATATTAATTGTTGTTTTTTGAATATTATTCTATAAATTAACCGAAACGGAGACTTTTTGTTCTGAAGGTGTTACGTGTCTTCGCAAGAGGATTCACATACATGCAAATGCAATATGCTCGCACGTCATTGTTTTTAATAGTATTTAGTTACCTTATTTTTTTTTTTATTAATGTTTCACCAAAATATTTCAGTTGCGTGGCTAGCTGGAGATTCTAAGGTTTTTTTTGTTTTTTTTGGTTAAATAGACACTAGTCATCAAAAGATTGGACACCTAAATTAAAGATAATATATATATATATATATTTTAGTTAAATAGGAGAAAAAAAAATCAAAATAGATGAAAAACAAGCCCTAAGTGTTTGGTGGATTCAAGTCCATATGCATTATTTATGTTTTGGTTTACTCAACGTAATTTAGTTTATACATTAAAGTTTTTACATTTTTTTGTTTAATTAAAATGTACACATTAATTGTTGCGAATCGTAAATGTTTTCTTCTTATTAAATACAAGTTAGAACGATTTACAATTTATGCATGTATAACACCGTTATCTACATGTGAGTCAAATTTTTCTACATACAGATTGATTTATATATTATTTCAATAATATGGACCAAAAAAATTGTATAAGTGACAAGGAATGCGAATTTGGTTGACTATATATATATAATAAAGTAAATTGAAGTGATTTGAGTCAGTTCGCTAACAACATGCAACGCTTCTCTCTCAAACGTAACGTTCGTGCATGGAGACAAATACTTATATACTATTTTATATGCTGAAACAAAAAATAATATAATTACTTGTATATTCTATTTGCTCAGGTTCCTTTAACGTAACTTACACAGTTGACGACAAAAAAGAAAAAGAAAAAACATATCTAGACAATTATGATTGGTGATTTAAAAGTTGGCTTGTTTATATGCCGAGTATTGCCACTAATCAGTGTTATATTGTAAGATGCGGTACAAAAATCCAAACTGATTACTAATTATGATAAATATAATAGCCATAAAAAGTCAAAAGCGAAATTGATAAATTTAAAGATACTATACTAATTCACAATTCATAATTATATCATCACATCTCCATGTAATTCATAATTTATAAGTTTTATCACATTCAACTTTTGTAACAAAATGATTTATTATCCAGATATATACCGTATGTTTATGGCTTATCATGTTCTTTAGTAGTTGTGGGACACTAAGTCACTAAGTACAAACCTAAAGAACCAAAACCAAGAAAACCGATTTTTTAATTATACTCTTAGATGTAAACCGATCAGCAAATATATTATTAATTAGAGTTTGGTTCGATTTGGCAGACGATAATTAACCGATAAATTTATTCAGTTAAAAAGGAACTCATACAAAAAGAAAAAAGAAACCCTAAATTTCGAACTCTATTTTCCAATCTGTCTCTACTCAAGAATATATATAGTCCGGTCGAAAAGAACACTTTTTTTTCGAAAAGAACACTTTGTCTTGCTGGAGAGAACTAGAGAAGGATCAAGGAGAGGGTCGCGTCAGTTACAAAACTATAATGAAAATTTTACAATTTCTGTTTCTTTGTGCATAATTACTTTTGTAACATAAGTAGGAGGATATATACTTACATCATAATAAATTAGTTTACC